ATAGAGATAAAAAAGAAAGCTTATAGCACGTTTGAGTAAACTAGTAGTGGTTATGGGGAGCGGAGCCTAACTACCAAGAAGATCAGACGTGCTGTGAATCAGCTCCTGCAAGAAGCGACACAAATAGGGATAAATATCCCGAAAACAAACTCGCCCACGAGCCAAAGGGCACAAGACGAGATGGGGAAACTCAGGGGCATCGAAGGAACCCACAAGCGAGACTCACATAGCCCAGGAACCCATACAAAGCACATGGGGCCTACGCGTGACCGAGCCAGGGAGAGACAGCTGCTCCACTGGATGGTAACATCGCACACAACACCCTTAGTGCACTCGCCTTCCTCCCTCCCCCCCCGGGCAGGCAGGGGTCATCCCGGCCCACACTCGACAGCCAAAATAACCAGCCAAGACAGCAATTCAAGTTTGATCTTAAAACTCAAGGCTGCAGCCCCTCACAAGGTGCACCTAAAATGGCGCCTGGCAGTGTGACAAGCCTGATGACCAAGCGACCGGCACAACTACAACAGAGTGAAACCCTGCAGAGTATGGAGACGATATTAAACCGCTTCTGGGATACACTCATGGAGCGGCAACAAGCGGCCTATACCTCCGACGAAGGGCGAACGGAGCCGCAGACAGCGAAGAGAGTGGGGGATACCCTTGGGCACAGCACCATTTCAACTACTCACTTATAAGCTACGTAGCCCATCCGGGCTGCAGGCCAAAGGGCAGAGAGCCCAGCAGCATCGACCACATCGATGGAGGATCAAGCATCACAAGCGACGGACCATAATCCGCTCCTCTGTCGTTCCCACATGTGGAGGAAACCCGGACCGCAGCGGTAGCCGAGTTTGTGGCCTAAGGATGCCGACCTGCATACGAGCCTGGGGCTGGAAGGACACCCTCCTTGACACCCGCACAGCGGCAGGCAGCTGAAACCCAGGGATGGGCATACACCGCTTCCACAAAGAGGGCATTGGATGAAAAAGACTTTGCTAGGGGCCTCATGATCTTGCTACAGCGAGACATTGTCATAAAACCAGCCCCACCATACCATAACAGCGGAACTGCAAAACTTACTGAGCAGCAGTACATCCAGGTGGACAGTAAGCTTTACATTATGTCTATGTCTTTAGCAAGGGTCTGAGTGGCTTCTTGCTGAGGTGCTTCGGCACTGCAGCGATAGATGCTGATACCAACCAAGTTCTCACACACCCAGTTCACGCATATGGCCAACTATACCAGCTGAATAACACAATCTAGCATGCGTACCCCAGACCTAGCCAGGTGCCACCACCATGGTTTGAAAAATTAGAATAACCTCTGCTTGCTGTTAATTCATTTTCTTAATATCTAGTATCATACATCTAGTATCTTACATACATAGATATGGGCACGATGTGAATCACTGTTATCTAATACTTTACACCTTCCATCAAGACTAGTCCTGCCTTAGCAGCCTGTAACTTAACTTAACTTACCTATCCTGTAACTTAGCAATACACAATACCAGTGCGCCGCCTACTCACTGTCTCTAAATGCCATGATACTATTAGTGTTTGTTGTTATCAAGCTTGGCTTAGCTGGAAGCACCAAATAGAACGAAACGTAGCATTGATGTATAGGCTCCATCTTATATTAAATGTGTTACTACTGCTAGCCTAATACAATTAACGTGGACAGAACTTTAATTCATAAAATGTGCATGTACTACTCATTACCCTATTGTAACCAGTGAAACAAAGCCTGAGGAATGCCTTTGGGATACCTCAGACATGTATTTACCAATCTTTGCATGTCAAAAATACAAAATTAAATAAAATAAAATAAACTAGTAGTGGTTATGCTAGACAAGCTACACAGATTTAGGAGTGAAAGCATGAGATCAACAAGCTAAGTGTGTAGGAGAATCGTGTCTCGGTGCATGCTGCTGGGTGCGTGTGAGTTTGACTCGTTGTGCCAAACATATAAAAACGTGCTCCATGGGAATTGAACCCCTTGTACCCCGTTTGCAGGCTTTCATGAAGGTCCCCCTTATCCGCAGGTGAGTCTGTCATCCAACACCCCTGCCAGGTGTGTGTCACTTATTGGGGTTCCATCTCATTGGGGGAGTTTCATGGCATCGTTGAGGTGAGGTTTCCCTTCTTCCCCGGTGCTGTGTGAGAGCTGGTACCCTCTTGCCATGAGCCTGGGATCCGCCATGGTCCAGGGTTGTCCCTTTTCGGGGTGGTGCTTTCTTGTCTTTCTCAGGCCGATGTCGCTTGTGTCTTGCTGCCCTCCGCCGGTGTGGTCGGAGGGGCCTTAGTGCGAGAGTCTGTAATGTGGGACTTCCTTGTGGCCGCAAAAGGTTTCCTAGGCCTCCGCTCACCATTGACTTTGTCCCCTGTGGAAGGTTTGTAGTTAGTTGTTGCTGGCGGTAAGTGCGCCAGCAGTTTGGGCCAAAAGCGAGATATCTGCAAGGGTGTCTCTTGCGTGTTTGCTGGTGCCTGACTGGGCATGTTGTTGCTGCTGCTTGTCACATGTAGCAGAGTCAGATGGATCCGCCATCTTGGAGGCTCCCGCTCCCACATTGCTTGGAGGGACTGTGGGACCCATCGAGAAGTGTGGGGTTTGAGGTACCCCGTCAGGCGGGGACAGGGATATCCATTTGTTTAACTGAATTTGCACACCCCTGAATCTGATGTGTCTGCTGAAGGCTTTCAGTGCAATAAAAATTGTCAATAGCTCTTTGAAGTTTGATGTTTTTCTTCGGTTTCTTCGGTTTTCCATGTTCCTTCTTAATTGCTGATCCTATATGAGCGCTCCAACCATAACCCGATACATTTTTGGTAATCTGCATCCAGTTCCTTTGTCTGAAGGAGAGACCTGTTGTAACAAATCTTAAGCAAGTACAATATTTGAGATTTTCTAAGGTGTTTACTGAAATGATTCAGATCATTGTTGATTTTTATAGGATATCCCACAGACTCTAGATCTTCCTGTTGTATATGACATTTTTCTAAGATATCCTAGTGGAGCTTTCATATTTTTTCAAATTTATAATCATTTCCAGAGTTATTTTTTAATGTTTACTTACAGTTCTTCTCTGGATATTGCCTATTTGCCTTTAAAAACCAATCAAGTAAGGTACTGTGGCAAATGTCCCTAAGGAATAAAACACCACTGGACTTTGAAACCCGCCTCACCTTCTACCAAGCCCTTACCCGCAATGCTTTACAATAGCGCAAATCCATGCACCCTATAACGCAACAATTGCTCGCCACAGGCATTGTGTACCGCTGGTCTCCACCACGAACTCTGACTGCCTACACCGACGACAGAGTCCACAGAGCTAAATCCCCAGTGGACGCCACAAAGATTTTCATGGCCCTGGGCTTTACAGCATCAACCCACTTGGCCCACCGACTGAAGACTGCACACAGATGGGACGTTCAAAAGATTACACCCTTTGTACCCAGCTGTAGTCAAGACTCAGTAACATAAATAGATGGGTGCAACTTAATAAGCCAGCTCCCCACCGTTACTGTTCCCTATTCAAGGTGATATGTTTGTTCCTGTTTATGCTAGCTAGCCCACATTGAAGTGCTGCTCGTATTCTAAACGCCGTAAGGTGCCACCTGCATGTGACGGGCCCTAAAGATCTCGTAACCCAGCACACTGAAGGGAAAATACCTGACCATACACCCTGGCGCACAGAAACCATACACGACTCATATTAGAGGAAATAAGTATATGTGATATTCCTTGTTTGCTAGTCATTACTATGTACCTTGCACTACCAACCGAACCTCCAGTAGCCAATGAAGTCTACATAGCGAACCCACACTTCGACAAGTACTAACACACTTTAAGGTGATCCAAATGACTGCCTCGACTTATACTGTTACCTGTTACATTTTAACTTCGCTACTGTTGAAATGTTAATACATGTCCATAATATTTTTTTCAAAAGTGTATTGCTGGAATATTATATACCGGTCACATATATAATGACACCGTTGCAACCCGCGACCCAAGCCCACGTCATGTGAATATACTGTGTACTAATGTCTTTTGTGGCAAACACACAACAAAAAGAATTAAAAAAAAATATATATCTTAAAAAATATCTACATCTAGGGGGACGGAGCTAGCCAGCAAGCTGAGCGGTCGCAAGATCTCTGAGCTCCGACAGAGCAACTGCTAACTACCTATGCTTTGCCCTCTACGGCAGGGCTACCCAACTGGTAGATCCCCAGATGTTGTAGAACTACAACTCCCATGATGCTTTGTCATTCTAAAGGCATGCAAAGCATCATGGGAGTTGTAGTTCTACAATATCTGGGGATCTATCTGTTGGGCAGCCCTGCTCTACGGAGACACAACTTACCCCACTGAGGTCCCACATGACAGGAGAGATCACAGGGAAGCATTCCCGAAAAACTTAAGGTCAAACCCGTGATATTGGCCTAATGCTCTCACAACTGAGCAGGTCTAAGATGGCGGCCTGCTCCTTGACTTACCTTGCGGCTCCACCTCGGCAGAGGAGGACTGTCACAGCACCGCACCGGCAGAGCCCTCTCCCAGAAGCAATCTGATCCACAGTGGGTTACAAAAATGGATATCACGACAAGGTTATCAGAAATCCAAAACATTCTTTGTCTCAGAAATGGCAACCCTAAAGGCTGACCTAGGCACACTAGCAGGCAGACTCAAGGCCACAGAGAACATCCAAAGCCTTGGACTCAAACAACATTCCACTGATACCCCCCTACAGAAGGTGTCAAACACCTGTGCAGCGTTAAAGTGGAACACCTGGAAGACCTGGGATGCCAGCGAAACCAGAAAATTTGGGGTATTCCTGACGCAATAGATGCTGGAGAATAACCTCACTACATCAGAAGACTACTTGCAGCAGCCTTGACACCCAAGCAGGCCAAAGGATTGCTGCTGGATAGACTGTACCGACTACCGGGAGGCCCCAAGAACAAGGCACCAACTCCCAGGGATGTAATTCTATGATTTAAGTCACGATTTGACAAGGACACCTTCCTTTCACAAGTTAAAGGTCAATCACCGTATATATGTTTGAGCAACATGCTTTGAGCTTCTTTCATGACCTCAGCAGATCAACATTGCAATGGCGCGCTACATTCAAGGAGGTGTCCTCACAGTTAATAGCGGCGAATGTCCCATACACGTGGGGGTCCCCACAGTCCCTTATAGTCGCTACAAGCTAACTTCACTGTCCATTGCAAACAGCTCTCTACAAGCACTGGAACTGGTTACCCGTGTAATATCTGGGACTAGCAGATCCACTCACCAGTGGGATATGGATAATGTCACTATCTTCACTCCAGCTGGTTCCACAGCCCAGGGATAAGGAGCATATGAAGCAGACGCTCCAATTTTATGTTACCAGTTTTATCCTCCTTTACGTTTCTGTTTAGATTTGTTTTTTGATCAGAAGTGTTTTAACTTCTGAGTTAATCTCCGTATGATACCTTTATACTAGTAGGCAAATCGGCAGACATATCTTTCACACATGCATGCCCCAGGTCATAGTTACATAGGTGAAAAGAGACTTGTGTCTATCAAGTTCAGCCTTCCTCACATTTGTTTTTTGCGGTTGATCCAAAAGAAGGCAAAAAAACCCAGTTTGAAGCACTTCCAATTTTGCAACAAACTAGGAAAAAAATTCCTTCTTGACCTCAGAATGGCAACCAGCTATTACCCTACATTGAAAAATTACATCCTTGAATATTCTATTTTTGCAAGTATGCATCTAGTTGCTGTTTGAACATCTGTAGGGACTCTGATAAAACCACTTCTTCAGGCAGAGAATTCCACATCCTTATTGTTCTTACAGTAAAAAAACCTTTCCTTTGCCTTAGACGAAATCTTCTTTCTTCAAGTCTAAACGCACGACCTTGTGTCCTATGTAAAGTCCGGTTTGTGAATAGATTTCCACACAATGGTTTGTATTGGCCCCGAATATATTTGTATAATGTTATTATATCCCCTCACATTTTTCTAAACTAAAGAGGTTTAAATTTGTTAACCTTTTTTCATAGCTGATATGTTCCATTACTTTTATTAATTTTGTAGCCTGCCTCTGCACTTTTTCTAGTGCCATAATATCCTTCTTTAGAACAGGTGCCCAAAATTGCACAGCATATTCAATATGTAGTCTTACCAGTGATTTAAAAAGGAGGCAAAATTATATTCTCATCCCGAGAATGTATGCCCTTTTTCATGCATGACAATACCTTACTGGCCTTAGCCACTGCTGATTGACATTGCACATTGTTGCATAGTTTGTTGTCTATAACAATTCCCAAGTCCTTTTCGTATGTTGTTATCCCTAATTCGCTTCAATTAAGGGTATACGTTGCTTGTGCATTCTTTACGCCAAAGTGCATTTTTCAACATTAAATTTCATCTGCCATTTACATGCCCAGTACCCCAGTCTATCTAAATCCCTCTGCAGCAAAGTAATATTTTGCACACATTGTCAAATGCTTTCTAATCTGTAGGTTTTTGTTTGTCTCGGATGGCTGCCAAGGTTTACACTTTCATATATGCTAATGTATACCAAGCTTGCTTTACCAAAGTCTTTATTATGTATAATTTAAAAATGGGTGTGGATCCCTGACATTTTAACTTTCAACATTGTGTCATACTGTGCGCATGTCATTTGTTTCATGAGTTATACTTGCTCATCTGCAAAAATAAATAATTTTAAAAAAGAATCTAGATCTAGCTGCACCTCTATCATACAGTATCAACATCTGTATTCTTACTGTGGCCTTAAGTGTTGACTTAAAATAAGCTTAACAAGCTGCAAAATTAATAGCCAAACTAAAAAGAACACTCCAGAACAATAAAGCACTTCAGCCTACATGTTTTGACTGGTGTTATATATACTAAACAGATTATTTTTTTTTTTACTTTTGTTGTGCAGGTTAAAAACAAAATTACACAATATACAATAAGATAACACATAATTAGTCAGAGATAATAGGTGTACATATAGATCAGCACATTTTTATAGTGTATGTACGAGAAGACACATCTGTTGATTCTAAAAAAGAGAACAAAGCATCATAGTGTAATATGTCAATATAGAATATAGTAAATGGCAGTAGAGCAGTATTACTCACAAGCCTAGAGCCAGTATGACATGTCTTATGTGCAGCGCAGTGGGACTCTTAATAGGATGTCCCCATCCTTCTTGATATTCCTTCTTGGGTAGTTGGTAAGTAGCAGTAGAAAATCGCAGTATTCCAATATGTTTTTCCAATAAGGAAACTTTATTATTGATGAAAATAGGTATTGGATAAAGTGGAAATAGATTTTCCCAGTAAAAATGCAAAATATAAAAAAAAAGTCTATAATAGACAGTATTGTCCAAATAAAAGTTCAAGGTGTAGACTGTATACGTCCAAAACGCGTTTTGCCCTATGGTGGGGGCTTTCTCAGTTGGTATCAGTTAATATTGTAGGTAAGAGCCTCTTGGCGTCTTTATATGCTGTAAATCTCTTTTACTTCCGGGTTTTCTGTGTGTGGAACGCATCATGCGTTCCACCGCTGGCTTCATGCGCGTCACTTCCGGTTTCTGATTTCGAGGCGCACCAATGACGTTCCGCCGTCGGTTTTGTGTGCGTCACTTCCGGTTTCAATTCCCGGGACGCACTAATGACGTCACTGGAACGCATAGTGCCGAATCTATGCGTTCCACTGTAGATAAATCTATTTTTAATATTGTCACAAGGTTGTTATATATATATATATATATATATATATATGTGTGTTCCACCTATTGTATGTATTATTTGTATTTCTATATAAGTGGTAGAAGGGGTTTCCACTTAGGTGGCTTGTGGCTGTTTTAGCTACCACACACATTTTCTCACTGTATCTCTATTACTTCACATTATGTAGGAGAAGAAAATATCTATACTGAACAGTATGAGTTTAACATGAGTTGCTGGACTTAGCTTGGATCAGAAGTACTGGTTACAGGGGTAGCATCTGATGAAAGGCAAGGCTAGCTAGTGTAACTCAAGAGCTTAACCACTGAACTCTGCTCCTCATGCCCCCCCTCCCACCCCCCAGTTGCTTGTTGAATATTGCAAAGGGCAGATGGTGTCTGCCAGCATTCAATCTAGCCTTTCACATTCTGTGGGCCCGTCGCGCCCATCAGCCGATCCCTATAGGTGGCAGGGTTGGTGCACAACGAGGAGAAAGCCTGCGGACCGCACCGGTTCGCCCAAGCTTGGCTTCCCTCCAGCCCGAGCCGTTGAGAAAGCCACCCGTATCCCACAGACTTGGAGACTCTTTGGTACCAAGTCTTTCCCGTTTGGGGTAGTCGGATGATCTAGGTGTTAATGTCCGCAGTCTGCGGGAAATCTTCGGCTTGCATGGTTGGTACGATGAGGCGGAACCACGCAATGGTCTCGACCCAGGTAGGGCAATTGCAGGGTAGGTTGTCGCTTGTGGAGTCGTTTTACCCAGAGAGAGTACTCTCTTCTCCGGCAGGGTGTATCTCTGCCTTTCCTCCTTTGGCTTAGGTAGGGAGGCTTTTATACATTTCTGTAGCTTGTGCCAGAAGGCCTAGAATATTCAGTCCAAATGCTGCATGGTATGTGTGACAGCACTGTGAGGTGGCTGCCATGATGTGCCAAGGCCCCGTGAAGCAGCTTGAAGTGTGTCTGCCATTTTCAAGGTTCATGTCAGGCAACGAGCAACCTGGATACAGAGGGAGGCAGGTGGTATGTGCCACCATACAAGCTCAGCTGGCTGTCAGTAAGGACCGGGATGACCCCCACCGGTCCAGAGGGGGTTAGGGTAGGAGTGTTGTGGGACCACACTGTGAGATGAATAGCAGGAGGACCGGTCGCCTCTCTCCGGCTCCGTCCCCAGCAGGCCGCAGCCTGGTGGAGTTTTGAGCCGATTGACAGCTCTAAATGCTCGTTCAGAGATCCCCAACTCATATGGTACACAGTTGACAGGCATAGTGGCTTGTTGGCCGGGTTAAACATCACCAAAACAGCCAAAAACTCAAGAACTCGTGCACAACACGTCTGAGCCGCATGACTGTCAGGATCCGCCCCCCCAAACAGATTTTTTTTCATGGTGCAGTAGTTTCCCTTTAATTATATTTACTCTATACACTATATATTTATTCTATAAGATTCAGAAAAGTTAAGAGATATTGGTTTTCTTACTTTGATACAAAAAAAGTCAGAATTGTAGAATCATATATGGAAAACATGCTGGGTTTATAGCAGTTTCATTTTACTTTATTCTCTTCTAAACACATCCTTTGAATATCTACCATGAATTAAATTGTCATTAAAATGCAGGCTTAACTTATGTTTAACTTGATAAAATAATACCAATTCTATGTACATTTCCAAAGAAAAACAGGGAGGTTGGAATTTTAAACTCAAGTCCATCTTTTATGAGAACTCACTCACCCAATCCAGTTATTCCCCCAAAAAAATAAAAAAAAATACTTGAAAGGTAAGAGCAAATAATAGCAAATAATTTCATCCAGTACATGTGTACATAACTGCTTCAGGTTTCATGAGTTCATTCGGTGCTGAAACCAAATGCAGGATATCTCAAAGGAAAAAACCATGAGACAGAACCAGGATAGACAGATCTAGTTTAACTAATCCTTCAAGAAATTCCATCTTTGAAAGTAAAAAATGGGACAGTTTTTTCCCTGATTACATAGTCTCTGGAGTAATGACACATGGGTTAGGGTTTGTTCTCTCGCTCTGGACTCATGCAGAAGGGCTCCAGCCTCTCTCCCTCAGGCAACATGGCGTTCAGTTTTTCCATTAGTGGCACTGTTTGGTCAATGCCCATTTGAATGCGTCGCAAGATCGCAGACATTTCATTCACCTTTTGAATCTGCTCTGCATACTTCGCAAAACGTTTCTGACGTTCTTGCATATAGCTGTACAGAGTATCTACAGAACCATCCATCTACAAGTGAAAAAAGAAAGATTAATTAGAAGAAACGTTGAGGTCACAATTCAGATACATTTTCAGCACAGAAACCTGCATCTGCAATGAGTATGATTTACAAAGGTAAAACGGTGACAGCTGGATACTGAGCACCCATGATATTTACTAGCGCAGTTCTACCACGTTTCTTGTGGTCTTAAGTTCCATTTCTAAATACAGTATTAATATCTTAGTGTATTATGAAATACATATATCTTCACACGGTTTCTTCATGTACTGGTCCTTGAGCTCTTGTTTCTTCTGCCATTGTGGATAGAAAGTGGGAGGTCCTTATTGAGCACATAACCAGATCTAAACATCAATCCCTCCATAGAGAAATGAAGAGCCAAATGCAGGTATGTATATAAAATGTTCTCTGGACAAAGTCAGGATATAAAGATAGTGGGCAGTCCCTGTTCTGCAAAGTTTCATCTTACCACAGTTTGATGGTTGCCACCTCCAATAGGTGTTCCTATGCTTATTTAATACAGTTTTTCTCTTCACGTCTGGTGTTTTTGCATCTTAAATTCACTAATTATTATTCTGGACACAGGTTTTTCTAAACTCCACCTCTTCCTCTATCATATTCCTTTCTTTATCGTTGTCATAATTCCCCAATCTGTTTCCCCTTTGACATCCTTTAGACTTCTACCACTCTCTCACAGTATGAAAGACATATAACAACACATTCCTAAGTGCCTGCCTTTCTAAGTGGATATGGATGATAGTTGGTGCTATGTAACACTTTGCAGTACCGTAAAAATTAAAATGCTTACAGATGAAATCACAACTTTGAAGTCCACTCCTCAAAAGCAGCAGTGTTACACAGATCACTCAACGCCCACAGATGGGCAATGGGGCAAGTACAGTTACTCTGTCAGTTCAAAAGGTTACCCTTGTGCTACTTGCCTGCTCAAATCAGAGGATAGGAATATTGATTGTGATTCACAGTGAGAACATTGTCCACAGTATTTTGAAATCCATTGTACAGCAGTACAAATTTGACATTTTACTGGTTTATGTAAACTAGAAGAATGGCACATGATCTATACTTTTGTTAATAAAGGTACAGATCAAATATAATTTTGCGACAATGTTTTTGGGATCATTGGATTTGTGTAGAGAGTAACACACGTATAATGTGCCACTGTATAAATGTAGAATACAAACCAGACTGTTCGTAAATCACAAATGGAGATGATGGCAATGGTGTACCTTATCCATAAACATCCCCTTCTGTCTATTTGATATCAGTTTACCAATCTATGGATTAAATATTGGGTACATTACATTTGGCATAAAAAAATCAATTTAGGATAAAACCGCTTATATGAAAGACTCCACAAGGGAAGTAGACAGATAATCATTCTTCCTGGTATCATGAATAAGACAATTAACCCATTGAAAAAAAATTACCCCCATTCTAGCACTCCCAGTTGTTCAGATGTGCAGAATCTGTTAACGAATGATAACAAATGATGTTTAGGAACAGCCAAGTCTCTTATAACTAGCAGACAAACCTCTTTAATACGTTTCACCAGAGCATTCTGGTCGAAGGATACAGCTTCTGCGCATTGATGCAGGTGATCCTGGTATCGTACACACAGCTGCAGCACCTGTGGGGAGTCCAGCCTCTCAAGTCGCACATTGGTCGGGGATGTCTGACCACTCAGGAGCCCTAATGAAGGAGAGAATGTGATGAACATATTATATTACTGAATGAATAGAAATCAGAAATGTTAATGTAAACTGCATTACTACCAGCATCTAAATTAATAATGTTTACTATTTTGTAACAATTATTAAAATAGCAAGTTGATTATGTTTGAATGCATTGCCAAGAAAATAACATTCGGCTTTTATCACACTACATTCTAATTCTGGTTCAATCAAAAAAATTACTTTGACCTGATAAGAATATATTATGCTTGTTATAAAACTGAATACTGCATATTTAGATAAAATGTGATTCGCTTTGTGAACAGGGATACGAAGATTAAAGATGGATGTTTGTGCTTGACATCTTTATGATGCAAGAATAACCATTCGGTTTGTATCACTTGCTATTAGGTACAAGTCAGTTTGATCCACAAGGAAGTGTTTGGCTGAAGCTGAAAGCTGTCCCCAAGAAGCACTGCGTAGGAGGGAACCTGTGGTTATGGTTTGATTTTCCCTTATTTAAAACAAGGCTTCTTTTACAAACACGTTTCTGCCAAAGAGGGAATGTGGGAGAATAGCAAACAACTGCACTGCAGTTAAATGAAATGATTTAAAATGAAATGTAAGTATTTACATGGAGGTCTGACACAGGCGATAAGGGAATTAACGGAGACACACACACACTTCTTAACTACTAGCTACATTAGGTACCACACATAGAGAACTTCCCAAACTCGCTCGAAACCACAGCACAAGCAACCAACAATAGCACACACACGAAAACATTCACACTGCTGGGCCGCAGGGACAGTAGTGTCTCCCATCTTACAGACCCACGAGAAATAAAGACGCAGTTCACCACAGTAGGGACCCGCATACACCCCAACTTAGGGGAAAGTACACGAGATTCAGATCACACTCTGATACAACAACAAGGACATACAATTTTGCTAGCAACCACACCATCGCAATAAATCCCACAACAGAATAATTGATAACATACTTAATGTCACTTCACACCACTACCCCATCACCAGGAGACCGACAAGTCTCATACCAACCACTATTGCAATGTTAATCAGTCGCATCTAAACGTTCACACCTTCCTAAAGCTCTGGGAGGAATAAATCTCAGTGACACAGCCAGCCGTAAGTACCGAGGCCACCCAGTTAAACCCACTGAACACCACAGCAAGGCCCCAGAGGCATTGCCGGCGGCCTCAGAGCATTACGCATGCTCACTAATAAACCACTTTTCGTTACGACCGAGTGTTTTTAACAGACTAGTTAAAACACCAACATATGGGCAACTTATTTTTTATCTACACCCTATATAAACCATGTTACCCTGCTGAAAAATATGCCACTATGGTAATGGCAACGTGAGCATATATACTCTATACACTACACGACACATAAAGGTTATCAACAATAACAGAGAGAAAGGGACAAGGGGGGAGAAGGGAAGAAAACACAAAGGAAAAGACAAAAAAGAAAGAAAAAAAAAACTCACCTGACAATAGTCGAAAGTTAGAAATTAATATATACGAATTAATATATACAAATCACCCCAGTCTCTTTTTCTATCAGTTTTCACATCCATACAACAGCAAATTACCACTCTATAACCTGACAGTTAATATTGTTTTTACTCCCCCTCCTAAATTAGCTCAATGAGGTCGCGTATCGCACACGAACAAGACACAAGATGTAAAGTATACTTGAGATCCACTTGCATGCTACGCACTTTGTTCTATTGCTAAAACTTGCATTGAAGCAACATTAATACTTCACCTTTATAGCTGTGTTATTCTTAAACTTAGCAACCCACAACTGCAACCGCGATTAACCTTGATGTATTGTAATATTACGATAATATTATATACCTAAATTGTAACATAATCGCATTTTCAACTGCAAATGTATGTGTATTACAGTGAATAAAAGCATTATATTTACATATGTTACATGGCGGTCTGGTGAAGGTCAAGTTGATGTAATCATTCTTATTTTGTTTTTACTATTTTACCAAAAACATTGACTAAGATGGAAGTTTCTTTGGGACATAAATCAGGTTAAAAAAAGCTTGTTATGGAGGCAGTGAGATCACTTCCATTTTGCAATTAGTGACTTAACGTCTTTTGTAAAATAAAATAAGTTATGTTATACTCAATGTGTGTTTCATTTGTAATTAAAACCAATAGAAATTACTTTCTCGAAGCAGGGGAATTTCTCTGTAAATGGTTGAGAAACACTACCCTAAAAGTACACCCTACAGGAATTAGTCGGTTGGTTGGCTTTAAGCTAAATGTTTAATAAAAAGTGATTAATGTTAAAGCTGGAAGAAAACCTGAGATGGAAGTCAACCATGGCTTTAATTTTTAAAGAAACTCTTCAGGCACCATAAATACTTCCATTCACTAAAGTGGTTATGGGATCTGAAGTCACCTAGTGCAGTCCCAGTGTTCTGTTTTAGACACCACAACTACTTCAATTAGTTGCAGTGGTTATAGTGTCTAGAGTGTCCCTTTAAACTCTCTTTAACAGAGGCTGGCAAGTCCTAGCATCCCTACTGCTGTTGATAATTCCAGTTCATAATGGACTGGTAAATGTGAATAGATTCTCTCAACATAAAAGGATCTTGGCCCTGCAGAATTGAAGAATAAGAAGTCAAATAAAAGTGTATTATATTATTATTCACATACTTGTTCTCTATGTGGTCGTATAAAATAAATGGTATAGTAACTTCCAACTAAAGCATTTCTTTACAAGTGAAAGGAATAAGATTATTGACTATACTTTCTACCACGTCAACACTCAAATGCATTTTAACTCTAATTTAATACTCGGTGAATGTCAAAGATAAATCTGAGAACTGCTCAGTCTTCTGGGGTCCTAAACGGTTAGGATAGTTACTACCAAGTCAGATAAACTACAAAAGGCAGTGCCACTGGCAGGCTTGCTTAAAAATTAGTGCAAATGAAAAAAAAAAAAAAAAATTAAAAATGAATTCCCCTTCCTGGCATATAACCTGGTTCCTTACATCCCAGTATTAGACAGTAAGGTGACCTATATTACAAATATGCAGGATGGAAATATTTCTAAGAATTGTGAGCTAAAAATGTCAAATACAACAATGCAACTATTAATATACTACTTGCTAGTTAAGACTTTAATGAATGAGACTAGTATTTACAAACAGATCTCCTACTTGTGGGAATAGTTGTAACCCACTCAATACACATTCTTCAGACCAGTCTGCATGGCATGTGAGTGAGGGATGCAGTGCAGCTCAGGGGACATGTTTCAAACAATTTATTTTATGAAGGGTTTTTCTTATCTGGCAGTGAAAAGGTTACCATTATCTTACATGCTCTGTAAACTAGGCCTATGTGCTTGCAGCAAAGATATAAAGCAATAAAACAAACAGTCTGCCAGGCCTGACCTCACTCCATTCTTATCGGCTGATGTCATGCAAACATTAGGACTGTTCCCTTCCCCCAAATAACATACTGTGATTGTTATTGTGCATTGTAGTGCGGCAGTTCCTCTCATAGAGCTGCTCATTGCTTTAAGAAATGAACAAAACAAGCGGTCATTTATCAAAGATAAAACATTTACACTGGGTTCTTAAAGAAATCTTTCACCGATGAAGTTTAGAAATGGACATTTTTGCAAATGTATAAAAAATAAAAATAGAAATGCAACAGATGCACTGAGACAGATATACCAGTTTTAGTTATCATTCCGTTAGACAATGCTTGGTATGCTTTATTTTTACCTTTGGAAATCAAAACTACGCAATAACCAATAGAACATGTCCCCCACAACTTGCAACATATCTACAATGCTTCTTTCATGTTTTTCCTAGTCTAGATTTTTGGTGTTTTTTCATATTGCAATCTAAAGAATTCTCAGAGTTGATTCTTTTACAATTTATACAACTATTAAGGTACCTGGGTTCAGAGAGTTCTGTGGTGGCAGGACCGCCACATTTAAAAATATCCATGTACATAGGCAATGCTTATTCTGCTTCAAACAGAAACAGCCCAAATGAAGCTGCAGTTATGTCTACTAATCAGGATAAATCTGGACACTGTAGGTAAGGTAAGCCATCCGCACATAACGGCCCTGGTTCAATCAAAATCGTTACTCATGGATATGGTATCTAAGGTATTGTAATCTCTGGTTGGGAATCTGGCCTTGTATTGATAAAACGACAGTTTCAGGGTCTGCATTGTACACATACATAAAGGGTACACAAACACCAGGCAAGGGGTACGGGGAAGAGGCACCCTGCATTCCCACAACCAGCAGAGAGAGTGGACTCTAGACAGGACTCAGCTAAGTTGCCAAATTGTTCTAAAACACTTTGGTTACTTAAAATGGGAGGGCTGTAGTGGTTATGGTGCTCGGGATGTTTCTTTAACATCCACATATTTTGATGAGGATTTGTTCATTATAAAATTATATTATAAGAAAGTGCTGACAGGGAACTGTATGAAATCCATTGGTTAACAGTAGTTTTCCAACTGCCCTTAGTACACAGATTCAAGTATGACCGTTACTTGGTAAACCTGATTAAATGCTTACCATAATTAAAGCTCTAGGCGTTTTATTGTATCTCATGAAACATGACCTAAGTGGGCTAAATACGTGTTGGAACTCACCCTTTCTTAGTGCTTTAATACAGACCACGCTGCTTCAATAAGGAGGCCAAGTCACCACAATGATGTAACACAATATGTTCCAAGCACATCTGGTTCCAGTTTTTTGATGAAGCAAAGAGTGTCCTTTTAGTGGTGTCATTGGAACCATATGCTTCAAATGTTAGCATAAAAAAGGCACCATGTTCACATTATTGCATCATCCTTCAGCACGGTTTGTCTTGAATCACTTTAAAGTAGTTTTAGAGTAATGCTCCAGGCTACACCTGGCAAAGGACAGCTCAAAAACATTGCAGCTGCCTTTGACTTCTTCAGTGCACTTGCTTCACGATGCAGCAGGATGTTAAAGAGTTTCGTGTAACATCATGAACTGTAAGCTCCTCATTCCCAGATAGCCAGATACAATCACACTATATGGTGTGCTCAATATGTAATTTCTATGCACACCAGATGCTGTATACTGCAATTACAATGCTCTGCCTGCCTGTTAATTATAAAGGTATCCAAAGTATCTGGAGTGCAAAACTTGGTCAAAGATACTATACTGTAACACTTACATGAGATCAAATGCCTAACCCTAAACATCCTGTTTTGTCATGGCTTTTATAGCAACGCAACATTAACATACTAAAAGTGTCACCCATGCAATAGTAAACACAGGCATTTAAAGATATACCCAAACTATAGCCACTAGTTGCAGTGACAACATAGAAACATAGAATGTGACGGCAGATAAGAACCATTCGGCCCATCTAGTCTGCCCAATTTTCTAAATACTTTCATTAGTCCCTAGTCTTATCTTATAGTTAGGATAGCCTTATGCCTATCCCATGCATGCTTAAACTCCTTTACTGTGTTAACCTCTACCACTTCAGCTGGAAGGCTATTCCATGCATCCACTCAGTAAAGTAATACTTCCTGATATTTTTAAACCTTTGTCCCTCTAATTTAAGACTATGTCCTCTTGTTGTGGTACTTTTTCTTCTTTTAAATATAGTCTCCTCCTTAACTGTGTTGTTTCCCTTTATATATTTAAATGTTTCTATCATATCCCTCCTGTCTCGTCTTTCCTCCAAGCTATACATGTTACGATCCTTTAACCTTTCCTGGTAAGTTTTATCCCGCAATCCATTAACCAGTTTAGTAGCCCTTCTCTGAACCCTCTCTAAGGTATAAATATCCTTCTGAAGATACGGTCTCCAGTACTGTGTACAATACTCCAAGTGAGGTCTCCCCAGTGTTCTGTACAATGGCATGAGCACTTCCCTCTTTCTACTGCGAATACCTCTCCCTATACAACCAAGCATTCTGCTAGCATTTCCTGTTGCTCTATTACATTGTCTGCCTACCTTTAAGTCATCAGAAATAATCACCCCTAAATCCCTTTCCTCAATTGTTGAGGTTAGGACTCTATCAAATATTCTGTACTCTGCCCTTGGGTTTTTACATCAACCCTGTTACATATCTTAGTATCATCAGCAAAAAGACATACCTTACCATCAAGACCTTCTGCAATATCACTAATAAAAATATTAAAGAGAATGGGTCCAAGTACAGATCCCTGAGGTACCCCACTGGTGACAAGTCCAAGCTTCGAATATATTCCATTAACTACAACCCTCTGTTGCCTGTCACTCAGTCACTGCCTTACCCATTCAACAATATTGGAATCCAAACTTAAAGATTGCAATTTATTGATAAGCCTTCTATGTGCAACAGTGTCAAAAGCCTTACTGAAATATAGGTAAGCAATGTCTACTGCACCACCCTGATCTATAATTTTAGTTACCCAATCAAAAGCATCTCAATATGAGGTGTGTTAGACATGAAAACAAAATAAAAAATGCAAAGAAAAAAAACATCTGCAATGTTCATCTTTCAGAAGCACCAAATGGTTACTATCAGTAAATATACTAGTTACCAAAACAAATTTTCTTTCCAATTACTATACAAGATACCTTGTACTAATCACTTAGCAAATTGATATCCAGTCATAGGAAAATTAAATTACACCCTCTTTGAATTCTATCGTTTTACATTTCAGGACATAATAACGATCATCTGTCACTTAGCAGGTCTTAAAATTAGGTATATACAACCTCAGATGAACAACACATAAAATATTACACCGTGTCATGATTTAACAAAAATAAAGCCAAAATCAAGAAGCCATGTGTGAAAAACCATGTGCACCCTTACAGCTTCCATAGGAATCAAGAGGATAAGTGTCATATACTTACCAGCACCTGGTGCCCGTGCCGCTCTACTCCACAGACTGCATGGGCAGAGCGCACAGTGTGGCCCAAACTGTTCACGTGGTCGCACGGCCTGAATAGCATATATACTTACCTTTGGTCCCACAAAAAGCTCCCTCTACTGGTTTGGGGTCCAAACTAGGCCCCTGCAGATGTTAAGACACTGCCAGCTCTAAGGGCGCATCCTTAAATAAATTTGAACACTATGATTTCATGCCCTTAAAGGGACCACGTCATTTAGGCAACCCCATGCTGTTTGGAACCGCAGAAATGACGTGAACCAATGAGAACATATGTAAACCTATTTAAAGCCTAATTAGGTCTTTACTATTTGCCCTATTGTGGTTTCTGTTTAGTAATACATTTAGTGCTCCTATGACTTTTTTGTGATTTCCTGTTATTAACTTTGGCTTTATTTTGACTATGTTATCCTTTGGTATCCTGACCTGGCTTGTATATTGACCTGTTTATTTCTGCTATCCTAACCTGGCTTGTAGATTGACCTGTGTATTTCTGCTATCCTGACCTGGCTTGTTTTTCGTGTATCCGTATTTCTGTATTCCTGACCTCGATTCTCTCTTGTAATACATTAAATCTGTCCACTCTAAGGCCTGGTAATATAACTTTTGGACCCTCACTTTGTGGGTATCCTTTCTCCTGTGTGTAAGGGTAACAGCAACCATGACACTTAGTAGCAGACAGGTGCTGCTAATCAAATGCCCTTGATTAACTGATCATAAGCAAGTGTGGCCACCTCTATGAAAGCCAAAGTTTCAGCAGTTTGCTGGTCTGGAGCATTCATGTGTGCGTTCACATAATTCCAAAGAAGAAAGACATCAGCAATGATCTTAGAGAAGCAATTGCTGCTGCCAATCAAACTTGGAAGGCCATTTCCAAACAATTTAAAGTTCGTCATTCTACAGTGAGAAAGATTATTAAAAAGTGGAAAACATTCAAGACAGTTGCCAATTTTCCCAGGAATGTAAATCGCAGCAAATTCACCCCCCCAAAAAAAGTCAGACCATGCAATGTTCAGAGAAATTGCAAAAAATCCAAGAGTTACATCTCAGACTCTACAGGCCTCAATTAACATCTTAAATGTTAAAGTACATGCCAGTACAATTAAAAAAAGACTGAACAAGTATGGTTTGTTTGGAAGGGTTGCCAGTAGAAAGCCTCTTCTCTCTAAAAAGAACATGGCAGCACAGCTTAGGTTTGCAAAGTTGCATCTGAACAAACCACAAGACTTCTGGAACAATGTCCTTTGGACAGATGAGACCAAAGTGGAGATGTTTGGCCATAATGCACAGTGCCATGTTTAAACAAAAACTAAACACAGCATATCAGCACAAACACCTGTCAAGCAAAGTGGTAGAGGGCTGTTGATTTTGGCTTGTTTTGCAGTCACAGGACTTGGTGACCCTGAGGTCACTGAGTCGACCATGATCACCTCTGTATGCCAAAGTAGAGTTAAATGTGAGACCATCTGTCCGACACGTAAAGCTTGGCTGAAATTGGGTCATGCAACAGGACAACAATCTCAAGCACACCAGCAAATCTACAACAGAATGGCTGAAAAAGAAAAGAATCAAAGTCCAGACCTCAACCTAACTGAAGTGGAATCTTAAGAGATCTGTGCATAAACAAATGTCAGCAAACCTCAATGAACTGAAGCAACGTTGTAAAGACGAGCGGGCCACAATTCCTCCACAACAATGTGAGAGACTAATAAAGTTATACAGAAAACGATTACTTCAAGTTATTGCTGCTGAAGGTGGTTCTACAAGCTACTGAATAGTAAAGTTAGTTTTATACACATTGTTTCTCGATTTTGACATCATTTTTGTTAGATAAATCATGACACAGTAATATGTGTTGTTGTTTATCTGAGGTTGTATTTACCTAATTTTAAGACCTGCTAAGGAAGAGATGATTGTTATTATGGCCTGATATGTAAAAGCTTGGAATTCAAAGGGTGTGTACTTTCTTTTTCCCATGACTGTAAATCATACATTGTTAAGAGATCTTCATGACAACAGAACTACTGATTGTAAATAAACTCACACAATATCGCTGTACATGGAAAATCCCTCTGAATTTTATAGCAATTACCTTATGTTAGACATTTTTCAATATTAGTTGAAAATAGCATCTACGGCAATAGATCCATAAATACAACAATATTGTGTTAGGCTGAAATGTCTCTGTGGGAAAACTGCTCAAATTGCATGGCAACAAACACATTCATGAAAACACAGTTCGTTGTTGAGTGAATAAGAAACTCCTAAGGTCACAATGAATATCTGAAACAACTGCCTGTGTTCACAAAAATATGAATGTGTGTTGATTATTTCCTACTGATAATGCCATATTTAACTAAAGAGTGTATGTCTCAATCTGAGAATATAGTAGAGTTGCCAGATTAACCACACAGATTTGTGTTTTTATTTATGACAAATTCATTTAATATTTCTTCTTTACCTTTATAAAGTTGAGAAGTATTCATAAAATTAGATTTGAGATTGCCATTATTTACCTAGGAATTTTTCCAAGTCTCCTCCAAGGAAAAAGTGGAGGCCTTGCAAACGAAGTTTGGCAAACTGTTTTAACATTTACCCCTAATGATTAAATGCACAAAACTGCAATGCATGTATTCATAGGGGTGTATCTCCAAAGCAGTGATTTATGTTTTCTAATCTGGGCAGTGGACTGTTCCTAAAAAGATTAACAGCTTGAGCGGGGTTAGAGTATAAGGGCTGCTTGGAATTATTACGTACAGGGTTAAATTTATTATTGGACTTTATGAGGTGTATAGTTTTTAAAGAGGAGGTAAACATAGGATTAAAGGACCACTATAGGCATACAGACCACTTCAGCTTAATGAAGTGGTCTGGGTGCCAGGTCCAGCTAGGGTTAACCCTTTTTTCTATAAACATAGCAGTTTCAGAGAAGGGTTAATCCAGCCTCTAGTGGCTGTCTCATTGACAGCCGCTAGAGGTGCTTGCGTGCTTCTCACTGTGATTTTCACAGTGAGAAGACGCCAGCGTCCACAGGAAGGGATGTATACCGGACCTTAGGGTGGCCGGACTTAACGTCAAAGAATAGTCAAGAAAAAGCCGAGGGTCAAGGGAGTACGGAAATCGGGATAAACGAGAAAGCCAAGCCAAAGGTTGGGAAGCCAGATGGGAGAATAGTCAGAACGAAAGCCAAGGGTCAAAATACCAGAAAAACAGCAAAACAGTATAAGAGCACTAGGGGAACAATCAAGAACCACACTAGGGCACTGAGGGGTGGACAGGGATGCCCTTTTATACTAATGTGTGTGTGTCACTTTAAAGCCACGCCCCCAAAAGGTTCGGGAGCGTGGCCGCGTTTGAATTTTCGCGGCAAAATCATTATGACGTCGGCGCGCATGCGCCGCATCATAAAACGGATTTTGCCGCGAGCGGGCAGCGTCCGAGAGGCTGCGCCGCCCCCCGGAAGCAGCCGGGGAAACTGCCGTGCCGCGCGGGATCGGCGGACACAGGTAAGATATAGTCACACTAAGTTCATTTGAAATGAGGTATGCAACTTTGAGTTAGGCATCTAACTTTAATGGGAAAAATATTTTTCTAAATTTTATTTAAAAATGAGGTTGGAGCTGGAGAGAGTATTTCCAAGTCGGATATATTTTTGGGGAAAATATGAAATTCCTTTGACAATGCTTCACAATGTATTCTGTTTCAGGGGACACAATTAAAAACTGGAAGTCTAAAATCAGATAGGTGCTTGTAACCAGCAAGATTGAGTCTCCAATCTGTTCAATTAGTATATAGGAATACATGGCTAAGATACACTAATTCAAGATATAAATAAATGACAATCTCTACTATGTACTAAAAGAGTACCAAGAATTATATGGAATAACAATGGCAATAAATCATACGTTAGACACACCTAATGTCAATATGCTGTAAGTCAAACAGTTACCGGAGTTTTTGCATGCTTATAAGAATATATTTTTAACCAAATAAGTAGAAAGCTGATAACAGAACTTCAAGAGGCAGAAACCTCTCCTCTTATTGTGGCTTGGTTGTGCACATAGAGCTCGTCAGACACCACATACACTCAGGGAGTTTGGGACAGATTTAGACCTGATACAAATTATCTCTTTTGTGTATGCTAGTTGTCTTACACAGTTTTAAAATTTTGACAAAGAGTGTTAATCTAGTGCCAAATCAGCAATTAAATCTTTGTAGAGCTGTCCAACAGTTCAGATTGCATATACCAGAATAAATGGCTTTTGACTGGCCACCATACTCCCTGGTGTGAGCAGAGCTGATGGCTGATGACGTAAAGTCTGTAGAAGGTGCACCAAAAGCAGAAACATAGAAAAATTATATATTTGTTTCATGCCTTTAAATAATAATCTACTTTCATGCATTACAAATCGGAGGACACTTCCAGGATGGAGTTCCCCTTTAAGCAAATACAGACATTGAGTTTGCGTAAAGGGATTCTATAGTGCCAGGACAACAAAGCAGTTTTCCTGGCACTGTAGAATTCTGCAGGGGCCCTCTTCCTCGCGCCCCTCCTTCAGCCACTTACCTGAATACAGCACAGATGTCCCCTGGCACTTGGTCAGACTCCGCCCACGCTCCTCCCACGTCGACATCTGCCGGCGGAGGAGACCTAATGCTCATGTGTGGCAATGGCCGCGCTTGCATTAGGATTTCCCCATAGAAAAGCATTCTTTTCTATGTGGAAAAATCTGAGGGCGTCCAGCGTCAGATAATGGACAAAAGGTCAATTTCAATACCGGAAATCACTCAAGTGGCTGTCTGGTAGACAGCCACTAGAGGAGGAGTTAACCCTCAGAGGTTATTATTGTAGTTTCTCAGAAACTGCAATAATTACCACTGTAGGGTTTAGAGACATGGGACACTGCACCCAGACCACTTCAATGAGCTGAAGTGATCTGGGTACCTACAGTGTCAGTTTAACTTGACTTTTGTACTTGTACACTGAATTTAAAGGAACACTATATCATTCGGACACCATTAACACCTATTTAGGCCCTCCCCCCATGTGAGGTGAGCATTATTTACTTTTAGCCCACGCCATGCCAGCCTCCGCGATCATGCTCTGCCTCTGTAGATGATCTCAGCCAATCAAATGTTTCCTGATTGAATAGCTCAGTTTTACTTGATTATTGAGGCAGAAGCGCCTCCAGTGGCTGTCAGGAAGAAGTCACTAGAGGCATATTAACCTTGCAATGTACACATTGCCATTTCTATAGAAGAGCAATGTTTTCAGTTGCAGGGTTAACTAGACAGCGATATGGTACACAGATCACATATTTAAAAATGAGGCGGTCTGGGTGCCTATAGTGTCCCTTCTTTAAAGACATATAGAAAAATAAATTGACATTTTCTATTTACTGTAAATTGTATAGAATTAAAAAAAACTGCTAAATAATACATATAATATTCCTTGTTGAGCGCTAGGTGTTTTGATTGGCTTACAGCACGTGGCAGCCAATTTGAACACAGCTTTTAGGACAAATAGAACTGTTATTTACACACACAGTACCTGCTTCTCTAAATAACTAAAGTTTCTTGAATCAGTAAAAAGCACTAGAGGAGAACTCCATTACTTTAACATTAATATATGAACTTGGCTCTGTATTTGATATGAAAGGAATTTATATTAGTGTATTACTGACCATTTAAATCAAAGGGTTGTGACTGATGTAACCTTCAGAGAGGAGCTGTGTCCTTAGAGATTAGCACTGCAATTAGGAGGGGGCATGATTCGACAAAACATTAAAAAATAAAATAAAAACGGTATTGGGTCTGTGAGGTGCAGTAGTTAGATAGGACAATTTAATTAGGCACATTTAAATGTCAGTGACAACTCCTGAAAGACATCAGATCAATCCCGGACATGTGATGAAATAGGAAAATGGCACTCGGTAATGCAACTGCATATCTAGTTCTTTCAAGATGTACTTTTTATATGAAAAAAAAAGTATTAAATACAGAGTTGTGAAGTAAGTTATTTTAATAAGTATGGCATAAACTAATTTAAATGTGTTGCAATATTCAGACTGTTAAGTCAACCATTAAAAAGGGGTCAGCAACAAACAGCGCAAGGACGTTCCCACCTCAGCACTGGTCACCTATACATGATATCTTTAAGTGTTACATACTGCTTAATGGAACACTTCACTCTCTAAATAAAAAAAACTAAGTAAGAAAAATAACAACAAAACAAATAATCACAGGTTATTTATTTATTTTGTTATGAAAACAAGCATTTATTTAGTTAAGCATTTTTTCTAAAGACAGCTTGCAAAAACTGCATATCTATTGTGTGAAGCCCTTGCATTCCCTCTCCCCCTCACCCATCCCAAAGTTTCTGTGGCTGTCCAATAATAGACTTCCTAATGCAGCTAAATCAGAAGTCTTTGCAAGGCCGGACCAAATGCCAGTCTCTTGAGTTTAGCTCCACTGAGCTAAACAAACCAAGAAGTTAACAGGAAAGCCAAGTGGGTGCAACAATGTTCTCAACCAAAAACTCTTCTTATATAAAGCATTTCAGCAAGCTAAAGTGCTTTAGGGGGCTATGATGTCTCTTAAAATGGTTACTCCAGACACCATGACCACTTCAGTGATTTGTAGTGGTCATGGTGAATGGAGTCTGTATGTGCAGTGTTTCAGTATGAAAAGCTGTACATACAGCGTTTAACCCCTTTGCTTTGTTAACCCACCAACGGCAGCGTCATTGGGGCATCATTAGCCAGTCAATTCTGTGAAAATCTTCATGCACAGTGTGCCATTCATTGGCAAAGAGCAGTCAGCTGACACAATTGGTGACTGGATCATCTTCCAGATTTTGCAGCAGCCCTAAGCACATCACCAAGGGGAAAGGAGTTTCAGAGCCCATTGGAGACCCAAGTAAGAGTGCTCATTAGCAGGGAACCATACCAGGGTACTCTTGGCATCATAACAACAGCAGGTTTTAGTACTTGCCATGCTTGGAATAACCCTTTAAGCTTGTTTGAGCCTAAATATCCACAGTATTTAGGAATATTTTCTGTGTATTTATTCAGTGATACATTTTTACTTGGTTAGTGCACCAAAACATACTATATATTATTTTCTAAATGACAGAATGTCCTATAAAAAAACAAAAAACACTCCACTATGCCTCATGGTAAACTGTCAGACCATTTTTAGCACCATTTCACAACTTACTTAGATCACATCAGGTGCCCACCCTGTATTTGCTGCACTTGGTTTTCTCACATAGGGAAAGCTGGATGTCACTTTAGAACTAAGCAGGACAACCATTGGCTGAGGGCATCAGCATTGTACTCTCAGCCAATGACATTGGTCCTGCTTTGTTCTAAAATTACATCTGGCTTCTCCTGTTGGAAACCAGCCTACTTTATCTGTGACTAAGACAGACAGACAGACAAAAAAACATCATTGTCTTGGCCTCTCCTGTTAATATCTCTGATTTCACACTGTCAGATCAGTCAGATCTCCTACATTATTCATAAACCTAGCACTGTCTGAGCATACCTTTATAATATGCTATCAGACTGCCTATATTAGATATAAACTCAGTACTGTCATAGCCTGTGTTGATAATGTGCAGTCAGATCCTTTACATTATAAGTAAACCCAGCACTGTCTGAGTTTGGTTTTATAATGTGCTACAGAACTGCCTACATTGGTTATAAAAGCAGCACTGTCTGAGTTTGTCCTTATAATGTGTGGTCAGGCAGCCTACATTGGATATAAAACCAGTACCAAAGTGAACCTGTCCTCATAATGTGCAGTCAGATCCCCCAACACATTGAGCGCAATGGAGATACCCTGAATCACTCTGGAATCGAGTGGGCCACTGACGCGAATCACGCAAATCAGAACCGCCCTAAAGGGCAATCCTGACCAAAAGAAACCTGCACAAGGAATTTGAAGGTCAGCCTGGCGTGAATGCATGTCAGGCTGTCTGCCAATCATGCAGGCTGGCCGGCATACTATGCAGACAGCACCCTGAGCTTGGCATAAATTTGTCTAATGATGCGCTCGCTTTCTAAGCTTTCCACGCTTTCTAAGGACTGTCCCATCGCACTCACTTGTTCTCTCCTCACTTGTCCACTCCTCTCCTTCTTACTAGCAGGCAGATACTCCTGTTATACAGCTTAGGACAGAGAAAATGTATATGTAGTAAGTGTAGAAGAAAGGGAACATGCCACAGAGTTAGAGAGATTGAAGCAGCAAGAGCATTTGCAAAGTGCGTAAAGTCAGCTTTACATTAACTAATTTCATTGTCAGAGCCAGTCCACACGAGTTTTGTTTCCCTACATCCACATGTGAAAAATGTAAAAAAATAAATAAAAATTATATATATATATATATATATATATATATCTCTATCTATCTATCTATCACCAGGGGACTGGATTTTTTTTGTTATTTTGTTTTGGCAAAGGGTTTATTCCATGGGCATGGGCCTGAAGCTGTAGCCTGCCTACAGGGAGAGTCAACATTTCAGTGTATAAATAGTTTTGCAATAAAGATCATTCTACCCCCTACATTCAGATTCATCGTATGTGTGGGGGAAAAGCTATAGTCTCTGCTTTACAGGTGGAAGCAGTCCTCAGAGACCCCAGTCAAGCTTCCGCGACAGTGTTTGAAATGCTCCAAAGTCCCTTGTAGCTGTGTGGAAAGTGACCTGGTGGAGGTACTCAATCGGAGTAGAGGAGTTCTGTCACAGATTCCAATAATGTGGCACACAAACAAAAAAATATATATATTTCTCCTTAATATTCATTACAGTGACCTGGTCTGTAATCAATTTCTCTACTGGAGAAATGTCTTATTCTATAGTTATCAAAGTATAACCTTATGCAGGACAAGTTATAAAAAGGATCTCTCTCTATCCTGTGTAAATTACGTGAGAGTAATGCAAGAGAAACAAAGTACACAAAACGTAAACATGTTGATTGAATTCAATGTTTCCTATGGAACAGGCCTCATGTCGGCAATGCAAGACAGAAGATCATATAGTCATCTAACTCATACCACCCTCAGCCATCCATTGACTGGTAGAGATGAGAATTATAGCCATTTCTAGACACTGGCACAAAGAAGAGTTTTTAGAATATGGGTTTTAGCATTACCAAATAGGTCAGATTATCAGTATCCCAGGACATACTTGAAAACGAGAGAAATCTCAATGCATCCATCCTGGTAAAATATTTTAGAAATAAATAAATACCAACTAAGACAGCTTTTTGTCCCTGAAAATTACTAGTGAGTGTTCTTCCTAAAAACTTGCACTATTGGAGGTCCTTGTGGACCAACAGAAATTGTAGACAACTACATAAAAATGTATAAACAGAAATTAGATTTGTTGTGTTCTTTGCATTCTCAGGCAATAGAAAAAAATAAATGAGAATTGCCAAAGCTAAACAAACATAGCTGGGGGTTGTTAGGTTAATGTGTAACTACTTGAAGGACATTTTGTTCAACTTCTGCCCCCCACAGCAGCTCTCCACATCTAATAAAAAGATACCTATATTGGTCCAGGCTGTTATCGCAAACGCCTGAGCTTAAGGAGGCTCTCTCTGCCAGGATGCATCCCTTTATTTGGAGAAAGTGCAGTTAGGCCCCCTCATGGATAGTTTATAGAAAGCATGAATACTTTGGGTCATCAACACACTATTGGACAGGTAAGTGAAAGTAAGGGGAAATTATATCACTATAAATTAATGGAAGCCACAGGAGCAGTTAATTTATTTAAAGGACCACTAAAGTCACCCAGACCACCTTAATAAAGTGGTCTGGGTGCAGTGGTCCTGTCGTTTTTACCCTGTAATGAAAAACACTGGAGTTTTATAAAAACTAGTATGGTTTACATTGCAGAGTTATATACACCTCTAGTGGTTGCTTCCTGACAAGCAACTAGAGGAGCTTTAACTCTGTTCCTGCAATAAAATGCTGCTGACCTCAATGAGAAGCAGTGGATTTGATGAAATCAAGGAAGATGTCAGCAGGCATGCTGACATCTTCAGAGGCCGTGTGGGCAGCTGCAGTTACGGTGTCTCAGTGCTAGAATTGAGGTGAATAATCTTTATTTTCAAAGGGGGTGTACAGTGGTCTCGATGATAGAAAGAACTTGCAGTACTTTAAATTTCTAAATTTTTACTTACAATATTCCTAATATTGTCAGGAGTAAGAACACACACACACAAAAAACAAAAAAAAAAACACAGATGCTCAATTGGCTTGAAATCTGGGTAATTTAGAGCCCAAGGCAACACCTTGAACTATTTGTCATGTTCCTCACACCATTCCTAAATAGTATTTGCAGTGTGTCAGAGTGCATTATCCTGCTGAAAAAGGCCACTGCCATCAGTGAACACCATTGCCATGAAGGGGTATACGTAGTCTACAACAATCCAAAGTTTCCCGGAAGAACAGGGCATAAAACTGCCTCCATTGGCCTACCTTCTTCCCACAGTGCTGCCATCTCTTCCCCAGGTAAACGACGCACACGCACCCAGCCATCCACCTGATCTAAAAGAAAATGTGATTCATCAGACCAGGCAACCTTCTTCCATTGCTCCATGACAATCACGTCCCCATTGAAGGCGCTTTCAGCGGTGGACAGGGGTCATCATGGGCACTCTGAACAGTCTGCAGCTACACAGCCCCATGGCAGGTACTAACCAATGCATAACAGGAACACCCCACGAGACATGCTGTTTTGGAGATGCTCTAAACCAGCTATCTAGCCATTTTCAGTCACTTAGATATTTTCACTTGCCCAGTTTTCTTCCAACAGATGAAAAATCAAGAACTGACTGTACACTTACTGCCTAATATATCCCACCCCTTGGCAGGTGCCATTGTAACAATATAATCTATCTAATCTATTCACTTAACCTGTCAAGGGCTTTAATATTGTGGTTGATCAGTGTATGAAAAACCCAAAGTATATAATGAAAACTTCGAATAATTTACACTGATGATCCCACTTGACCAGGAACATATATTTAAAGGTATTATAAACATTTATAACATTTTGCACCATAATAATATACTGAAGATATTATACACATATTTCTGGATTAATATTTTGTATCATTATTCCCCAGTTTTATATTTGTTTATATAATATTGTTAAAATTTAAAAGAAAATATGAGAAAAACTTATTTTGTATATAGATTGCCATTCAGACCCAATTTTTTTTTTTTTTTTAAGTATTATTAAAGTAAAATAAAATAAATAAATAACTTCAAGCCAACTCACTGGGCATTTTAAATGTAGTATATGAAAAGTAAACAAAACAGAAGAAAAGTAAGAGCGAAAAGAGATAGCAGGCAAATTTCAACAATGTTTTCACATATAAAATATAAAGCATCTGTTAAGGAAAATGGAGCAATTCGAACATCTATCTGGACCACATAGCTCTAAAGTGTGGAGCCACAAGGAGATATTTTCTACTAGTTCATTTTCTAAACAGAGTGAAGCGCAGTCACAAAATCATGAAAAGAACAACTGTTTTAGAAAGTAAATATTAGATAAAAAAAATTCTGCAATTTTGTAGTTTCAGACATTTTCCACATTAGGCAAAAACATGAAAAAAAAAAAAGTTTTACATAAAGCTATTGTAAGTTCCATTTGCCTATCCTATGTTCTAAAGGGATTATAAGGAGCAACGAGGTGGGAAAAAATAAATTTACAGTGCAGGAAACACTAACATAAAATCTTAAAAAGTGTTATAACTAAACAAGTTAAGCAAGACATATGGTCACTTGCTCAAACAGCATTATGTAATATCTCCATAATACAGAATCAGATTCGATCATATCTCATTTGCAGTGTTCCTAAATTTAATAACCATGTACAATACATCAGCATACCCTTCAGTTTGTTAAAAATATTACCAAAGTGTGTAAAATGTGACTGGGTACTGCTGCCCTCTGTTGTTCAGAAAACAGACTAAAACATTATTAGGCACATGTTTCGGATATTTCAGTAGTTATGTTTTATAAAGAATTGTACAGATATTTCTACAAACATTAAAAAAATGTACATTTTCTGCAAATGTTGGAAATAATATAATGATCATTATTCAGCAGCATTTATGTTGTTCACTAGTCATATATAAGCTGTGTTGAATCAAAATTTCCATTCTTTGCAGAAAGAAAAACAAAACAAAGGTTATCCTTGTTAGCTGTACACTAAAATAAATATTTCCTTGAAATGATCAATTACTGCACTTGATCCCACAGGTTTATGTACGTAAAAGTAAAACAATAAAGCTGGGGTGCCCAAAAAGTAGATCCCTAGATGTTTTAAAACTACAGCTTCCACGATGCTTTGCCATTCTAAAGCATTCTTAAGGCAAGCAAAGGAGTTGTAGTTCAACAACTGGGGATCTTCCTTTTGGGCATCCCTGCAATAGCGTATAACAAAAGTAAAATATTGCAACACCGTGATACCAATCACTGCCTGGTATTTTATTCCACATAAAGGTGAATACGTATTTCTAGGGTACAATTAACAGTCTGTGTCATTAACACCAAACATGTGTTTAAAAAAACAATTTTATTAAAGACACGGAGGCTCATATTATGCATAACTCTTTCTTTATTTCCTCAGCAGCAAAGAAAGAGAAATATAAATATTATCAAAACTGAAGAAAAAAACTGTATAGGCACAACAGGTAGCCAATCACAGGGTATAGGAAGTAGCTATATAAGTCTTGTGTCTCCCACAATCCCCCTCTTTCTTTGCTGCTTCCTCAGACAGATAAGTGTTTCTCTGATTTTGGCTTGCATTGTGATTCCATTTAATTTGTATTACAGTGTGTTTTCCTTTTATGATTTTCATACTGTTTGGTCTAATATTATTTGTTTTATTATTGTCTGTATTTTCCCCGGCTGGTGTCTCCCCTCTGGGCCCGCGGGTGTGCCTCTGTCCCGTCCGGGCGGTCCCCACCCCTCCCCTCCTCTCTCCCCTCTCCTACCCGTGCTTCTGCACGGGACCCGACCTGCCGTGCCGCGGCCGCGATTTCCTCGCGACCGCGGCGGTGTACACGCTTCTCTCCTCCTCCCTCACTCAGTTAGCGTGTCGGCTCGGCGGGCGGGTGCACGAGCCCCTTCCCCCGCCGAGTGGTTTTTCCTCGTGTGCCTTCCTCGTGCGGCGGCCATCTTGGGGGCGGTCTTTGGTATTCCTCCCAGTGCTGCCGTGCGACCGGCCACCTCGTAGCCCTGCTCCCTGGGGACACCAGCCAAAATGTTTGTTTTTCAGTTTTTTCCTTGTGGGTTAATCAACCCTTCCCTCTCTCTCCCAGCTAACACCCTGGTGTTATTCAACCTGCTTTGTTTGTAGTCAGTTTTGGTCCCTATATAATTGCCATTGCATTATTATTTTACTATTTAAATTCTCTGTCACTACCATGCAGGATAGGGGTGATGGGCCTGTTGGTCCCCCAGGGGACTTACAATTAGATAGTACTGATGGTGCCATGGCCTCCCAAGAGTTTCAGGCCATGTTAGAGGCCACTATGGCTTCCTCTATTCAGAAGGCTATTGCCTCAGCCATGGGAGCTGTCTCTTCTAATTTCTCCCAGTCCCTGCACTCTCTGATTTTACCTCCCATGGCCACCCCTGCCCTCTCCCCTGCTCAGACTGTGCCTGGAGCCCGTAAGGCAAAGGCTAAGTCCAAACATGTCGGCTCCCACTCCTCGATGCAGGTTTTGCCTGCCATGACTGACACGCCTGAGGCGGTCTCAGATAGCGCGCACCCCACGCGCAAAAGAGCCCCTGGCCGGGCTAAAAAGGCTAGACTATGGAAAAGGGCTAAAGCCCATGATATTGGGTCGGATACCGACCGGAGTGTGGAGGATGAATCCGACGCTATGGAGTACGACTCCTTTGATCATGATGATTCTGGCGAGGATTTGCCCCTTACGGGCGTGAACCCCTCCGGGTCCTCCGCCAATACCCGGGGCCCCTCACTTGCTCCCCCGGGGGGTGACACCTCGATCCTTGACCCGCAGGGCAACCCCCTGTTTGACCCAGACGACCTACGTCATCCTCGGTCCGCCGAGTGGGTTCCCCCAGATCACATCGCCCAATATGTGGCTAAGCGTATCCGCACGCCACTTTCTAGGGAAGGCCGCAATAAATTGCGCGCCGAGTGTCCACGCCCGTCCCTCCCGGGCGCGGCTTGCAAAACCCCGGACATTGACCCGCAAATTGCTCAATTCCTGAATAAGTCAGGATGGAAGCCCAAGAAGGGCCTTGACCATTCCCTTAAAAGCTGCCAGGACAAGATCCTGGATACCCTAGGTCCCCTTTCCAAGCTTTACGAGCTTTTGGATGCTGCCAGGACCGGGGACTCCGTTCTGGACGTGGATGTGGCCGTTGGTTGGGTCCAAAGAGCTATTTGCTTACTGGGGAACGCCAATACGGCCATGTCTACAGAAAGACGCAAGGCGATCCTCCTGAAGATCGACCCTAAATTGGCCGCTATGACTGTGGCGGAGCCTGATCCAACTGAGGAGGGTCTCCTGTTTGGCACGTCCTTCGTTAAGGATATGGGTGCTTATGTCAAGACCTTTACGGCTATTGACAAGGCACAGGCGAACATGAAGCGCGTGTTCGCGCCTAAGGTTTTCGGAGGGGCCGGGCGTAGCAGGAACCGTCCACCCGGCCGTGGTTTCCGAGGCGCATTCCGCGCAACCAGAGGTTCCTTCTTTCCCTCGAGAGGATTTCAGGAACAGAGGGCCCCTCCCTTCTTCCCGGCAAGAGGTCGGGCCTGGGGATCCAGATACCCCCGCGGTGGTACCCCCGGCAGACGTCCTTACGGTGAGTACCCTTTCTTCCCCTCACGCTCAAGTTCGGGTGGCGGGGAGACTGGCCTTATTTTGTCAAGAATGGGCAAAGATCACCTCAGATGCTTGGGTCTTACAATGTGTAAGGGGTTTTCGTCTGGAGTTTGTGTCCATGCCTGTCCAGTTTTACTTCCCCAGAGAATTGTCCCTACCTCAGGAGCAGGACGAGATGATTTCCACGGAAGTGGTAGAGATGCTGTCCAAGGGCGCTATAGAGGAGTTGCCGTTCGCCGCCCCAGGCTTTACGAGCAATTTATTCCTAGTGCCCAAGAAAGGAGGCGGAGTTCGCCCTGTCATAAATCTTCGCCCACTCAACGCTTTTCTACGCTACCAACACTTCCAGATGGAAGGTATACACTGCCTCAGGGACCTCCTACGTCAATCGGACTGGTTGGCCAAGCTAGACCTGAAGGACGCATACTTTACGGTCCCCATCGCTTTGGAGTTCCGGGATTATCTCCACTTCACCTGGCATGGGCGTCGTTGGCGCTTCACCTGCCTGCCTTTCGGTCTCTCCTCGGCCCCTTGGTGCTTCACCAAGCTCATGAAGCCCGTGGTGACATTCCTCCGAACCCGGGGGGTTCGCCTCATTATTTACCTGGACGATATCTTGATTTTATCCCAGTCACGAGAGGATCTCCTCACACACCTGGGATGGACGACCGACCTTCTGCAGAAGTTGGGATTTCTGATCAATTGGAGCAAGTCGGTCCTGGTCCCTGCCCAGTCCATAGAGTTTCTGGGTTTTCAAGTGGATTCCATCCAGCAGTTCCTGTTCCTTCCGGATGCCAAGGTGAAAGCCATCCAGAAGGAAATTCGGAGGGCCCTCCGTGTCCCGGATTTGTCGGTCAGACAACTGGCGAGAATTATCGGCCTTCTCGCGGCCTCCATTCAAGCAATTTTCCCAGGTCCCCTGCATTACCGAGCACTCCAACGGCTCAAAGGATCACGACTTCGCTCCGGTCATTCATACGAATCTCGGATAACATTAGACGAGGAGTCCAGGGACGAACTGGCGTGGTGGTTGGCGCACATGGAGGCATGGAACGGAAGAGCCATCTTCGGTTCTGTCCCGGACGTAGTGATAGAGTCCGATGCCAGCTTACACGGCTGGGGCGCTCGTTGTGGCAACGTCTCCACAGGAGGCAGGTGGTCCGACACAGAGAAGTCGTTACACATCAACTGCCTGGAACTTCTGGCAGGTGCCTTCGCGATCCGCAGCCTTGCTCCGGGGAGGGCGAATTGTTGCGTTCTCCTCAAGATGGACAACGTATCAGCAGTCCGTTACATAAATCACCTAGGGGGCACGAAATCCAAAATGTTGGCGATTCTGGCAAAGGATTTTTGGCAGTTCTGCCTCTACAACAACGTTTCGGTAACGGCGGAACACATCCCAGGTCTGGACAATTCGGGGGCGGATTGGAATTCCAGACACTTACGGGACTCCGGGGACTGGCATCTACATGCTTCAGTGTTCCAGTGCCTGAACAGGCTGTGGGGCCGGTTCCAGTTGGACCTATTCGCGTCACGCCTGAACACTCAGCTACCGAGGTTCTACAGTTGGAGGCCGGACCCGGCTGCAATAGCGACAGATGCCTTCCTCCAGGATTGGCCACCGGGTCTGATGTACGCCTTTCCCCCATTCAACATGATCGCACGCACGATCTCGAAACTGGTCCGCCACGATTGTCGGATGGCTTTGATCACCCCTCTATGGAGGTCTCGACCATGGTTCCCTCGGCTGATGGAATTGTCCATAGACTACCCTCGTTTACTTCCGGTATTCCAAGATCTTCTTCTGGATCCGGATGGGAACTCTCACGACCTGGTGTTGCAGCATCAGCTACCCCTCATAGCGTGGTTCCTTTCAGGGGACCTTGGGTTATCCCAGACGTTTCGCAGTCAACTCTCCGACTCCTCGATAACGCCTGGGCCCCGGGTACACGGACAGCTTACCGACATGCATGGAGATCATGGTCTGGTTGGTGCATGGAACGGGCAATGGATCCCGTATCTGCCCCTCTGCCTTTGATTCTGGAGTTCCTCACGTTCCTATTTGATTCGGGCAAGGCATACCGCACAATCAACCTTTTCCGCTCAGCTATCTCAGCCGGTCACGAAGGTCTAGACGGTTCTCCGGTCGGCAAGCATCCTTTTGTCTGTCGACTTCTCAAGGGTATTCGCCTTGCTCGTCCTCCTCGACCTCGTTTTGCCGCCTTTTGGGACGTCAACGTGATGCTACAGTTCCTATCATCATGGTACCCCAATTTGGAGCTGTCTCTCAAGCAATTGTCTGCCAAATTGGTTATGTTACTGTGCCTGATTTCTTGCAGAAGAGTCTCTGACGTCCGGGCCCTGGACTGGGACGCCGTTGCATTCACCCCAGAAGGCGTCACCTTTGACATTTCCAGGAGGACCAAGTCTGCATCTAAGACACTTACATACCCTAGGTTTTCGGACTGTCCAGCGCTCTGCCCGGTGGATTGCATCAAGGACTATCTGGATGTTGCACGTCCCCTTCGCATGACATTATGCGAGCGGCGGATTGGTCTCGGGAATCGACCTTCCGAACCTTCTACTTCAGGCCAATTGAGCACATCGCATCTCGTGTGGTGGCACAGCTTTGAACTTGCATAATATGAGCCTCCGTGTCTTTAATAAAATTCCCAGATTTTACTAGTAACATGACGTAAAGTCATGATTTTATTAAAGACACGGAGGCGAGTATTATTCCCTCCCACCCTCCCGGAGTGGAGTTGGGGTACGAGATGCTTGGTGGCTCTACAGGTATGTCTTTTTCAGTTCGTTCTGTTTCATATCAGTTGATTTGCATCTTTTGTACGGGTTGTTGTACCTTTATGCTGTGTACTAATTCTGTTGTTTTTATATTTCAGTACTCTGTTTTACCTGTGTCTCCCCAAGACTATGTTTGGTAAGTTTGCAGTTCTGAATTAAGAAATTACCATATTTCTCTATCTTTTTTAGCTTGAAATTGTCGCATCGTTTTCCCGTTACCCTGTTTCGGCCAAGTGGGACATCGTTCATCTTACCTGGTCTTCGGTTCGCAAGAAAGAGGGGGATTGTGGGAGACACAAGACTTATATAGCTACTTCCTATACCCTGTGATTGGCTACCTGTTGTGCCTATACAGTTTTTTCTTCAGTTTTGATAATATTTATATTTCTCTTTCTTTGCTGCTGAGGAAATAAAGAAAGAGTTATGCATAATACTCGCCTCCGTGTCTTTAATAAAATCATGACTTTACGTCATGTTACTAGTAAAATCTGGGAATTATTTTGTACAATAGTTTGCAACATTACCCTATTATCTTTCTGCTCTTGCAGAAACATGTAACCTGCTACAGATAGGAACTGCAATCTTCAATAGTCTGTTCTTTCCTTGTGCTTTGCATGTGATAAGAGCAGTAGACTTGATGAAAGCCTACCCTAGTCCAATAATTTTGTTCTTGTCATATGATATAGTTAGAAGCTGCAATACAGGTTGTGACTTGTATCTCTTACTTTTCCGTTTATAAAAGTCCAGATTTCAATTTTGAATTGACTTTTATAACTGGGGGCAGAAACACCTCCCTAGCCATCACGCAGACAGCCAAGGAAATTGTCTTCCTCTTCCGTAAGCCCAATAACAGAAGTGACAAGTGTGCACCTGCCTCACACCCTTTTTAAAGAGCTCTACTATAGATAATTGAAAAGCTTTCTCAGTGAGATGCCTCTAACTGAACGTCTGTGCCTGGGATAAACAGGAGGGTTTGCACCAGGTCTGCAGCCTTTGCCAGCTGTTTCATCATAAATACCCAAAGAAAGCATGTAGGAAAAAGCACATGCATGTGTTCTTTAGGGGAATATTTACTAAATAGTTTAAAAGCAGTAAACTAATTGTTCTTTTCATACATTGGTATGTGCAGTGGTTTTTACAGAAAAGATGCGCATACAGACTCCAAGCGCCATGATATGGATAGTGGAGATTTCAGATGATATATGCATATTTCCACTGACACAAGTCAGTGAACTAGCAGGTATATTGCATTGGAACTCCTCCCCTTTTTCATGCAGTTTTTGAGACCAGCAGTTTTTATTGATAACCCATTTCCAAGCCTGCATGCCTCTAATACTTGTTTTATGATGTGCTGTTCATATGGCTGGAGATGCCACTTGAGAATCACTAAAGTCACCCAGGCCCCTTCATCTCAATTTAACCCTTCAAGGTAAAACACTCACCCTTCTAGGTAAGCATTGCGGTTTCTGCAAAATGGCAAACACACCACTAGTGGCGGTTACACTGACAGCCACGGAGTAAAACTTGGTCACATGACGTGGATGCATTGATTCAATCCTTTCCTATGGAGTAACTTGTATGCATGCGCATCAGGTCACCATTGCTCCTATATGAGGAGTATTGGATCGGACCAAGCTGGAAGAGGCCATGCCTCCTTGATGACTTGCTTAAGTTGATTACTTTTTTGGGACACAAAGGGGGCAGGGACACTAAAGAACCATGGTGTTTGGAGTCTGTATGTTCAGCTTTTCAGTAAAAAGCACTGCACATACCGTGATATTAAAAAAACAAGCCGTTAATTGCTTTTTATCAATTTAGTAGATATACCACTAGAGAAAACCACAATTTTCCATGCATGCTTTTGATGGCTTTCCACTTAATCTCAGGCAGGGACTTTCTATCTGTGCCAAGGAATTGACAGATCAGAGGCTTCTCACTGAGAATGAATTTAAAGTGAATTTAAAATGTAAGGTCAAAATAGCCAAAGTGGAAACATTCTCAAGTAAGCTATGATCTCAGTTTGACCAACCTGGCCCTAAATTTGTAATTCACTTTGAATTCTCACTTTAGTGAATAACCATGTCAGTCTGACAATATCTTGTAAAGCACTGGGAGTCTAAAAGCTATATAGCCAAGCTGCAAAATATAAACTTGATAAAGTGCAGTAGTATAAATAGTGAAATGAAAAAATATCAAATAGATATTATTTGTCTCTCAATTCCAAGTGTCAAACATGTATCAAAGAATGTTTCTCTGGAGCAAAATCAAACTAAAGTGCATTTTGATTTTGCACTAGAGACGCTTTTTTTCATACATGTATAGCAAGCTTGCTTGGGAAGTTTAACTGTTAGCAATGAAACATATACACTGGTCAGCCAGAAAATGAAAACCACTTATAGGTAATGATTATATCATTACTATGACAACTGTCAATGGGTGGGATATAGATAGCAGCAAGTGAACAGTCAGTCATTGACTTTCATGTGTTGGAAGCAGGAAAAATGGGCATGCAAAAAATCTGTGACTTTGACAAGGGCCCAAAAGTGATGGCTAGAAGACTGGGTCAGAGCATCTCTAAAACAGCAAGTCTTGTGGGGTGTTCCCAGTATGCAGTGTTTAGTACCTATCAAATGTGGTGCAAGGAAAGACAACCGTTGAACCAGCGACAGGGTCATTCGAACCCAAGGCTCACTGATGCATCTGGGGTGCAAAAGATAGCCTATCTGGTCCGATCACACAGAAGAGCTACTGTAGCTCAATTTGCTGAAAAATGTAATGCTGGCCATGAGAGAACAGTGTCAAAACATGACCGCTGTCCACCACTGAAAGTTCCTTCGATGAGGACGTGAGCATCAGAACTGGACTATGAAGCAATGGAAGAACGCCAACTGGTCTGATGAATCGCGTTTTCTTTTAGATCAGGTAGGTGGCTGGATGTGTGTGCGTCATTTACCCGGGGAAGAGATAGCAGGCTGGCAGGGGCAGTGTTATGCTCTGGGCAATGTTCTGCTGGGAAACTTTTGGTCCTGGCAATTATGTGGATGTTACTTTGATACAAATCATCTTCTTAGATAATGCGGACCATATACACCCCTTCATGGCAATGGTGTTCCCTGATGGCAGTGGCCTCTTTCAGAAGGATAATGCACCCTGCCACACTGCAAATACTGTTCAGTAATGATTTGAGGACACTAACAAAGAGTTCACGGTGTTGCTTTGGCCTCTAAATTACCCAGATCTCAATCCCATTGAGCATCAGTGGAATGCGCTTGAACAAGAATTCCAATCTGTGCAGGCACCACCTCACAACTTGCTGCTAATGTGTTGGTGCCAGATACCACAGGAAACATTTAAAGGTCTTGTGGAACCAATGTCTCGACATAGGAGAGATTTTTTGGCAGCACTAGAGAATTCTACACTATATTAGGCAGGTGGTTTTAATGTTGTGGCTGATAAGTGTAGAAAAAAGAAGAGAGGAGAAAAAAAGAAGGAGAAGTTAAACAGTGTTTGTATTTCTCCTCCTTGTTTGCAATGTTTGCCCTGGCTTTGCCTTGGTGGAACTGGATCATAATATAATTTGTAATATCTTTAATATATATTTAAAGGAAAACAATCTCATGAAAAAGGTTAACACAGGTTGCAGGTGATTTCAATATTTTATTCAATGTGTGTTAATTTCAAAGAAGTGATAGTACACTTTAAGTCAACACAATCACACCAGGACCAACATATATCATACTGACCCTTCAATAGAGGCTGAAATGTGGGAATCTCTTGTAACTTGATAACTTCAGGATCTTTGCTGATGTTTCGGTTGGATTGGGTCCCTGGAGCCACAACTACAATGTCATCCATTTTTGCTCTCTGTTTAGCCGGAGATGGGACAGCTGCAAAATATGTTCAATAAAGACAGCATTTTCTATTAAAATATATAAGTTGATTAAAGAAAATAACATAACTTACTCTCTAGAAAGTTAGAAAGGTCACTGTGCCAGGTACGTGGACCATATACTCAGTCAACACATTCTGCTATCAATTTGCAATGATGGATTATGACTAAAATACATACAACTAATCACCAGACACCCACTTTTCTCTACTGTTAACTACTAGACCACCGGTATATAGTCACGCAAATTTGGTTGTGGAGTGTATACTAATTTAGCAAGGCCCTATCATTCTAAGGAGATATACAAAAAGTCATTATTAATAGTCTGACCATGCACTCTGCATTAATTATTAATTTACTGTGAACTGAAAGAAGAAAAAAAAACAGTACAGCATATACATAGGTATTTGAATAGTGACAAAAATATTATTGCTTCATCTTTGTTCTTAAAGCATAAAGTGCAGACTGTTAACTTAATTTCATGGTATTTATATCCATTAACTATGAACCAATTGGAAAGAATATTAGTTCACATCTTAATTTGTTTGCTCATTTAAAAGCTCTAAATTCAATCTGCACAATGTGCTGGTAAAATTGGATGCATATGTAAAGATCACAATATGCATGTGCATATTAGGTTTGTGATGCCATTGGGTATCGTGGGAGGTAGATATATATTATATTCATTGCTTTCCTCAAGCATTGAAAGGAGATACATTCTTAAAGTAAAGAATATACATAAAAATGAGAAAAAACAATTATCCCTACCATCAGTATATAACAGGATCCTTTGGCCATATACATAAATCTTTGATCAGACAGTGTCTGAAAAACAATAGTTAGTCTCAATGGTCTTCCCTGCTCCAGTCCTGTCATATACTAAAGTAGGGATGATTTCTCATATTTTACATATACTTTATTTTAAAAAAAATAAAAAAAATTATAATAATAATAATATTCCCTTTCAGTACTTGATGAAATTGTTATATGAAAATTATTATTATATTATTGATTTATCTAAAGAAGTCATCATTAAAGTCTATGGGATTTTTTTTGCAGATAAATTATTTGAAACGTTTCTTGGAACAGATTGGAATTATTTCTAAAGCTGATTCAAACTAATTACATTGAGGCCATAGTTGGGTACCTGCTTCTCAATGCAGCAGCTTCCTCTCTTGGTGCCCTTTTAAATAGTGAGCCCACCCTCACTGAAGCAGCATAATAAGAATTCAGCCTGCAGATTGTTAACACCAGCATTATCAAATGTAAAGCACAGAAAGGAGTCTATTTATTGACATAGAAATGGTTTTCTGTTGAGCACAATATTAAAAAGCCCTACCCAGCCGATTGTACTCACTGCAGCCAGTCCCACAGCATGCATTTCCTTTCCTGCAGCTCAAATGTGAGTCTGCAGTAATCTATCTGTGATGTAGATCTGAATGTTTATGCATAAAACACATGAATAATTGCTGAGTAATGTAAAAATGAGCAACTGCAAAAAGGGAAGGCTGCACATGTATGGGGTAGTGTGAGATTAAGAGAGAAGTCAAAGCCTAAACCCAAATTACATTCTAACCCCTGATTCTTAATGGGACACTGTAGGTACCATAACTACGTCCATAACATTGACTGTAGTCTGCAGACGCATGCCTGTCAAACTGTTAACTTCCCTTGCTGTGCCCAGAAAGCACTGTTTATGGGATATGCTCATCACTGGGAAAGGTTGCGTATTTCATAATCATTGAGTATTTGCAAAAAAAAGTACTAAACAGCTCAAAGCAACATTCCAAGCACCATAGCAAATAGAGCTCCCTGCAGTGTTTAAGGTGCAAGGAGTGCCCTGGTGACACCCTCCAACTGTAAGTAGTCTAACTGTCAAAAGAGCTTAAAGGACCACTATAGGCACCCAGGCCACTTCAGCTTAATGAAGTGGTCTGGGTGCCAGGTTCAGCTATGGACAGGTAATCCTTTTTCTCTAAACATAGCAGTTTCAGAGAAACTGCTATTTTCACATTAGGGTTAATCCAGCCTCTAGTGGCTGTCTCATTGACAGCCGCTAGAGGCGCTTCCATGCTTCTCACTGTGAATTTTGAGAATGCTTTCCTATGGACTGGCTGAATGCACGCGCGGCACCTGCCGCGCATTCAGCCGATGACATCGCTATGGAGGAGGCGAGTCCCCTGCCCGGCGCTGGAGAAAGAGGTAAGTTTAACCCCTTCCACCACCTAGAGCCCGGCGGGAGGGGGTACCCTCAGGGCACTATAGTGCCAGGAAAACGAGTATGTTTTCCTGGCACTATAGTGGTCCTTTAATTATTCATAAATACAAAAAATAATTAGGTAAAAAACTGGTGCAAAATGTACTTAAGTGCATATCTGTACAAACAACCATATGTGGTGCACAAGAGTGCACTTTATATACATGCTTATAAATTAATTGGGCAGACCCTGATCACCTATTAATAGAAAAGCAAGACAAATATGCAATACTGTAATATTTTAAAACATAGCTGAAAAATGGACTCTCACTCACAAAGGTAGAGTGCCACTCACAACTCTCCAGCTTAGGCAGGACCAACCCTTTGTGATAGAAGAACTACCCTGCATAGAAGAACTCCCCAGCAGCCAAAACCATTCTAGGACATATTTATTACATAAAGGTAAAAAAACAATGTGTTCTCCTCAGAATTACAAAGTCTGTATTAGCTCCTACAATCCCTGAAGATCGCTTGTGCAGACAAACCTGTAACCATTGTGCATTCCATACACTGTTCACATCCTCACGTAATGAGGTATGCGTCCCGAGCACTACTAGCACATACGGCGGATGATGTATCCGTCATCTTTGTTCCACTCGGGGGAGGAACGCATAGTGCATTCCACACGCTGTTTGCACTTTTACAGAATAAGGTATGCGCCTGCGCGGCTGGCTGCTCGATCGGCAGTATCTCCTATCCTGCAGTTTGGGGTGGGATATTGGCTTGGCATATCCGATTCCAGTTATTACAGGGACACATATGCGTTCCACTTTACAAACAAGAATTTATGGATATCAGGAGCTATGGACAGGTAATCCTTTTTTTTAAATTTTTTTATCTGCAAGGAAGTTAGACCAGTCATTTAATTTGATAGATGCCCTCGAAGGCACAGAGTTTATCTTTCTACTTCTGACTAGTCTCTCCTTGCTCTTACATTCATCATTTAAGTCAGTATTTCTTTTCATCACCTTCTATTTAAGTAGCACTATTAGATTTATCTCTCTACAATCTAGATTTTGTATGCATTGCTGCACCAGTTATTAGGATTCAATAAACAGCTGTTTAGGCGATATTTACCGTTTACAACCCTCTGATTGTTGCTATTTTTTCTCTGCTTTGGATACGGACTTTATTGTGCACTTTATTTGTAATAACAATTCAGACATCAAATTGCAACAGTATCCTATTCACAGAGATAATTTAGCCTGGGATCTTTCAAGAGCATATAAACCTATACTCATTGCAAGTGTATCCTAAATATATAGGTTTCTATATGTGATTACTGACTTTATTATTTTACTCACGTTCCCTCGCATTATTTTTTTGTTTACAGGTTTTAGTTTATGTGTGTGTCTTTTATTATCAACGACTTTTAAAAGTTGTTTTATGATCTATCTTTAGCTTAGGACAGTGTATTTCTGTTATTGTCTACATTTCTCAATTAGGGTTAACCCCTTCACTGCCCTACGATTTCTCTTTGATACAATTAGCTTCCAATGTTTTCTTTAACTACAGTTTGACAAATTACACTACATGGTATTCCTGGCAGTATAACCACAACAGCAGGCTGTAGTGGATGCGATGCTGGGAGTGTTCCTTTAAATGGAGAAAGTGAGAGTTTTCTTCATATGTTTAATGTAAAAACTCTTCAAATATATTTAAAAATTATAAATTGACCTGGTGTGTCTGATTCAATTTTAGATCAGTAAACAATACTACAGCTTCTTGTTTTAAAATTTACATTAGGAGCTGGGTATTTGACATTGTAAGGGTTCTTTTTTTGGTCTTAAATTTGCAAGTGAATGTAATATGCATTTACCTGAAGAGCCATCACCACCATGCCGAATATCAGATTCTGAACTCTGATCAGCACCCATGTTGTTAAGCACTTGCAGTGATTAATCTACAATCTCTAAAATAAAGGAAAAATAAAACCAATGTAATAACTGTTATACAGCCCTAAACAAATGTTATTAACAATGACAAATGTAACAGCTTCTCTTTTGGATAATCCTAAAATACTTTAGATATCAACAGTCTATGGATGCAACTTTTGTGTGAATATAGTCCAAATTGTGCATTATTTTGGGTTGCTGAAAACACAGTATCAAATAAAAAATTAGATAAATGTTGTGAACATAAAATATATTTTAGGGAAATAAAATTGTATTCATGTCCCGTGTACAAGGTTTTCAGTACATGAGAATAAACATACAGGTCAAATGAAAAGACAGAAAGGCAAAGCAGTGAACATTTTTTTTTCCTTTGCTCACTTCGCAGGAGATTTGTCTTGAAGGTTATTTTGTTTTTGTAACTTTCCAAACAAGAAAATCTGAAAAATGTGTGTCAAAATAGCATAGAAAAAAAAAATAAATAGCTCTATTATTGATCTCAATGTTCATTACATTTATCAAGTTGGTGTTTTCAACTTTACATACAACACTTAAAAAACAAAAAAACTAAACAGTACAGTACTACTAATACCAGTGAGATGTTTTTGAGGGTAACACCTCATTTTACTCAACAAACAGATCCTTGATATCAGCATTCTGAGTCAAAATACCAGTGGAAGTTAAACCAGTACTTTAGTGCCCCTAGCTTCCTCAGAAATACCCCAACCAGTAATTATAGCAAAGAGTGAGAAAATGAGGCCTTTAGCAGTATTTGTGATAGGCAAGCCCCCTCCCCCCCATTTGAAGGCAGTGTAGTCTCAGTAAACAATTTGTTCTGGCCAGTCAATGACCTGATGAACATGATATGGATGTTACAGCTAGCAGGGGGCAACTAAATATAGCATGATAACCCAATCAAAAAGCAAATAAGCAGAACTGTAGCTAAAACATTTTATTAAACATCAAGAACTTAATTTCTGCTAAAACAAACTCTAACGTGTCAAAACAGTATTGTTTATGCCAGGCTACAAAGTTATTTAAAATATATATATTTTTTTGGCGGCGCCTGACTTCCGGCGCGAATGGCGGCTTTCTGAGGGAGCTCCGTCCACAGAGGCACAGAGCCGGCTAACAACAGCGCCCGTAACCGCTCAATCCACCCCCACTTGGTCACCCCAGCTGCTCCCCACGGTACTCACCTGAACTACAATGGGAGGCGGACGAAAATCAAAGCAAGGCGCGGAGGTAGCGCCGATTTTTCGGAGCCGCAAAGATGGCGGCGCCATGCGCTCAGAAGATGGCCGCGGCTATGATTCAGACTCAGCAGCCAGCGACACAAGCCGAGCGACCACCTCTACTCCACTAACAAAAGACGACCTCCACCACCTACTACAAGAAATTAAAGCTAATATGAAGGTGGAATTCGACAAACACCTCACACCCATCAAAGAGGGCCTAATTGATCTGACACACAGAACCACGGCCATAGAGGAACAGCTTGACCGTACAACCACACGCACCACGGTAAATGAAAACGCCATAGCCTCTCTCCAAGACCAGGTCCGCCAACTGGAAGAGGCTCAGGAGGACCTTAACAATCGGTCACGCCGCAATAATATTAGGATACGCGGGGTGCCTGAAACGGTCGACATGGATACGCTAGGCCCAACACTGCGGGAGCTCTTTTGCGGCCTACTCCCAGAAGCCTCACCGGCGGAACTCCTGCTGGACAGAGCACACAGGGCCCTGCGAACACCCCTGCCCAATGCCACCCAACCCAGGGACGTCATTATCAGAGTGCACTACTTCCATATCAAGGAAGCACTCATGCAAGCAGCCCGAAACACACCACTACAACTAGAAGGACACCAAGTCTCCTTCTACCAAGACCTAGCCCCGAGCACCTTAAGAAAGAGAAGGGAACTACGGCCCCTCACCCAAGAACTCGCAAGGCAACACATCCGCTACTCATGGGGGCACCCATTCAAGCTGCAAGTAAGGAAGAACAACCGTACTTACATCTTACACAACACAGCTGAAATGCACGACTTCGCTGAGAGCCTCGGCCTTGACCCTACAACCCTCACCGCTGACCCAAATCCCAGAAGAAGCGAAAGAGGTCCTCCACCCAGGAATGCACCACCGCCTACCGGGGCACGCCAGATACCCAATAGCCCGCGCCCCAGGGCCGAAAACTGAACGACAAGATGACCACCCACCACCCTACAAGCCAACAGAAGGTCGACGAAAGACCCAATACGGACTGCCCACAAAAAGAACTCTGACTACCCATGCAGCAGCTCACTACTCACCCAGACTCATCGATCCGACTACAACTGGTACCAACGACCACAGACCTCTCCACATCCTAATGCTGGACTTACTACCGATACAACCGCTGATGACACCAAACTCCAGATAAGATCTGCTTAACGCACCACTTCCTTAACTTAAATGTTATATTTATATTTATATTTATGTATATATATATATGTACTATGCTTAGCTGTTTAACACTCCTAGCTTGACATGATAGAGCACATAATACAGACGGCGGGTACTAGTACATCATTCGGTGTAAGCTACTACACACGGGGGATGGCACCGCACTGCAAACCCCAAGGACCACCCCAAACCTAGCTACCATGGCTAATAACAAGGGGACAGGCCTGACCTAAGTTACAACCGACATACCCCCCCCAGCCCCAGGCAATAAGTGTGGAGCCCACCCAACCACGGACAAGGTCCAGGGACATAACCAAGACCTACTGGGGCCCCCCCGAGCCACGCGCTCACCCACCTGACCCTACAATAAGACACCTGGCCCTCATAGAGCCCCTGAACCACCTGCGCCAGGGTCGAGTAGTCAAGCTCCCACCCCTAGCCCACAGGTCAGATGACATTCCCACTGGCCACACTGGGACATTGTACAAACAGCATACCCTAGGAAATGAACGGGCCCGGACAAGCGTAATGCTGCGCACGCCCCCCCTGGGGAACAACGCATGCAGGGGGCTCCTCGATAACACTGACAGGCCAGTTTAGGGATGGGAACACCGCACATCCTACTAACAGACAGGTTGGGCCTAGAAGGCGCCGGGGGACTATAGCTCCACTAAGACAAACTACTATCCCCCCTGTAGGCCCTCTACCCAGGGAACCACTCAAAGCACCACAGAGGGACACTCTAAACGAAGGCCCAAGAACCCCCAAAGAGAAGACCCCACAGTTGAAGGTATAAATGTGACTAGGTTCAGGTTGAAGTTCAACTAATATGTTACAAAATGTACAAATGATGAGGTTTGGTTTTCAGCTACAGGATACACCCAGTTACATAGGCTCACAGAAGTCACACTCGGCAAACAGCGCCCTACCGACAACTCAAGACCGGACGATGACGAAACCTCCCTCACCACTAAACTGCATGGGGACCTACCAGACAGCCAGACTACTGACTCACGAGACCACAAGGTACGACCTTACCACCACACGACACAATACATAACGAACATATCCCACAGAAACATCAACAACAAGACGATGACCACCCATAGCAGGCGTAGAAACTCAGATACCCACTGAAAACTGCCTTAGGACGACTCAGACTGGACAGTCGCCAACCCCTGACACAAATCCACCCAAACTCTCAGGGAAAACCCACGGAGCGGTCGGACGCTTCGCCCCAATACCTGCTGGCCCTTGGATAAGCCCAGCAGCACACCTCCCCCCCTCACCCCCAAATAACCTCCCGCTTCCCTACTCCCCTTACCCAACCTCCCCCCCTCGTGGTCCGCGGCCACTCAGACGCGCAACCCCTGCTATCCCAACACCGCGCACCCGAACGGAACACCACACCGCCACAGGCACCATGCCAACGTCCATACGCTGCATCTCTATCAACGCCAAAGGACTTAACTCCCCCAACAAAAGACACAGCATCCTCCGCTGGGCACACAAACAACAAGCCGACGTACTCCTCATACAAGAAACCCACTTCACAACCCATCGCACGTTCCCACTCACAAATAGATACTACACACAAAGCTTTCATGCTCCTTCCCCATCCACCAAAACTAAAGGCGTAGCTATCCTCCTGAGAGCAAATAGCCCCCTCACAGACATTACCTGCTCTAAAGACCCACAGGGCAGATATGTCACCATAAAGGGAAAAATAGGCACAATACAATACGCCTTCTCCTCGATATACGCACCCACAACACCAGATACTTCCTTCTGGCAACAGCTAACAACCCACCTCAACATTTACTCAACCACACGACTCATAGTGGGTGGGGACTGTAATGCAGCCCACACCCCTGCCATAGACAGGACTTCACTCACGTCCACGCGAACGCGCCCATACCAAAATGATATCCTCTTCGCCCAATTTCTAGCCTCACAAAAACTGGTAGACATCTGGAGGGCACAACACCCTACCACCAAAGATTACACCTTCTACTCCCACACACACGGAACTTACTCGCGCATCGACCATTTCCTCATCTCCCCAAACTTGGTACCCCAAATCACCAAGTCAGAGATCGGACCAATCTCTTGGTCCGATCATGCCGAAATAGCAATCACTCTACACCTACCAACCATTCACACACATTGGTCATGGCGACTGAACCCAATACTCCTTCACGATAAACTGATCAAAGACAAGATAACCACGGCAATCAAAGACTACTTTGAACTAAACTCGCCCACAACCACCTCTCCCATGACCCTATGGGCTGCTCATAAAGCAGTAATCAGAGGCACATTCATCAACCTAGCCTCTCACAAAAAAAAACAGGCTCAACGACAAATACTTGAGACAATGACGGAACTCCGTCGTCTAGAGACAGATCACAAAAAGGATCCCAACCCGACCACCCTGGCCAACCTTACCACAGCTAGAAACCTCCTTAAAACCCTCACCCAAGCAGACACAACCAAAGCTCTGATGTGGCTCAAACAAAAATATTACGAAAAGGGAAACAAAGCCGACACCATGCTCGCACGCAGACTCAAAAAACGCACCGAGGCCAAACGAATTACATTAATACGCACAAACACTGGCACTATGACTGACTGTCCAGATAGCATAGGCAAAATCTTCCAGGACTATTACACAGACCTTTATAACCATGACCACCGACCCCAAGACACCAGGCCAACATTGCCCGCACGCATAGAAACATTTCTAAAAGACGCAACACTGCCCACCCTCACCCAAGAGGCCCAAGCGACACTAAGCCAAGAGGTCACGATAGAAGAAATGGCGTTGGCAGTGGGACCCCTCAAACCAAACAAAAGTCCAGGGCCGGATGGTTACACAGCCCTATACTATAAGGAGTTTGGCCCACTGCTCCTCACGCACCTATGCAAGGTCTTTAACGCAGCACTCAAGGGGGAGAACCTCCCACCAGAAATGACTGGGGCGAACATCTGCCTCCTCCCCAAACCGGGAAAAGACCACACGGAACCCGCACACTACAGGCCAATCTCCCTCCTCAATGTGGACCTTAAAATCATGACCAAAATTATGGCTAACCGACTAAACCCATATCTACAGTCCCTCATACATCCAGATCAAGTGGGATTCATACCACACAGACAGGCAGCAGACAACACCCGGAGAGCCATAGACCTCATCTGGCTGGCCAACCATAGAAAGATCCCGACGGCGATCATCTCTCTAGACGCGGAAAAAGCGTTTGATCGCCTGCTCTGGCCGTTCCTTCATCACACACTAACACACATAGGGATGCCATCCAAATTCACCTCATTCCTACAAGCCATTTATCACGCCCCTCAGGGCGCACTCCTACTACCCAACATCCCCCCACCACGATTCCCCATCTCAAACGGCACGAGACAGGGATGTCCTTTGTCCCCCCTGCTTTTTGCCATTTCACTGGAACCTTTACTACAAGCGGTGCGCAGCAGCCAGGAGATAGAGGGGTTAACGATTAGAGGGGAAACCTTCAAAATTTCTGCCTATGCAGATGACATCTTGCTAACCCTAACAAGACCAGAAAGATCCATAAACTCCCTCCTAAACATCATCCAAGAATACTCCGACTTGTCGGGGTACAAGATCAACCTGACTAAATCGGAACTCCTCCCGATACAAATAGACCCCCCAAGCTTAGCCATAATCAAACAAACATGCCCAATGAGGATCTGCCACACAACGATGACATACCTCGGGATCCATCTCCCATCAGACGTCACCACCCTATACGAAACAAACTACACTCCCCTGCTACGAAAGGCCCACTCAGACCTCATCAAATGGAGACCCTTAGGAGTCTCGTGGCTGGGGCGCATCGCCACAATTAAAATGAATCTACTTCCCAGATTCCTATACCTCTACCAAACCCTACCCATACCGATCAATAAACAAGACTTCAAGGCACTGCAGTCAGCTATAGACACATTTATATGGAATGGACACAAACCCAGAGTGCGCCGAAACACACTATACGTACCCAAGAAGCATGGGGGACTAGGACTACCACACTTCACACACTACCACACGGCAGCACACCTAACGCAGATACAACAATGGCACGTTCCACCAGGGGAAAAAAGATGGGTGGACTTGGAACACAACATCTTCGGTCGGGACCACCCGTCCCTGTACATGTGGGTACCCAAACCACATAGACCCCTACCCCCTCCCACCGCACCCTCAATCACCCATGCACTTGACACATGGGACAAAACGAGGGACAAATTTGAACTGTCATCGTTCCTATCTCCTATGACCCCCATATGGAGGAACAAGCTGTTCCCACCAGGACTTACCCCCAAGCACTTCGCCCACTTTGAACACAGGGACATCTCCCGTCTAGGGCATTTATACCAAGACGACGACATTATAAAATTTTCAGATATCAAAGACTCACCCTCACTCACATCATTCGATCACTTTAGATTCATACAATTGCGCAGCTTTGCAGCGACTCCAATCATAAAGCAAGCAGGCACGGCTCAACTCAATCGATTTGAAAGAGACTGCATTGCGCACCCCAACAGACAGGGACAAATCTCCGACATATATGCAACCTTGGCGACCCACCACACACAACAGTCTCTCCCATACATAGCAGCATGGGAGGCAGACCTCGGACCCCCAGATGAAACAACAGATTGGTCAGACATCTGGGAAGCCACGGCCTCCATCTCCATATGTGTCACGCACACTGAGCAAGCCTACAAAATGCTATTCCATTGGTACCTCACCCCCCAACGCCTGGCCATCATGCACCAAATACCAGCCAATACCTGCTGGAAACAATGCGGAGAAACGGGAACGTTCCTCCACTGTTGGTGGACGTGCCCAAAACTCCAACCACTTTGGCAAGACACCACACGCCTAATCTCCAAACTAATAGACAAACCTTGTCCCTTAGACCCTTGGATGCTCCTACTCTCCAAGCCAATAGACCAATACACTAGAGCTGAAAATAAGCTATCCGCCCGCATAGCCCTTGCAACACGTAGAGCCATAGCAGAAGTTTGGTCAACAAACCGCATACCGACACAAGAAACAATCAACAAGAAAATAATAGATGGCATGCAAATGGATAGGCTCACAGCACAATTAAATGACTCGCCCAAAAAGTTCCACAAAATATGGGACCCATGGCTGGAGGGAGACACGACCATTCCGTGGTAACACGATAGGACACTAACCGCCCCCCTAGCACAGGGACCCCCCAATCGAGGATATCACACACCTTCAAACAAGTACAACCCTCACCCAACCACATAGCCCCAAACACCAACCTAGGACCCCCAAGAGGGGCCCGCACGCGGGGTGGCTCGCGGACCGCGAATCCTCCCCCACATGCCCACACCGCCCTATCCCACAACCCTTATCCTAAACCACTCCTCGACTCGGACAAGGCTGCACCCACACATACCGAGACAGGACTCAAAGAGTCGACGAGCGACAAAACCCATCCCTTAAGAACGCAGAAACGGCAGAGAACTTAAACAAGCGTTCAATGACGATACAATGTTGATACGAATGTAAGCTAGTTTCAATATGCAACAGTACCCTGCGTTGGTACCGACATTAAATTTGAAAGTACTATTATGTCTTGAACCACCCCCACCCACCCCTCCTTTTATTTTCTGTACCCCACTCCCCTCCCTCCTACTTTCAAGGAGAAAAACCTACAAATAAAGAATTAAAAAAAAAAAAATATATATATTTTACAGCTTTTATTTACACATGTAAGAGTGTGTGTGTGTGTGTGTGTTTAATGATACTGTAGCTTTCCTTTTTCTAGGGATAGTTATGCAAAATGTTTATTGCACAGCTCTAATAAAACCATAATAAAACCAGGTAAAGTAGTAATTTCCAAGGGGTGATGATCAGCTCCTTTGAGCATGTTGCCACGATAAAAAAAAATAAAAAAAATTAGATGTATGGACCCTTGTGAATATTTGAGAAGCTACTGAAATGTGACTATTATAATAAATCTAGCTAATAGTGCAGGTTCCATGATGACATTACATGTAATAACGATGCAGTTAAGCTACATACTAGTTTGCTGGGATCAACAACATACTGGAGGAAGATTTATGGTCTATCGCTGATTTGAACTTTATTTACAGGTCCTACTGCCCGGAACATCCCGTTACCGGCTCCGGTTGCCGTGGTTACCTCAGGATCACGCAGAGCACTTCCGGGTTCCGTCTGCTGCCTGGATGGAAGGCTGTACTTCCGGGTAGAGGTGCACAGCCTGTTAGTGACGTCACATGATTCTAATTTGTTTACATGGAATGCTCATGCAGTTTGTGCTTAGCTAAGCTTTGCGTTCTAGCTTCTTCTGTGAATTACATTTTCTATGACAGGTTGCGTGCTGAGTAAGAGTAGTACAGTCAAGTACTGGAGTGCCACAGCTACGACTGTTATGAGATGCAGACAAAGAAGTTAAACTTAAGTAAATCAGAGGAGAGTATTAGGTTCATCTGTTAGTATGAGGGTTCACCCAAATAAAAAACAACCAGACTAATATAAGGAGATATATGATGCAAATCAGTGGAACACCACTCCCGCCAGTGGTCAACAAATAAATCACATATAAAGCCACAGCAGCACACACAAGTAAATGCTCTGCCTGGTGGTGAACATCCCTCATAGAGGTGGAGGGCCAGTGCAAGGATTTTTGGGTACACAAGCAAAGATGATTTTGGTTTCCCCCCCAACCATCCAAAAGCATCTTGACCTGTGTTTCTTATCCCCTTTTTTAAATAAGGTATCCCCTTTAGTGTACCTTATCCCCTATTTTTCCCCATTGTGTGTCTTACACCTCCCTTGTGTATGTCTTACAACCCCCCCCCCCCTTGTGTTTCTCTTTCACAACCAGCCCGTCTATTTCCCCCCAGCCCCTCTGTGTCTCTTTTTTCTCTTCTCCAGCCCCTTTGTATTTCCAGGCCCTTCTGTGTGGCACTTTTATCCCCAGCCCCTCTGTGAACTTTCTCACCCCAGGCCCATATGTGTGTTTTCTCCCCATAGAGGCCCTCTGTGTTCCTCTCTCCTCCGTCCCATAGTGTTTCTCCCCCCTCCGTCCCATAGTGTTCCTCCCCCTTCCCTCCCATAGTGTTCCTTCCCCCTCCGATCCATAGTGTTCTTTCCCCCCGCCCTGTCCCATAGTTGTCACGCCGTCCGCCAGGACCGCTCCTGTCAGAGAGCGACGTGGGTCCCAGCAGGCGCGCATCGTTGTGGCTGCATTCCCACACACTAAGGGGAATGCCGTCGATCTCCTACCTTTCAGGTCTCCGCCCATCGGGTCCGCTCATACACGGCGGGCACATCTCGGTCCGGTGGCATTCCCACACACTAAGGGGAATGCTGCCCATCACTCACCCCTTGTGGTGGCTCCTCCTCTTCTCACAGTGGTTGGCTCTCTAAACATTAGAGACGCCAGCCGCTGCAACTGATAAGCATATAAGGGTTTCCATGTTTAACCCTTAAAGGGTAAGTTCAGTAAATTTCATGAACGTGTTTCACATACACGCCCATGATCACATGCTTCCCTGCAGCCAATCAGGAAGAACTTTAGACTATATGAGCCTGTTTTGTCCATTTCTCTGTGCCCTGTCGTGGTTTCCATATTGGTTATATGAGACCGCATTCCTTGTATTGATTCTTGTGTATTTGACCTTGGCTTGCCTTCTGACTTTTCCGATCTCTGTATTCCTTGACCTTTGGCTTGGCTCCTGACTATTCTGATTTCTCCATTCCTTGACCCGTGGCTTGTTAATCGTTTATGTTATTTCTACGTCTTGTCTTTACCCTGTCTTGTGGTTGATTGCCTTTATACGTTAAATCCGGCCATTCTAAGGCCCGGTAATATGTCTTAGGTGTTTTCTTATTTTTTACTTAAGTTCTGCGTGTTGGGCATCTACAGTAATCCTGACAATAGGGTTCTTCCCCCTGTCCCATAGTGTTCTCTCCCTTTCCCCTGTCCCATAGTGTTCTCTCCCTTTCCCCTGTCCCATAGTGTTCTCTCCCTTTCCCCTGTCCCATAGTGTTCTCTCCCTTTCCCCTGTCCCATAGTGTTCTTTCCCCCAGTCTTATAGTGTTCTTTCCCCACATCCCACAGTGTTCTTTCCCCACATCCCACAGTGTTCTTTCCCCATCCCACAGTGTTCTTTCCCCATCCCATAGTGTTCTTTCCCCCGTCCCATAGTGTTCTTTCCCCCGTCCCATAGTGTTCTTTCCCCCGTCCCATAGTGTTCTTTCCCCTGTCCCATAGTGTTCTTTCCCTGTCCCATAGTGTTTCTTTCCCGTCCATAGTCTTTTCCCCGTCCCATAGTCTTCTCCCTCCCCTGTCCCATAGTCTTCTTCTTCCCTCCCATAGTCTTCTTTCCCCTCCCTGTCCCATAGTGTTCTTTCCCTTCCTGTCCCATAGTGATCTTTCCTCCCCTGTCCCATAGTGTTCTTTCCCCTCCCTGTCCCATTGTGTTCTCTCCCCTGTGTTTCCCCTGTCCCATTGTGTCTTCTCCCCCGTCCCATAGTGTTCTCCCCTGTCCCATAGTGTTCTCTCCCCTGTCCCATAGTGTTCTCTCCCCTGTCCCATAGTGTTCTCCCCCGTCCCATAGTGTTCCCTGTGTTCTTTCCCTGTCCCATAGTGTTCTCTCCCCTGTCCCATAGTGTTCCCCTGTCCATAGTGTTCTCTCCCCCTGTGTGTTCTCCTCCCCTGTCCCATAGTGTTCTTTCCTCCCTGTCCCATAGTGTTCTTTCCCCTGTCCCATAGTGTTCTCTCCCCCTGTCCCATAGTGTTCTCTCCCCCTCCCCCTGTCCCATAGTGTTTTCTCCCCTTCTCTGTCCCATAGTGTTCTTTCCCCCCTCCCCTGTCCCATAGTGTTCTTCCATCCACCCCCGTCCCATAGTGTTCCTCACCACCCCACCCCCATCCCTTAGTGCCACTCTGTCTCCCCCCCTTGGTCTCTGATAAGTCTCCTACCTTTATTGTAGCGTGGCTGAGCGGAGCAGACCGCGGTGCAGGAACTTCAATGAGTACTACCTTTCAGTCCAGTCGGGTACAGGACACATACGTTCCTGTACCGCGGTGCGCGCTGCTCCGCTCGGCCAGGCTACATAGAGTGACTGCTAGGACGAATTGCTGTGTGCCCACCTCCTGCCGGTCACTCTGATCTAGCACCTCACAGGTGTGCCGCCTTATGGACGCACCAACCCTGTAGAGGTGCATTGATGCAGTGTATCTCTATGAGGAGATGCTGATTGGTACAGCGTGCCGTTTTGTCACGCATGCACGATAGCCTCTCAATGATCTCTTATGGCAAAGCATTGGATTAGTTAGAACCCTTACTCATGGTACCTAGAGGGGTATCAGCATCACCTCGAAACGATTGTCTGGGGTTACTGTATCTCTCCTGCAGAGAGGATACGAACTGCTCTTTTGGGTGGGATTAGTTTGTTATTGAAATTGTCCTGGTTCATTTTGTAATGACCTAGAGCCAGCTTGAGATCTGAGTGGGGACCCACCGAAGGGCAGGCTACGTGAGCTGTTGTCCGTTCTCAGTATTCTCTTGCTCTCTATTCAGTGATGTCATAGGGGGAAGCTATACTGCCAGGCTGAACAAGTTTTTTTAATTATGTGCATGCTGTACAGGTAGAAGTGAGCCTATATATCTACACACATTTATGCTTGTTTTTATACTTGCTACAGTACATAATGAGCTATCCTTCCTTTACTTTATGTTCTGCTCATAAAAAAAAAAAAAATCCTTCATCAGATATAAATGTCTCCTCAAAATCATAGTTATTTTGAGTTGGTTAATGTTTTTGTGGGTTTGTGGCTAGAAGGACTACCATAGAGATTTGGTGTGTCAGCTTCAATGATCACAGGTTGAAGGCAAGCTAGGAGATCTGAGGATCTTGCAAACCAGCTTTCGTAATAAGTGGCCTGACCTCTTTGCCATTCACCCCACTGGAAGTTTAGCTTGACTGTTTTTCTCCTACCTCACTGGAGAGCATGTACCTGCACTTGGCAGCAGTGTGTAACAGATAATGGTAATAGTGTTAACATCATATTACAAAGTACTCTGCTGTCACCTGCTGGAACTTCAGTGATGAAGCAGCTTGCATGAAGATAAGCTCAAGCAAGTAACCTACACCCATCGGGTTATTCGCTGAAGAGAGCATTGCTGGGAATTCAAAATTAATTTTAAATTTAAAGGAACACTATGTAATTAGAATAAAAACATGTATTCCTACTGCTATAGTGTTTGACCATTTAGTTAACCCCCCTTTAGTTAACCCCCAATTGATTCTTAAAATTAAACCTAGTTAAAGGGTTCAAATGTACCTGTAAACGCATTCGGCAAAGTTACTGGTGCTCCTTTCCACAACTCCAATATTGTCACAGCCACCCTCGAAGAGAAACATTTGATTGGACATGTATGTGTATATGTGTATTGTATGTGGTAGGAGGTGGTGAGGGGAAAGTGGGTGAGAGGGAGGGAATGGAAAAGGAAGTGATATTTAAAGAATAATGGGATAGGAGACGGGAATTGCAGGAAGGGGTTACAAGAAAAAGGGAGGGAGGGCACAAAAAGCTCTCTCTTGCAATACTTGCCTGCGATCCCTGCCTAACTATCCCCTTAATATCCATGTGAAAAAGCAGAATATTGACCAGAGCATAACACTGCCTCAGTTGGCTTGTCTTCTTCCCATAGTGCATCCTGCAGCCAAGGTAAATAGGTACACTCACCTGGCCATCCACCTGATTTAAAGGAAAACATTATTCATCATAGCAGGCAATCATTTTCTATTTTTCCAGTTTGGATGATCTAGTCCCCATTTAAGGTGCTTTTGGTAGTGGACATGGGTCAACATTGGCACTCTGACTGGTATGTGGCTATGCAGACCCATACGCAACAAACGGCGATGCTCTATGTGTTCTGACAACTTTCAATCATGTCAGCATTTACTTAGAGGTGCACTCCAAGCACCATATCTAACTTTACTCCTTGCCTTGTAATGAGCTCTTCTTGTCTTAGTACCATAATTCTCCTAACTCTAAACTCAATTCTCCTCAACCTATAATTAGTTATTACCCTGACTATTTTTCTCTGCTAATCATAATTTTCAAATCTGAAACTTGGAAGTGGGTTGCTGTGTAACCTTGCTTAGACCTGCTTTCATATGATTTAGAGCAGGGGTAGTCAACCTTTTTCTACCTACCGCCCACTAATGCATCTTTCTTGATGGAAACATTTCCTTACCGCCCACCAGTTTTTGCGCAAGTGCAGAATATTTTTAGAAAGGAGGATGTTTAAAAAAAAAAAAATGTACGTACATTTATTTTTTTATTTTTACTTTATGCATGTTTATAATGTTTTTAACTTTATAAAGTTTAATGAGAAAACAATAAAGTAAACTGAAATTACCTTTACTAGTGATTAATGAGATCCTTGAGGTTGATGCTGCGAGACTAAATATTTGATATCTGGTTCGATTTTCGTAAGGAACAAACAAAGGTCTCCTCTTTCGGTTATATTCAGACGACTTCTCTGTTTGCTCATAATATGATTTCTCATCTGTGCGTTAGCTCCCCTCCTCTCCCTCCTCAATTCCCTTCCCCACTTTTTTTTTTCCCTTTTTTTCTATTTTTTATAGCAAGGCCCAGTAGGAAGGCTGAGCTAGGTAGCCCACTTACTATTGCTTACTATAGACCACCATAACAGACAGGCACACATACATACAAACACACACACAAGACACACATACCCACATAAAGACTGACACACACACATGACACACATACAAAGACACATACAGACAGGCACACAGACAGGCATACATATACACACACACACACAAGACACACATACATTCAAACATACAGGCACACAGACATGCACACATACATACAGACACACACACACACACATAAGACATACATACAAAGACACATACATATACACATACAGACAAACACAAGACACACATACATACAAAGACACATACACACACAACACATACATACAAAGACAAGACACACATATATACAGACACACACACAAGACATACATACAAAGACACACATACAAAGACACAAACACACATACATACAGATAGACACACACAAGACATACATACAAAGACACATACACACAAACACACACAAAATATTTTAGTCACCCTCCTGTTTCCTACCTTTTAGGTGCAGGAGGGTGACTTTCCCTGGGGTCCAGTGGTGGCTCAGGTGGATGGGAGTCAGAGTTCTCACTCTGACTCCCTCTGCTTCCTCCCGCGCGATGTGTGTTAGCTGGGAGGAGTGACGTGCAGTCACTTCCTCCCAGCTCTGTGATGTAATCACAGGGGGCCCGGTCGCGCTGTTAAAGCGCCCAGCGCTGGCCGGGCCCCCTTACAATCCATAACCATTGGGTGGCCCTGACAGCATGGGCCACCCGATGAACTCCTTGGACGGCGTCCCCAGCGGTTTGCCGCGCGGGCCGGGGCTGCAAATGGTGATGGCGGGTACCCAGTTGCAGGGGTAGCGCCGGCTCGCACCCTGCCGCCCGCCCAATCTCTCGAAATGAGGAAATCCCTACCGCCCACCTGGAATCCTGAAACACCCACTAGTGGGCGGTAGGGACCAGGTTGACGACCCATGATTTAGAGAAAATGATTTTGTAGAAGGGAAATTAACGCTTACAGGGTAATTCTGTAGTCGGATAATTTTTAAGGCTGGGGAAGAAATATTTTCAAGTTAAAAAAAACAATCCAACCCCCCTAACAACTTCAGCTTATTGAAGTTTTTTGAGGAGCAGGAAAGTCAACATGACACTCCAATGTTTTAACTCTGAAGTTGCTCCTTCCCTGCAAGAAGATTTGCCTCGTCACTTCCTTCCGCTGCAGTATTAGAGTCAATTAACACTCCCATTGAGAGAAATATTAAGTACTTATTACTATAATTGCTCTCTAAAGAGATGGCACCTAAACTCTCTACATCCAATACAATGCACTGTAGTGGTCATGGTGCTCAGTGTCCCTTTAACTGCAATACAATGATGCAGTAGGTATAATAGGTAAGTATTTGTAAATAATTTTTCTTTCCTTTAATCTTCTGAATTATCACTTAATAAAAATGCTGTTAAATCTTTATGTCTAAGTGGTATGGGTGGTATATTGAGATGCAAAACTTGGGGCAATCTAAGGGGACATAGTAGTACCCTGTTGCACTTTAACTTTTGCTTTGAAAAACCCACTGACCACAATTAACTGAACAGCGTGCTTAGTCATAAAGCAAAATTTGTTCTTAAACCTGTTTGACCAGAATCAGTGTGTGGGCTGATAATGGCAAAAAAACCTTTATTCTCAGAAACATTTGGCAGCTATTTTTGAACAGTTAAAGGTAAGGAATTGCATGCATGTACTTACGCATGTTTTAGTTCTTTATGAATCTAGTTAATAAAATTAGCTCTGAAACCGGATGGACGAATATCATATTTCAGCAAATTTATCTACTGACAGAATTTCAGGATGAGAATTATATAACAGATTAGTGGCTAGTCATCCATTAAGTCTTGCATCCATAAAATAAATATTCTTTATTGAAAGTAACTGAAGTATGCTATTTGTCCCTAATGAAAGAGGGAAGATAGATGGGAGTGGTTTTAAAAATACTGATGAGGACAAGTAAAGATTAAAAGGACAACTGACAGGATGACCGGGAAAGTTGATGTCCCAGTAATACTAGTCCATCTGTTCCATATAACTGCCATAACAAGGAAGAACTTGTTCTGCAATTAAAGTACATGGTAGGACAAGTCCCAGAAACTAGAAAATGTCTAACAGTTATAAGAATTGGAGGTCAGGTAAGACTCTTACTGAGCTATTCCCTTTGATGCGTAACCAGCTAAGAGATATGAAGCAAACATAAAGGGGGAAAAATTAGACAAGGCAATCAGAGCATTTGGCATCTGGAAGACATATGGGCAATTTAGTTCTCCTTGTCAGAAAGATAGTTTGTCAATATTATAAATATTTATCTTAAATGAGTTGAAAATCATCAAATAACACTTGTGCATGGCACGGATCTATCAGAATGTTACATTAGAGCAGCGTTTCACAATTGGTGTTCCAAAATGGGGGTTCTGCAGCGATTTGCCCATTGGGCGGGAGCCAGCAACACTGAAGGAAGTCACCCTCCTGAAGAAAAAAGGTAAATGAACAGAACGGTGACTGCAAATATAAATATATGTGTGTGTAACTGTATTTCAATGTGTGTATATCTGTGTGTGTGCATGTGCCAGTTTATGTATCTATGTGCCATAGTGTGTGTATGTGTCACTATGTGTACGTGCTAGTTTGTATCTGTGTGTCAGTGTGCTCATGTGTGTCAATGTATCTGTCAGTGTGTGTGTGTGTCAATGTGTGTATCATTGTGCCAGTGTGTGTATCTGTCAGTATGTGTATCTCTATGTCAGTGTATCTGAGTGTGTGTATGTGTCAGTGTGTTTATCTGTGTGCCAATGTGTGTATGTGTCACTGTGTGTATCTGTGTTCGTAAATCTGTCAGTGCATCTGTGCTTCATTGTATCTGTCAGTGTGTGTCAGTGGGTTAAAATGTACCATGTGTGTATCTGTGTGCGTATGTGTCAGTGTATCTGTCAGTGTGTGTGTGTGTATGCCAATGTGTGTATCATTGTGCCAGTGTGTGTATATCTGTGTGCCAAGGTGTGTATTTCTGTCTGCTAATTGAAAGGTTTATGCTACGTTGCAAATTTATTTTGTTGGGGTTCCAGAGGAAAAAATAATTGGAACCCCTGCATTAGAGCAACATGTTTCAATTAATTTCAACAGACATTAACATGTTTGATTTCTTAAAGGAACACTAAATCATAAGGAATCAAAACTTGTATTCCTAACTCTTTTGTATTCCTGTCCCTAGTAATATAGGTTCCCTCCACCCCCATGTGTCCCATAACAAATTTGTGTTTAGTGAATAGCCCAGGTTCACAATTTGGTGTTTAGTGAATTGCTCCTAAGTATGTTCCTTCTAGGCAGTGAAAGTGTAAGATTGAGATGTGAGGCATGTATCCCAGTTAGTAAATAACTGTCAGGCTATGTGTTGGTAATGTGTCCTCTGTTGAAGCCATGTGTAATTTCAGCAAAAATCTTCACACTGCTCATCCACACTGATGCCGCAGATCATTCCAGCATTAATTTTAATGTTGGACACTGCTTTCTTGCATCCGTTTTTTCTGATATTCCCTTGCATCATTCTCAGGGCACATCCTCAGCTGCCTCATTTCATTTACACCCACCATCTACCTTTTGGTTAACAGAAATGACACTAACCAATAGCGTTCTCTTCTCTACACCCCTAAGTATGTTAATTTATGTATAGCCTGTGCCCTGTTGTGCTTCTTGTTGCCCTTATCTAGTATTGTGATTTTGCATATATGACCTGGCTTTGTTTGACTATTCTGTATTCCAAGATCTTGGCTTGCCTTACTGTTCTGTTTTACTTCTGTAATCCTTGACCTTGGCACAGTGGCATAGGGCAGGTTGACAGGGGTAAGGCAATTATTGCACCTCCCCCCCACAACCCTGTGGATTGTTAGCACTCACAGAGTTCCTTAACGGGCGCCTAGATAGTCCTGCTCCTCCTTCCCTACCCACATTGTCTGCGTGATGTGAATGACACTGATAGTTGCATTGTAAAATGTTTAAAGTCCACCTTATACCTAAAGTAATGTGAATAGACTATACACATTACCTTAAGTGTGAGATGGGTTTTTAAAAATTACTCAATGCAACTATCAGTGTCATTCACATCACAGAGACAAGGTTGGTAGGGAAGGAGGAGAAAGGTTAGCTAGGCCCCCATTAACAGCGTTAATGCCTATTTAATAGGCAATCATATAATGATTATTAATAGCGTGATTTCCCATTTGAAGATAACAGCGGTATCTTCAAGGGGAAATCACACTATTAATGGGCATTGTGTAATTAATCAATAAGGATTACACGAGGACAGTATGGCAGTAATTAGCAACAAAAAACCCACTGTAAAATTTTACGTGGCAACGTTTATTTGTCCCATCATGTTGAAAAACTGTGCAGAATGTTTGAACATTGGGAGATTTTCTGTATGAGGGGAAGGGCACGCTATTTTTTTTTAAATTTATTATTACTACTTCCTTTTTTTTTTTTTTTGCGTCCCTACTATTTTTGCTCCCCAGACAACCGCGCCTCTAGCCCTCCCAACTGCCGTTCCTCCTGCTTGTTTATCCTGCTTGCAGTTGTGTTTTTGCCCCATTTGAGCCTCATGCTAACCACAGCCATCCTAAGACTGGCAATCCATGTCTATCCAATATTTATCTTTATATAGTCTTGCCTTTTTGTGACTAAATCCTGACAATCATTCAGAGAAAGCTAAGTATTTTCTTTGAACAGGTGCTAATTAAAGGATATTATGTTGGGATGGAAGTATCCGGTTTAATCCATGTTATTTAGTAAGGTACTATTTGCCGTTTCTGTAGTACTGAGTGTGGCCTTTTTTCAGTATGTGGAGTTCTAGCCCACCTTACAGGGTACTATACTTTTTAGACCAGATAGGTAGCAGCTTGGGTAGTGTAGAATTTATCATTTGTGATTGCAATGGGAGTGCATTGCACACATTTTCTCAGATTCATTCACTAAGCTAGTCATACCACGAAAAGTTAAATTTCTACAGTGATGCTTAACTAACCTTATGTTATTTATTTTTTTACCTTATTTCCCCCTTAAATGTCGTTAAATAACTGGTTTTACTGTTCTCAGACAGAATCCAAAGGCAGATGATATACTTGTCAAACAAGTGTGGTAACTTCTGGGGCAGGAATTTCCCTTTTGTGATGCAGATGAGTCTACCGATCTGAATTTAAAGAGACGCACTACATTTTTTGAAAATGGACTGGGAAAAAAATCCACAGGATCAATATAGCTTACAACCATAGCCATTCCAATAAGCTGTAGAGATCGTGGTGCCTGGAGTGTGCATTATAAATGTATTCTTTATATAACTTTGATGCATGCTGTAGAGTTAGCAAATGTGACAAATGTTAATGTCAATTGAAAACCAAATTGCTAAATTCAGGCTACAATAGAAAAGCTGTGACTATAGATGAGATGGAATTTCTCACATGTAACATAATTTACATGTATTATCAGAAAAGCTCATTGATTTGAGGTAGATTTGACAGAACTTCTCATTCCCATTGGTTCCTACAACTGAACTAATTGAAGACCTATAAAAGGGACTAGAGAACAGAAATGAATGCTACCATAGGACAATTATATCTTTCTTTTCCATTTTAAATCACGACTAATGACGTTGGTTCTTTGTCTACTAAATGACCACATATAAATAAAATTCCGATAAATGATATAATAGATTCAGTTACACAAAACATCAACATATTTCAAAAGAATAAGAAATAAGAAAGACGTTGCATATAGAAAATAAAATCCTGGGCTCACTCCCGTATTTTACAATCATCTATAGAAAATATTAATTTGGAAAACTGGAAAAATAAAGGTATTACAAAAATAAAATAAATAGTAGACCAAAATAAAATAAAACCTTTTCCCAGACTTGTTTTAGAATATAACATCCCGAATAAAGACATTTTTAACTACTTAAGATTGTGAGGCTTTCTCTCAAAACATCTGTACAAAGGAAGTTCAGAAATAAAGATTTAGAAATATTACTGGAACAAGATAACTATAAAGGTTTCATGTCTAAGTGTGCCCAAATTGTACATACAATGTCATCTAGAACTGAACCTACAGCCATAAAAAAAGTGGGAACAGGATCTTAAGATCAAGATTGATCAATATGAATGGGAAAGATCCATTGACGTAACATACAAATGCATTCATTGTAATAACTTAAGAGAAACCCAATATAAGGTACAGAACAGATAGTACTGGGTACCGTCAAGAACTGAGAAATTGAAAGATAGTAGCGGAGATTCAGATATTTACTGTTGGAGATGCGGAAAAGACAAAGGAAGTATGATGCATATGTGGCGGAGTTGTCCATTAATAAGGAAGCTGTGGAAAAATGTGTTCACATTTATAGAATATATAAGTAATAAGAAACTAGAAAGAAGCCCAGAACTGGCCCTACTACATTTAAAGGTGAATAATATCCTTCCTATAATTTTACATATACTAACTGCGGTAAAACTAATGATTGCAAAAAACTGGAAAACAAGAAACATTCCTAAACTGGAGACATGAATCAAACAAATAATCTGGCAATGCAAAATGGAAAAGGGCTGCCAAAAAATAGAACAAACAAAGAGAAAGATCATCTGGAAATTATGGCCAAAAAAAATAGAATCCCTCTAGAAGCTTGTGTAATTACAATCAGATAAGGTTAATACAGATATTTCTATTTGTAACTCTCTCTCAAGGGATAGTTAGATTACATAATGTGTGTAAATGTAATGAACATTAGTAATTTATTGAGTACTTCATAAGAAAAATAAATACTCTATACTTTATAATTCTGAAAGTGAGTTAACAGACAAAGACAACTAAAATCATTGAATGTGACTGCAGATAAGAACACCCTCACACACACATCACCCCTCACACACACATGCTGCACTCTTCACACATACACCCAACACATAATATGTTCCCCTCACACATACAATATGTCCAAACATAAAATATAAACTCTGAATCCTCTACACACACACTCTGGGTCCTTTACACACTAGATCTCCTACACACACACACACACACACACACTGCACCACCTACACATACTACATTCCTGACATACAAACTCTGGATCCCCCATGCACACACTACATTCCTTGTAAGCAAACACATACAACATTCTCTAATCACACACTCTGTACAACCCCTACACACAGTTTGTCACCTATACTGAACTCCCTTCCCTTCTCCGTAAGAATTTCACACAGTCTCCACTCATTCAAAAAATCATTGAAAACTCACTTCTTCAAGAAAGCATATCAATTAAACTGTTAGCAGGTTTTCATCCCCCACTCTCCATGACTCCTCTACTGCAACTGTCAAATATAACCTACTAAGCCCTCAGTGAATACTTTTCTAACAACCTACTTCGTACCCCTACTTTTACCCTCTGTGTCACTATACCCCACTCCCTCTAGAATGTAAGCTCATTGAGCAGGGCCCTCCACCCCTCTGTTCCTGTACGTCCAGTTGTCTGGTTACAATTACATGTCTGTTAGTCCACCCATTGTACAGCGCTACGGAATGTGATGGTGCTATATAAATAATAAAATAATAATAAAAATAATAATAGTATACACACACACACACACACACACACACTATAGCCCATATGCACACACTCACTACATCCCCTATACACACTATGCCCCCTATACACACACACACTCTCTCTCTACAGCCCCTAGCCACTCATATTACACCACAAACACGAATGAAATCGACCTATTTACACAATACCACACCACAAGCAGCTCACTCTACACACACGCAATCCCACAAGCAGGCTCCAAACACATGTACCATATGCTTTCCTGGCCATTTTGTCCTCTGGTATCCCACTTATGGAGACACCAGAGACAAGTTAAAAGCAAACACAGCGCAAGCATGTTATTAAATTTCCTTGCGCTGTGCCGAACAAATACATGGCCTTTTTCCCATGCTTGAGATCTTCAGCAGGGCTCTGCGTATTGAACTAACATGCTCACTTTGAGAGGGGGCGTGCTGTCATTAGTCATGACAAAATACACCCTCTCTGGCCCCACCCCCTTCTCAGGGGGCCGCTGTGATTGAAAAATGCCTGGGCCGAATTTTTTCCCAGTCCGGCCCTGCTTGGAAGTGTTTAAAAGAGAGTGATTCCTTTGCATGTTGCAGTGTCCCCTATTGATTCCATCTTGGGACGCGTGGTGTCAGCCAGGTTGCGCAAGTCAGGCCCGCTGAAGACTGCGTGTAACAGCAGTATAAAGTGAGGGTGTATAAGCAGTCATGTGTCTAGGTGTGAGTAGAGGTGTTCATGTCGGATGCGTGTGTAGGCTGCCTGAAAGCGGTCCCTGAAGCCTGGCTTCGTAGTGGTGATCCAGGTGTTCCCCTCGGTGCCGGGGGGGCATAAAGGGGTAGCGTAAGGTAGGGTGGTAGATAAGTCGCCCAGTTCTGCATTGAATCATTGTGATGGGTGAATATCCAGATTGTACATATTTACATACATATTTATTTGCAGTGAACCCACATATCTTCACTTCAGGGAGAACCCTCAAACATAGGGCAGTCGGCTGTGTGAACACTAGTCCTATTGGTTCCCTCATCAGTCAATGCGTCATAGTGTGCTAGTGAGTTGGCATCTTTAGGGCTTATATGGGATGGCTGAGATGGGATGCATAGGTCGTATTGCTCTCAAATATTGTTCACAAATCTGTTTAACCCCTAAAAGGACCACTCTAGGCACCCAGACCACTTCAGCTTAATGAAGTGGTCTGAGTGCCAGGTCCAGCTAGGGTTAACCCATTTTTTTTATAAACATAGCAGTTTCAGAGAAACTGCTATGTTTGTAAATGGGTTAATCCTTCCTCCAAAGCCTCTAGTGGCTGTCTCATTGACAGCCGCTAGAGGCGCTTGTGTGATTCTCAGTGAGAGCACGCAAGCGTCCATAGGAAAGCATTGTAAATGCTTTCCTATACGACCGGCTGAATGCGTGCGCAGCTCTTGCCACGCGTGCGCATTCTGTCGAATGGGCGGAGGGGAGGAGGATCGGGGGGGAGAACTCCCCGCCTGGCGCTGGAAAAAGGTAAGTTTTTACCCCCTTCCTCTCCCCAGAGCCAGGCGGGAGGGGGACTCTGAGGGTGGGGGCACCCTCAGGGCACTATAGTGCCAGGAAAACGAGTATGTTTTCCTGGCACTATAGTGGTCCTTTAAGGACACATAAGTGTTGCATTTATAATTTTGTTCAGTGTATGAGAAAAACTCAATAAAAAATTTTTTTTCCAAAAGAGGTAGAGGAGTAGCCATATATGGCTAGTTTATTTACCTATTTCACATTTCATTTTTTGTGATACCCTGCTATGTGACTCCTTACCATAGTACTGTATACATTTTAGAGTATTGTGACTCCCCATCTGATACTATATATACCTCTCCAGGTCGCACTGGTTCACATTCTGTGGACTGAGTGGGTTCTTTATATATTCAGTAGTTCTTATAGGGTTAAGCCCTGTAGACACTCCTGGAGTGTCTAACTAGTGTACAGGTTGCAGGAATATTTTTCCTGGTGCATGAAAATTTCTGTTTTTTGTTTGTGTCTGGCTGGTAGCCTCTGAGCTAGAATGCGGGTCTGATGACTGTTATTAGCCCGGTATATCGGAGTAAGCTCACATTGCTGTGTCGATGTGTATCCAGCTCGTACAGGTGCTGGCTCCGCCCCATAGTCTTACCTAAAGTTATTTTGACACTGTTTACATAACCATGTCATCGCCAATCTCTGCTAAATATTAGAGTAAAATTGTGTTTTTCCTCTATTTTAACATATACCCATATAACAACATTTTTTTAATGTGTATTTCTAAAGCTGGTTTGTGCTATTCCTGTACAGAACCCAATATTGTGTTCAGCTACATCTGCTGGGTACAATGATACCCCCATTGTATGCCTTTGGCACTATTCTGTGAAGCTACAATGCCAATAGTGAGACAAGGCTATTTAAGTTTCCATAGTTAGAATTTTCATAGTTGCATTTGATGGGCCTATGTCTCATTATTGGGGAATTATAGCAGTTTGACCATTTTTCACTGACTTATGTTTGTGATGAGGAAAAATTTTTTAATTTTTTTCATACATGTTGCATTTGTGCTGGGTATTTGTGATATGTGCCACTGTGTCATAAAATCCCCCTAATTATGCTCAGTTACATCTTCTGAGTAAAACAATATGACCACTATTGCCTAGACACTTTTTTGTGAAGTTACAGTGCTGTAAAAGAGATGTGAAAATTTCAGGTTTTTAAATGTGAATTTTCATAGATGGTTTAGATGGGTCCGTGTTCTGTTTTTGAGCATTTTAGCAGGCTACATATCCCAATTACACCATAAAGGCATACCATTTCTTAAAGAAGACATCCCAGGATCTTTCAAAAGGCATATTTTGAACATTAGCGTGGGATCATTTTTCCGCTAGTTTGTACCAAGTGTAGTGTATATAGGCATTTGTTCTACCTTTTTGACGCACACAGTGAGCTTTTACTGTATATTTTGCAAACCTTATGTGTTATACGGCAGTATAATACTTCTTAGGTTGCTCAGCTATGTCATCTGAGTACAGGAATACCCAAGTATGTACTTTTGGGGCACATTTGAGACAGAGCAATTCAGTTTTTTTCAAGTTTGAATTTTTACCCTTGGTCCATGTCCCATTTTGGGGAAGTTTAGCAGGTTTGTTATTCAAACTACCCCACAAACGCATACCATTTTTTTAAAGAATGCACCTTTCAATGCATATTTTAAACCTTAGAGTGGGATAATTTTTTTGCTAGTTTGTTTCAGTTGTCAGGGCCGATCCTAGGGTCACAGACGCCTGGGTGCAACATTTTTTGGGGTGCCCCCAGGTGGATGTGGTCATCATACAAACCCCTCCCGTCCAAACGTAGATGCTTCTAGAGTAATTGGCTGGCAGATAGACTTACCTTTATTTACCTTTATTTAGTGTGGCCAAGTGGATTGTGGGTAGAGAATCATGTGCTTAGCGAGCACTCCCTCACAGATTGGGTAGAGAATACAGAAGATCCTATACCTGCGGTCCGATCATCCATGCTACATATATTGACAGGCCTGAGGGGAGCCCGACCGTACCATACGACCAGGGCCGGCCCAAGACATTGTGCTCCCTGGGTCCAAGAATCAAGTGCTGCCCCCTCATCGCAAACACATACAAGCACAACAATGTGGTTACACATATACATTGGCACATTCACACACTCCCAGACAGGGCCTGTGCAAGACTTGTTTGCCACTTGAGACCTAGGTATATTTTGCTGCCACTTGCTGATCCCGTCCATGGACATTTTATATGTACACAGGCATTTCAATCTGCTTTCCCTTACCTTGTTTAACTCCACCGCTTCTGCTCCTCTTAACATCATGTTCTCTGCACTTTTTCCCTCTTACTGACCCTTTCCACAGCACCCGATTGCACTACACTTCCATGTCTCTCACTCCCTATTTCCTTCCATGTCTCTCACTCCCTATTTCCTTCTATGTGTCTCTCCCCCCCTTCTTTCATGTCTCTCTCCCCCTTTCTTCCATCTTTCACTCCCCTCTTCTTCCATGTCTCTCACTTTCTCCCCTTTTTCCATGTCTCTTACTTTCCCCCATTCTTCCATCTTTCACTCCCCCTTTCTACCATGTCTCTCGTTTCCCCCATTCTTCCATCTTTCACTCCCCCTTCTTCCATGTCCCCCACTTTCCCCCCCTTCTTAAGTGTACCTCTCTTCCATGTATCCATATGTCTCCCTCACAGAGCCCACACCAGCTCTGCGCACACACACTGATTGCCCCCCTCTCCCTGCTTTAATTCCTGTCATGGCAAGGAAGGGTGGCTCATCGAAATCCTGCGTGGCGTGCTCTGCATGTTTCAAAGTGAGCGCCTGGTGGTCACATGACACCCGGTGCTCCAAAGCAGATCGCGAGGGGAGGCGCTCTCTGCTGATTTAGTGCATGCAGTTCTCTTATGGAGCCGCACGCTACCCGAGTGTCAGCTTACCACAAAGGATCACTTCAGAAGCAATGGGGGTAAGGGCACAGCGCAAGAAGGAGCCCTCAGTGCTGCACAGAAATAAAATACATCACGAGCCTTATCAGTTAGGTGCATTGAGGTGCTGTCTGTGCCCCCCTTCTCCCACAATCACCTTGCACCTGGGGACGGTGCACCTTGTGCACCCGCCCAGGATTGGGCCTGGCAGGTGTATTTTTTTATATTTTTTAAAACTTTTTTTACTTTTCAAAACTTTTTTTACGCTTTTAAATTTTTTATTTTTTTTTTTATAAACTTTTATTTACTGTTAACCACTAACTAGCCTAACAGTAAATTCTCTCAATTTCCCACTAACTTCCTCTCAACCCAGCTAGCTAAACATATAATTTAAAAATATCTAAAATATTTAATTAAATAAACTGAACCCTTAAATGTTAAAATAAAATAAAAATTTACCCTCAGGGATTAAAAAAAAAAATCAGATCACATTTGTATTTTGATCACTGCAGTCAGTGATCAATTGGTAGGAAAGAGGTTAATTTTAATAAAGTAGGGTACGGGGGGATTTAACGTTCATCTTACAGAGGGAGAAGATTTGCAGCACTGATCCGTCTTTACACTGAACACGGAAGCGCAGAGAAATGGATCAGGAGTCCTTGCAGCGTATGTGCTCGCTCTGACAGCCTGCAGGAACCGTGTGTTCCTCGTCTACTTTGGATATCAAGGCAGAATGGAGTAGCATTAACCCCACGATTACTGCGATCTGGGGTTAACTTTAGTAAATGACTGAAAATTTCCATCATGCGTCCTTAATAGTAGGACAAGCATGACGGAAAACTTCCGTCAAGCATCACAAAGGGGTTGAGCTAAAGTTGTTTTGGTGACTCTAATGTCCCTTAATGTGTATTTTGAGTCTCTTGAAACTGTTAATTTAAAATCATTCACTTTTAAACACTCCTAGGGGAGCATGCATTGTTTACATACACCCATGTTCCATGTTCTCTGTAGTGGCATGTTACTGTTAGATAGACATTCCAATGCAATAGGGACATGGCGTGCTGGGGCGTGATCAATAAAGACTCTGGTAACAAGTGGGCGTGGCCTTGCGGCGGTGGTGGGCGGGGCTATGCGGCGGTGGTGGGTGGGGCTATGCGGCTGTGATGGGCGGTGTCTGGCTGCGGCGGAGGTTCAGTACGTGTCGGGGAGTTGAGGGCTCTGAGAGGTGAGATCACGGAGGGGAGCGGGTGGAGGGCAGGTGTCTGGCGGACTCACTGAGAGCTGGGCAGAAGTGGGAGCGGTAACCATGTCTCCCAGCCCCCCAGTGAGATACAGACTAATAATGCCGGGGGTCTGCTGGGATAGAGCTCTGTATGGGGGATGATGGGCAGTGCAGTGGGGGGATGATGGGCAGTGCAGTGGGAGGATGATGGGCAGTGCAGTGGGGGGGATGATGGGCAGTGCAGTGGGGATGATGCAGTGCAGTGGGGGGATGAGCCTAGGAGGCATGCGGTGGGGGGATGATGGGCTGTGCAGTGGGGGGGATGATGGGCTGTGCAGTGGGGGATGATGGGCTGTGCAGTGGGGGGATGATGGGCTGTGCAGTGGGGGGATGATGGGCTGTGTGCAGTGGGGGGATGATGGGCTGTGCAGTGGGGGGGATGATGGGCTGTGCAGTGGGGGGATGATGGGCAGTGCAGTGGGGGATGATGGGCAGTGCAGTGGGGGGATGATGGGCAGTGCAGGTGGGGGGATGATGGGCAGTGGGTGGGGGGATGGGCTGTGTGCAGTGGGGGGATGATGGGCTGTGCAGTGGGGGATGATGGGCAGTGCAGTGGGGGGGATGGGCAGTGCAGTGGGGGAGGGATGATGGGCTGTGCAGTGGGGATGATGGGCTGTGCAGTGGGGGGGATGGGCTGTGCAGTGGGGAGGGGATGATGGGCTGTGCAGTGGGGGGATGATGGGCACTGCAGTGGGGGGATGATGGGCAGTGCTGCAGTGGGGGATGATGGGCTGTGCAGTGGGGGTGTATGTGAGTTACAGGGGTGCAGGATGTAAGTGTGTGGGTGGCCGTGTCTGAAGTCATTGGGGGTCAGCAGTCAGAGGTGAACCAGTATTATCTGTGTGTAAGCAGTAATGCAGGGTGAGGAGCTGGTACTGTTACATTTATTGGGGGCTAGGGGTGTAACGGCAGTGGGGGCCTGTGATCCTTTCATTGTAAGAGGTAAAATGACTCGGGCTAGTGGTGTAAGGTAGGTGACTTTAGGTGAAATGGCAACGGCCTTGGGGTGTGACTTTAGATTGTTGAAATAGTGGGGACTATAGGTGTAATGGTGGGTGAAATATTGTGGACTAGGATGGCATTGGCAATATGGTAGAGGTGATGAGGAAATGCTGGGGCTTGTGAGACTGATATAAGGAGCTGTGGTACATAGAAATAGCATTTGATCTATGAGGGGGGTAAGTTGCAGGCTGGTTGCTCTGGGAGAAGTGTGAGGTTTTTAAATGTATGATAGTAGTCAGCTGTATGGATTACTAGAGCATAGTAAGACTAGCTGAACATGGCTCCAATATTGAGAAAGGTAAAAATTATTGGGGTCATTTGTAGGATGTATAGAAAGAGTAGATAAAGATGGGTGAGGTTATAGAGATCTACATGGGGATGGCTATGCAAAATGATTTCACGTTCGATCTCTGTGGAAAAAAAAAAAAAGTACATTCTGCTGGGGGTGCTGAGAGCTCTGTGCACGGTCATTAATATTGGTGCATGAATGCACTGCACAATGGAATCACTATTTTGTGGTTCACTGTCAGCTGATCAAGGATTATACAATGCAAATTGTCTATTCCTCTGTATTTAGAATGTAAATTAGGCAATTCAGATTGTGATGCTGGAATCCAGACATTTATATTTGGCTTGTCCATTATAAGGTCTTTTATGTGTCCATTTAGATATCTGCAGGAAGGGGACACTTTGGTATGTTTCGTCAGCTTCCTGAACATAATATAAATCAAACTTTTTCAAGGCGTGCAATAAACCTCACAAAAGGGCTAATAATCACATTCAATGCATTTAGGGCGAGTGGAAATCTGTTTTAAATTAGATAGTAGGTACATTATAGATGCTTACAGTCAGCTGCTTGCCATTTGCGCATGTTCTTGCTGTATCATCTATAAATTGTGTTTTTGTATTTTTTATTTTTTTTGGCTGCTTATACATGCAAAATGTACATTGAAGGGTGCAGGGTGGATGGGGCCCAGCATTTATCCCCATTACCAGTGCTCCTTAAGTCATCTATGCATTACTCTCTATTAGAATGATGGAGTTTCCTTTGTGCCTGTGGTGTATTCATGAGGATACATGGGTATAATCAGAGACATTTAGAATTTAAATGCATGTTTGCAGTTCTCTTGAAGTCATATGACTGTCCTACTTCAGATGAAAGCTTGTACTGCGGCATGTATTTTTGAGTAGTTATATATTTGTGCCAACGTGTATACTTCTGCCAGTGTAATAAGTTTACAGAGGCAAATTGCCACTGCTCAAATACACATTGCCATCGGTGCAGAACGATTTTAAGGTCATTCTTAGACTCTGTATTTTCAGGATGTTTGTGTATGAATACACTTATTGCAGTCTGTTTGTGCCATGTTCATGGATACACCATAGCACAGATAAGGATGGTCTGAAAGACTGCGTGTTGGGGAAGTCTAAGAGATTGGCTTTTGATAAGCTATACAACCGCCTTGAGCTTTTCACAACATTGCCCAATGTTAAAGTTGTACATCAAAAGAGAGCAAAACTAACCTTCTTTACAAGTCAATTGCATCACCATGGTAGGGTTGCAAACTAGCTGTATAACCAGGAAGCATTGTGCATCAGCAAATTCTGTGATGCTTTGTATTCACTCTTTAAGAAGAGTATCATGGGGATTGTTGTTTAAACAAAAGACAGTTGATATTGACTTACAGATTTATACAATACTTGTTTATTCAGTTAATCCAATCACAACTATTCACCAGTTTTTACCAAGCTATCTATGACAGTATAATTTTGATATTTACCTTTTTTTAAAGTTTTTTATTTTTAACATCACATTTGCTTAGTGATAGAAACAGATCAGTAGATATTGTCAGCCATTGATGGTACAGCTGGCTTCATGAGTAAATCTATCTATCTCACATGTGAACCTCCTATAAATCTATTTATTTGGTTTGTCAACAAAATTCAGAGCTAGAGTCTTGTAAAGTATTTCTACCATTTCCCCCTGAAAATAAGACATTTTCAGGGGATGCTCATTTTATTATTCATATTATAAAAGTCTTTAGGGTGAGCATCAGAGATAGGAGTATTAACAGAGGTTAGACGTAGGTCTCCGGCAGAGCGTAGGGGCCTACCCGGGACACATTTGTGTATTAGTGAGGATAAGTAGGTTGGAGCAGCATTATGTAGAGATTTGTAAGCAAGTATCAGGCTCTTAAATGGAGTCCTATATCTTACAGGAAGCCAATGTAGGGACTGAAGAAGGGGGAGAAGGCATGAGAGGTGTAGGCAGACAGTAGGTTGAGCCTTGCCGTCCCATTCATTATAGACTGTCTGACTAGAAGGTCTCTGTGCTGCCTCTCTTATTAATGCCCTCCTTGCCTGGTCTGTGAGTTTTGGTGGGCGGTCGTCTCTTGGCAGGTTTGCTGTTGTCATGTTCTTTCCATTTGGTTATGATAGATTTAGATATTTTATAACCTAACTCTGACTTGTACTTCTCAACAACATTGTCCCTTGCTTGTTTGGAGAGTTCCTTGGTCTTCATGGCAGGGTTTGGTTAGTGGTGCCTCTTGCTTAGGTGTTGCAGCCTCTGGGGCCTTTCAAAAAAGGTGTGTATATATAATGACGATTATGTGACACTTAGATTGCACACAGGTGGACATCATATCCCTAATTATGTGACTTCTGAAGGTATTGGTTGGACCAGAGCTTTTTATGGGCTTCATAACAAAGGAGGTGAATACATACGCACATGCCAATTTTCTGTTTTCTATTTCTAAAAAATAGTTTTATGTTTATATGTTTCTCATTTTACTTCATCAACTTAGACTATTGTGTTCTTATCCATCACAAAAAAAAATCAGATTAATAAAACACTGAATTTAAGGCTGTAATGTAACAAAATAGGTAAATAGTCAAGGGGGTGAATACTTTTGCAAGGCACTGTAGGTCTTTGCCCAGAATAGTACCTGTTTTGCCTTGGTAAATCTCTTGCATTGTTTTAAAAAAAATGTCAGGTTTAGTAATGTGTCTCTGGTTAGCAAGCTTTCTAAGAAACTTGTCTTGTCTCACTATATTTTTATTTTATGACATCTTATCCTCAATGATATTTAAGGCAGCTCTGTCACCCCACACAAACAATATGCGTATTTTATAAAAATTAAATCTTTATGAAATACTCAGAAAGGATGTGTTGGAATTTCACTAAAATTCCAAAGCAGTCAAAAGATACCATAAGAACAACTAAGGACTGATTGTCTTATATACTTATGTATTTTTCCTACACTTAACAAAGCATGACTAAAAAGCAGAGCTACCACTATCATGCTCTGTCAGGCCCCTGGCTATGACTAATAATCTTGTGGAATCCTCCATGGACTTCAGCATTGTACTTTCCTAACACGCGCAAGAGTACAGCACTGACTTCAGCTGGAAGAGGATGTACCAGATTGGACAGGTTTTGTCCATTACAGTAAGATTATAAAGTATGTTTACAAAATGGTCTAAAATATCCCTTGCTGAAGAAACTGGTATTAAAACCATTGGTTTGCTGGAGTGATTATGGTGCCAAGAGTGCATTGCTGCCCCGCCCTAAAACAACTGAACTGTTTTAGAATGGTTTGACTTCTTACCTGGGATCTGCCATATACTGCTTCCTGCGTCCTCTCTGCTGGGAGCACTCAACCAGTGAACACCTGATGCTCTCAGTCAGTGAGGTGGCCCAGCAATGCAAAGCATAGCTTTGGGAAGTTAACCGAAGCTTCCAGCAGTAGTTTCCGGTTGAAGTAAGAGCGGCGCCCTGCAAGAAGTCCAAAAAAAAGTCAAGCAAGAAGTCAAACCACACTAACAGTTTGAATACTTGTATATGGGGTGGCACCAGGGCACTCTCTGGCACCATAATCACTACAGAGTGCTATAGTTATGGTACTTGATGTATTCCTTTAACATAAACCAGCAAACAGACCAAAAAAAAAAAAATCTTTGGTGTTGCTGCCGAGCCCTCCAGTATGATCTCACGCTTACTTATAGAATGAGTTACTGTGCTACATTATACAGAAAAGGGATAGGGGGCACTCCCAAGACCTGCATTTTGTATGAAAGGTGCTGCCGCAGTGACCAAACTTCATACATAAAACAATAAATAGTTGCAGCGCACTCAGACTACAAAACAATATATAATACAAAGAAGGCTACTAAAATGCCTATCTAAGAATAAATATGGGGATTTAGTTCCACCATATGGCCATATGTTGTTAAGCCCACCACTACTTTCAAAGTACCCCAATATTGGTGGGTCCTACGCTAAAAATGTGGGGGAACAAATTAAATAGTACTAGTGTTGAAAATTACAAGTGTAATTGTTTTATTTACTGTGCTACATTATGTCTAAATCCTATAAATAACAATAGTGCAGGTGTTCTATATGGTACTTTTAGAGAACCAGTGGTTCTCTAGACCAAAATGGAATCCTGCTTATCGCGTTAACTGAAAATCTAACCAATTAGAATGTTCAGCACCACAACAGGGGGTGCAGAGGCATGATTGTTATAAGGGAACAGAACATCATTAGTGGTTTTTTTTTGGTTTTTTTTTTGCATAGGCTTTCATGGTCGTAAGGTGGTTTAACAATTGTATTTTTTCCTGTACACCTACTTGCAGTGATTGTATTTTGCAGGAGAAACACCTGATCCTTTTATGTGTGATTTGACTCCAGTTACTTGGATCATTTATTTGTTCTGCAGTACAAAGAATGCTTAAATTGCTGAAAGTCTTGTGTTTCCTATTTATAAATGCTTTTTACTGGCGATATCATCGTTGTAATACATTTTACTGTTTTGAAACACTAATATTTGTGTTCAGCGACGTCTTCCAAGTAGAACAGTACCCCCCATGTAGAGGTTTTATGGTGTCTTGGAAAGTTATAGGGTTAAATATAGTGCTAGCAAATTAAATTCCCTTTACTTTTGGCATGGGTTGTCAGGCAGGTCCTGCTAATTGTAATTAAGATACCTAATTATGTAAAAATATTACATATATTGTATGTGAATGTGTATGTATATATATATTTTTTTTTAATTTTTTTTATATATATAGGTATAGTGATATATACGTATATATTTATGTATATAGATATATATTATTTCGTTCTACGTGTATTTTGATATATATATATATATATCACAATACAGTTAGAACGAAATAACACACATCTATATATTTTTTAATTATTTATTTTTAATTTTTTTTTTTAATTTAACGTATTTACATATTTATTTTTTATAATATATATATATATATATATATTAGTAAAATACACCTAGACAGTGTATGTGTATGTATATACTTAGATTATATATAATTTTTTTTTTTTTTTACACTTTTTAACTTATTTTAATTTTATTTGATTTTATTTCCAGCCAGCAGGGGGACTACCTGTCATTACAGGCAGCCCCCCTGCTGGCAATGCAGGAGGCAGCTATCCCGGCCTTGTGATTGTGAGGTCCTCGCAAGAACCTCATTCTCACATGGCCTGGGGGGGGGAGATCTGCTGTGGGGGGGGGGCTTCCTGGGAGTCCCCCCACCCGCGATCGCCGGCGACTGGGTAAGTAAAGTAAGACCGGAGGGCATACTATTATGCCCGGCGGCGTTTAGAGCTGCCTAAAATAGGGCATAATAGTACGCCCTCCGGTCTTAAGGGGTTAAAGGACCACTATAGTGCCAGGAAAACATACTCGTTTTCCTGGCACTATAGTGCCAATTGCCCCCACCCTCAGGGTCCCCCTCCCGCCCGCTCTGGAAGGGAAGGGGTAAAAACTTACCTTTTTCCAGCTGGGCGGGGAGCTCTCCTCCTCTCTCCGCCTCCGTTCCCCCGCCCGACTGATGCGCCGCAGCGGCGGAGCTGCGCGCGCATTCAGCCGGTCTCATAGGAAAGCATTTACAATGCTTTCCTATGGACGTGCTCTCACTGTGAAAATCACAGTGAGAAGCACGCAAGCGCCTCTAGTGGCTGTCAATGAGACAGCCACTAGAGGATTAGGGGGAAGGCTTAACCCATTCATAATTATAGCAGTTTCTCTGAAACTGCTATAATTATGAAAAAATGGGTTAACCCTAGAAGGACCTGGCACCCAGACCACTTCATTAAGCTGAAGTGGTCTGGGTGCCTAGAGTGGTCCTTTAAAACATACAGTTATAGTTTTGCCTATAGCAGTTGTTCAAAAGGCCCTGTCTATGACATCATTTGCTGCTCCAGCCTGGCACAAGTCAGAGTATTTTGGCGGTTTCCATCTTCAAATGGTCGTATTTTAAAAACTATAAATCCTACAGTGAAGAGCTTTACATTGTGAGAATCACAAGACCCAGACCTACATTTTGATGCATAGTATGTCTCTGAAATATTAACAATGAAGGCACAGTCGCAGTTTAGAAATTGCCCTTCAAATTTGAACTGGCTAGAGTGGAGTTTCATTGAATGTCAATGGACGGCGTGAGTTGCAAACAAATGGGACATTTTTAGTGGCAGCAGGGATAGCTGAACGTTTTGATATAAGATTTGTGTAGGTGGGCCTGAAAATGAGGGAGTTGTGGCAGTTTAGAAATCATGTCCTGATTTTTCAGCTTTTGCCAGCTCCCACTATAGTTTTGAACATTTTGCCATTCAATTTCGCCACAAGAACGACGATATTCTGTGAACCATTTGGCGAAACGTTCCACAAAGTAATAGCACACAACAATCCGCACGTTTCAGTATATTTCTGGAGGAGTTAGGGTGGTAAATTTGGCTGTAATAATAAAATGTTATCTCATATATATATATATATGTGTGTGTGGTCTTGCTATGCAAGGTGTTACAAAGACAAGGCTGACAAATGAGCAGACTTCAGTTTTAGACCACTGGTAATAATTATCTGCAGGAATCAAGCAGTCAAACTCTGCAACAATAAACTAGACAGTACTCCACTTTGTGCCCAGCAGCCCAAGAGTGAACTGGAAACTAGTTATACTTCCCTGAACTTTGCTTTGCGGGTGCTGCCATCTTCTTTTTTTCTTCTCCTGGCACTTCTTCACCAGCACGTCATTGTTGTACTGCCACTCATGCGATAGAGGACTATTGAGGATCCCACAAGACTGCAAAATCCTCCAAAGACCAACCACCCAGTGATCATGAAGATTCTGCTTTCCCACAAAATGTGACTGCATAAACTCTGCCTTCTCTAGACTTCAGGATTGGGAATACAGTAAATCAAAGTAGTCTCAATAGTCCCATATTTTTTGACTGTGTTGTAGATCAGTGAAATTCCACCACAGCCAAGTTTTTTACAAAGATTTCATCTTAAAGGGACACTCTAGACACCATGATACTTTAGCTCAGTAAAGTGATTTTGGTGTATAGATCATTCCTCTGCATTTTCACTACTGGTATTTAGGAGTTAAATGACCACTCTGTGTACCATAACTTATTTAAAATAAATTTTATGGTGCTAGGAGGTCCTGGGAACCATCTTACCTTAAGGGGTTAAACTTTTAACGAAAGGTTTAAACACAGTCTGAAAGACATCTGATCGCCCCATCCCTCCATTTTCTCTAAAAGTCTGAAACAAGACAACAATTCAGAAGCCTCAAACTGTGAGCTGCTAAGTAAAAAAAATTATGTACCTTTTTCAGTGCATATGTCAGTCAGCCTGGTGTGTTTACATAGCCGGCAAGTCAAGGGGAGGAGGAATTTTGATAATCAGAGAGGGAAGGTGAATTGTTCTTTTAGACATATTTTTCAGGTAGCATTAAATTTTTTTTTTTTTTTGCAGGACTTGCAGTCTTCTGATAGTGTAAGACTTTCTAGTTTTGTCAGGTTATTAATTTATTTTCAACTTGGCGTGCATTGGCACACCCTTTTCACTGAAAGGTTCTTTGTCAAGGCTCAGGGATGAAGGGAAGACCGAGCCACACCATGTAGCGGAGTAACCAGGGCTTCATAGTCTTGCCACTCAGGTCTTTCTCGACCTTAGTAACAACCCACATGGGCCCAGAGGGATGATGTATATTACCTTGCTTTCATAGTCAGCTGTTCTTTTGTAGAGAGGGATGAAGGAATTTAAATTTTTACATGACTGAAATTGCTGTTATATTGGTAGTAGTGTTGTTATGTATACAGCACCATCATATTCTGCAGAACTTTTACAATGGGTATATAAAATGGTGAATAAATGACAAACTATTGTAAAATAGATACAATCTGTGAGAGGGACTCCTCATTAGAGCTGTAATAGGAATTGCATAACCCTGTGTCCTGAAGGGTTATTAGGATAATCTAGGCACAATAATAATTACAGTGTGTTGTAGAAGAAATTGAGTCCCTTGGTACTGTTCCACTGTATTTTGTTTAATTTTCACATACTGTTTTCCAAGACCTTGAAGCATTTTGTTTAAAAAAAAAAACAAACTCTCAAGACTGTAAAATAATGCATATCCTCTGCTACCCTCTGTATGCTTATGGTAAATTGCACAATGTTTAGCTGCTATATAAAGAAGCTAGCAATTTTTGAATGTATTTAATAATGTTATATTCCTGTTTTATGGATCTTGTTTTAATTAAGTCATTTCCTATAGTTTCAGTGAGATCTTCATGTCTGTCAAATTCTGCATTGAAAAACAATGTGCACAGGAAACTACCTCCTTTTTTTAATCAATAGTTTTCCTGAAGAGTGCAAGAAGAACTAAAACATAGCAGAGAGGAAATGCCAGACAGATTTCCCTCTTAATTAGTAATTCCCCCCACCCGCTAACAGATTCCTATAGATGCTTTTCTTTAACTTTATGCCCCCTTTCTTTCTGTTTAATAGAATGCTTTATGTTAAAGGAACACTCCAAACACTTTAGCTACTAGTTGTTTTGGTTCTAGGCAGTGTCGGAACTACATGCATGCTGAGGAGTCCTTGCGTTGTTCATGTATCACCAGGGACACGGTCTTGTGCTGTGGCCCTTTATCAGTGTGACCGGGCTCCTTTCATACTTGCAGCCTGGGAGGAAGTGAGTGGCAGTAAATTTTGACTAGCTTGTTTCTGTATGCGTGTTTCTGTGTGTCATTGTTTGCATTTCATTGTGTATTGTGTGTATTGGCATGTTTCTATGTATCACTGTGTTTTTCTCGATGTATGTCATTATGTCTGTGTTTTGTGTATATGTTCATTCATCTCCTCAGTCAAAGCCAACACTACACAGAGATACACTCCTACATTAAAATGTCAACACTACAAACTCTCCCCTACATTCACACACTCCATACAAAAACCTGCTTGCATTCAAATACTGCTTGCACCAGGGCGCTCTCTGTTCGTTCCCCACTGGTACCAGGAGTGCTTTGGTAACTCCCTTGTAAGAATCAAACTATTACAGGGCTTAGCTCTTTGCCTGAGAACGATCACTTGACACTCCTAAGTTGTAGTGATTAGGATTTTTGGATAGTTATTTTAAGGTTCTATAGTCTAATTCTTTCCCTGTCTTGAGCAGAAAGCTGCCTCTCACCAATGAGAGAAGCAGCACCTTTCCTTGATAAATAAAATCAAATTCTGTGGACAGTCTGTAATTATTGTTGATACAGACACCCAAACTTACTCACAACCGACAGGAAACTCCACGTGCTGAGCTTGCACGTACATATATACCAAATGTTGTATTGCGTAAGCATATTTGCCTATAGGCTGCATTTTGCATGGCAACTGCTGAAATTATTACACTGGCATTTTTTTGGAAAATGTGGCAAACATGTATGCTCTAAAATAACTAGAAAGGTCAGCACTGCATACCTTAATGTGATGGGCGAGTTTGCTTAAACCGTGTAGAATAGAGTTCCCCACTTTTAGTAATATTTAATAAACTTAAACAGTCATGTGGTTTTTCAAATTGACATATCTAGAACATGGTCAATTTCTGAGATAGTAGAGGGTATTTATGATGGAACAAATTCTCTTTAAATAGCTTTACATTATCCTGAAAGTCTTATCCTTAGTGATGCTTATCTTAGGACAACATTAAAGACACAAAGCTCCTCTCCATCTGAACACTTGACCATTCAGGCATACTGGTGTGACGTGACCCCAGGGACCTTGCAAAGTAGCAACCTTTAGGAATACCAACTAAAACAATACCTATGGTTTAAAAAGTAATGCTTCTATTCACACTCTAAACCTAATTTACATTTCAAAGATTTCCATCAACAGGTGAGTAATCCTGGAAACAGACAACTCAGACAGTACTTTAGGGTGTGTACTTTAAGAAAGGGTTTTAAGAAATAGTTTTTAATTAGTTAATTTGGCTGCTAAGACATTTAGGTCTTGTAATGCAAAAGGTGTGTGTCTGATAAGATTTGGTCTTTGTGATCTTATCAGACATAGTGATACTTATCAATAAGGAACATACTTTAGTTTCTCTGTACCTGTTCTATGGAAATATTTGTAAGGTTATATTTAAAGGCAAACTCCAGTGCCAGGAAAACAATCCGTTTTCCTGGCACTGCAGGTACCCTTTCCCTCCCACCTCCCATCCCAGGTAGCTGAAGGGGTGAAAACCCCTTCAGGTCACTTACCCGAGACCCCGCTGATGTCCCTCGGCGGTGGTTTCGGGTCGGCGTCGCTCCTCCCAATAATCATGTCAGCCGGTGGGCGAGACTGATCCTGCCCGCTGGCTGAGGAAACCTAATGCGCATGCGCAGCAATGCCGCGCACGCGCATTAGGTCTCCCCATAGGAAAGCATTGAAAAAGAGTTTCAATGCTTTCCTAAGGGGAATTGAGCAAGGCTGGAGGGCCTCACAAAATCTTTGCAATGAATCAGAAAGTGCCCTCTAGTGGCTGTCTATTAGACAGCCACTAGAGGTGGAGTTAACCCTGCAATGTAATTATTGCAGTTTATAAAAAACTGCAATAATTACAGTTGCAGGGTTAAGAGTACTGGGAGTTGGCACCCAGACCACTCCAATGGTCAGAAGTGGTCTGTGTGCCTGCAGTGTCCCTTTAACATGGCGTGTAAAAAAATTTTTTTTTAATCTTTTATAAACAATGTCAAGTTCTGTCTCATTGAACAATAGAGAGGTGCTTGATAAAATATGATTATTCATATAATTTCATTGTACTAGACTAGCGTAACAAATGAAAAGTTTAAGCAATCTACATTAAACATGAAGCTTATCAATTTGCTTTGTTTATGCATTTCTTTAGCATTAATGAACCACTGCTACTCATGAGTTTTTCTTAACGCGGCACCATCATCCAGAACTTACCTTTCCCCAATCGCTTCCTCTCTCAGGATCTGTTTTTCTTTTCTTCCTATCTGATCTAGTTTTCTTTAAAGGAACACTGTAGTCACCTAAATTACTTTAGCTAAATAAAGCAGTTTTAGTGTATAGATCATTCCCCTGCAATTTCACTGCTCAATTCACTGTCATTTAGGAGTTAAATCACTTTGTTTCTGTTTATGCAGCCCTAGCCACACCTCCCCTGGCTATGATTGACAGAGCCTGCATGGAAAAAAAAACTGGTTTCACTTTCAAACAGATATAATTTACCTTAAATAATTGTATCTCAATCTCTAAATTGAACTTTAATCACATACAGGAGGCTCTTGCAGGGTCTAGCAAGCTATTAACATAGCAGGGGATAAGAAAATCTTAATTAAACAGAACTTGCAATAAAGAAAGCCTAAATAGGGCTCTCTTTACATGAAGTGTTTATGGAAGGCTGTGCAAGTCACATGCAGGGAGGTGTGACTAGGGTTCATAAACAAAGGGATTTAACTCCTAAATGGCAGAGGATTGAGCAGTGAGGCTGCTGGGGCATGTTCTATACACCAAAACTGCTTCATTAAGCTAAAGTTGTTCAGGTGACTATAGTGTCCCTTTAAAACAAAGTAGGGACTATTTCAGAGCTTGACAAATTTGCTTGGAATCTAGTAGCCAGCTACAAAATTTAGGAGCCAGAGAAATCAACACCAAAAATACAATCCCCAAAGGGACACTATAGTCACCAGAACCACTACAGCTTAATGCAGTTCTACTGAAGTCTATATCCTGTCCCTGAACGCTTTTCAGACAAAAGGCAGTGTTTATATTGCTGCCCGGTAACACCTCTAGCGGTGCGTCCAGGGTCAGTGCTTAATAATGAGCAAAACCTACGTTAATGTTCCCTATAGAGATGCATTGATTCAATGCACCTCTATGAGAATTTAAATTGGCGCAGTGGCATTTTGCTGTGCATGCGCAATAGTCTTCCAATGCTTTCCTTTGGGGAAGCAGTGAATTGGCTGAGATCGTCAAGATTGATAATCTCAGCCACGGATGTGGGACCAGTCACAGCGTCATCAGCATGGTATGGGGAAAAAAGGTGAGTAAAAACACCTTTCCTGTGTGATTGGAGGGAAGGCACACTCACACATACACATGCGCACACACACACACTCACAGACATACAGACCGACACACTCACAAGTAATTACTTTTGTTTAAATCCATGCAGCCTCCTTACTTCTGGAGAGCTGGAGTGGATAGGCTTTCCCTGGAGTCCAGTGGGGCTGCTGTCAGCTCCCTCTCGCGCACTGTTTAGTGAGCTGGAGTGGTCATAACCCGGCATCACTGCATGCTGCGCGTGCGAGATAGCAGAGCAGGGAGATTACAGCTGCCGCGGCGATGTCATCTGTCCACCCACCTACCTCTGCTCTCCATTACCCGGCTACCCCCCTCCATCCGCTGCCTGCTCCTTCAGCTCTCCATGTGCTGGCCAGCCCCCTCTCTCCCTCTCTCTGCAGTAAATGAGCCGGCAGCCCCACTCCCTCTGTCAACCACCTGCCTCCCTCTCACGGCTCTCCATGAGCCTGTCGCCCCCCTCCCTCCGCAATACATGAGCCATCCTCCCTCTCTTACCTCTCAATGAACTTGCCAACCACCTCCCTCAGTCATCAGCCTGCCTCAGCCCTCTGTGATCCGACAGCCCGCCTCTGCTCTCAGGCAGCTGGTCACATCGGGGGGCTGAACAGGCTCACAAATTCCAGGATTTGTCGAACCCTGGACTATTTTGTCTTATGTATTTTTCCTACTCTTGACCAGCTTTGACCTAGAGGAGGAGCTAAGTCTGCTAGATTTCCTGTGGTCAAAGAATTTTTTCCACAATATTCACCTCTCCTCATGTGTTCTCATGTTGCTTCATTTGCTGTTAGGATGCAATTCGGCCCTAGTGACAATAGGGGACACACACACCTATTTTTCCCTCCTGGCCCCACCCATGAGCGGCGGGTGGGGGCCCTAAATGACTATGGGGGTGTGGGGAGCTATTGTAGTCTTCCCCTGGCCCCACCCATAGGCGGTGGTTGGAGCCCCTAGTGACAATGGTGGGGGTGGGAGCAGGACCTATTGTCTCACTAGTGTTGGCAAATGAAGGTGAAGCAGTGAACTTCATCCAGGAACACCAATACAGTGGCGCCTAGGACATTGATCCACAGAGGCATTTGGGGGTGTCTTGAGGGACAATAAAGTTTAGAGGAGTCTGAAGAAGGGTTACAATAAATTAAAATGTAGATGCACTTTGACTGGACTATAGAGGACACAGGCCAAGGTTCCTGGTACTTATCTTACCACACCAGCCCACAGGGCTGTAACTAGAAACCTCAGGTCCCCGGTGCAAGAATCTGTTCGTGGCACCCCCTGCCCTGCTATTCCAGTACTCTTGTCATGTTTTCCTGGTGGTCCGGTGGTATGTGAGACACTCTGCACCCTCTGCTAAAACTCTCTATCATATCCTCTTCCTCTCGTTTCCAGCACTTGGTATAGAGCCAGAGCGCTATCTCACGAACTGAGCAGCAGAGCTGTGAGGGAGAAGATATGTTAGAGGGTTGCCGGAAGTGGTGCAATGCATCACGTCTCCACTGCATGACCAGGGAAACTGGAGGAGTGGAGCCCAGTGCTTGTCAATACAGTAAGCTGCCTGTTGCTTACCTGCTTGCTGCTACCATGCCTTCTGGACCTCCCTGACAAGTGGAATTTCAGGATTCGGTCACAGTCACAACCTTTGAACCCCTGGTTGTTCTGCCACCGCCACTGTCCGTCTACCTAAGCTCCAAAAAGGCACATTGTAAGTGCTGAAAACAGGCACCCCATAGTGTATAGGTGCCTACTCTGCTTAATGGGAAATTTGTCCAAGTTGGTGGTAAAGACTGCAAATAGGGAGTCTAGCTGCAGCTGCACTAAATATTCTGTATCTACTAGCCTGGACATAGTGGATCTGTATACAAGTGCCCTGTCAATTTCTAGTGGCCATGTTACAGAAATAGGTTTGTGATATTGTTGGTTTTAACAGTGTATGTACCTCTTTAAGTAAAGATATCCCTATAACATGCTGTGTCCTTTCAGTGCATTGCGGATTCTGGATGTTTGTAATCCTTCTGGCAATATGACATCTGATCTCATGGCGCTGCAGTGATAAAACATTAGAAAAATGTGAGTATATCTTAATTTTTAGTGGAGGTTTATGTCACTTGGTTATTATTTCAGAAAGGGGAAATATGCATTTGCCAATACATGAATAATGTGTGAATCCTGGTTACAGAAAATTTTGGTACCCATCTGTAGGCTATCTCTGCCACCCCCAATGCCTCACTTCCCTGATCTGTAGGCTCTCTCTGCTGGCTGCATGTGCTGCTCCTCTGCGGATTAAGTCAGAGAGAAGCAAGGATAAGATGCAGCTTCCTATCCCTGTCTCTCTCCATGCACAGATGGGACACCATGTTTACAATATTTTTTTTTTTTAATTGGTTGTATGTGATCTACAACTTGTGTGTACGCATCTATATGTTATTTATGAAGCTATATTTCTTATGTAATGCATATGTATGATAATTTTTGTATGTTTGTCATTGCATTGGAAGATGATGGTATCCAGGTTTATTCATTAATTTTATGTAACTTATTTTTGCATCAACGCATGTTCTGTAGGGACATTACAGGACAACATTGGCAAACAAAAAAAATAAAATCTGCCTAGCTTTATGCTTATTCAGTCTTTCTCATACATTTCTAGAAACTCTGTGCAGTGGGAATAAATGGAACCATAGGCACAAGGAAAATGTAGGTCAGCAAAGGCTTTCATTGTCTCAAATAAGTAGTTCTCAAGTTTATTGATGCTGTGTTCAAATGCATATTTTATGCATTGTGTAATGCCTATGAAAGGTTGGATGTCCCATTTAAAAGAATTTCTTTTAATTGTGTGCCGTCTTAAAATGGTCACAATAATGGGGCCTTGAAATAGATTTTGACGCATGCGAAGTTAAAGAACAAGTATCTGTTTTAATATTGTCGTCTTGTATTTACACTATTATCCTTTTTATTTCAGATCTGCAGAAAGAACCCCTATACTCTGTGCTGGGTTGCAATGATACACTCTCTGGTCTAATTTTTAGCCTGCCTTGCCTCATGGTGTGTTTATCATGGGTGTCTACGACCCGTGGCTCATCTGCCCTATACTTTTATTTGTCCTTTTCTGGGGGAAACCAACACAGTCCTGGGCTCAGAACTGTGCTGTAAAGTCCATGCCAGATATGGTGATCGATATTACTTCTGCATTGAAAAACGGAGTCCGTGGCATTGATCCCAAATATACAGCCAATTTAGATGCATGTATAGCTGCATGCTGCCACGAGCATGAAATAGCAGGTAATCCATATTATTCTCCAGTATACTAAACATATTGGAAACTTCCATATAACACTTAATGTTTTTTTTCTTTTATTACTTACTGAATTTTGAAAATTGTGTCCTACTCGCATATTACCTCACTCTTCACTCTGTTTCCTCTTACAATAAAAAAAAAGTACATAGCATAAACCTTATTCTATGACACAACTAAACATGCATACAACACACAGACACCAAATATGGGTGACGGACAGGTGGACGATGTTGATACACTATGTCAAAGGGATCCACGGGAAAAATTAATTGGGAACCCTTGGTCTATTGTAATACACTCTAATGAATGTGTAATCAGTTAAACACTGGACCCAATTTTCCCATCTAGTGTGCCCATTTTTGCATAGGCTTTAAAATTGATTTATATTGATTTCTCATTTCGGGTAGCAGTGTATCCAAGTCTTCTTGAGCTATTCCATTGTTTTATTCTTTCCCCCCTTCTTGAAGGCTTTTCTATTCACCTACAATGTTCTGTAAACATTGCATCAATGTTAAACCTGATAGTCCATGTGATAAGCAGGCACAGCAAATATTTCCTGGCTTCCAGTTGCCTTATTTAAGTACACCTCCTATCTAATGTTCAGCTAGATGCTTTTGTATTTGAAGTTGGTTGCAGTGAAGTCATCTCCGCTTTTAAGATCTGCTGTGTTATGCGTGAATTGCAAATGGTGAAATAATGTTTTAGACAGATTCCCTGACTATTTGTTTCTACGCAGATGGAAAAGAGTGTAACCTCTTGATATACGATACACGCAAGACCCATGGTCATCCCAACTGTTACATGTTCAACTGTCCAAGCCCGGATTCTTGCACAATGTCTCCATCCAAAGGAGTTATGAGTTTCAACCTATTGCGAGGTTTGTATGATATGAACTCTATATGCCTTAAAAGCACATTTCAGAGCCATAATTTACTTAGACTATTTCAATGAAAGTTAGAGCAGTGATTATGAATTAAGCTTTTAAAGGTTTTCTAAAGTGGTTATGGTTTGTGAAACCTCTTTTCCGATTAAGGAGACACCATAGTCAACATAACTACAGCTTAAAGGGACACTATAGTGTCAGGAAAACCGCTTGGTTTTCCTGACACTGTAGTACCCCGAGGGTGCCCCCACCCTCAGGGCTCCCTCCCGCGGTGCTGAAGGGGTTAAAACCCCTTCAGCTACTCACCCTTTTCCGCTGCCGGGCTCCCTTAAATCTCCTCCCCCGCCGACGTCAACATCCTTGTCTGACGTCACCAGCGCTGAATGCGCAACACTGCCGCGCGCGCATTCAAAGTGTCCGTAGGAAAGCATTTTTCAATGCTTTCCTATGGACGCTCTGCGTGATTCAGGCATAATATGCCTCAATCATTACCGATGCGCCTCTAGTGGCTGTCCTGAAGACAGCCACTAGAGGCTGGCTTAACCCCAGATGTAAACATGGGGGGGGGCTGGTTTGCGTCCTGGATACCTGATTATGAAAATGGGTTTCTCCCAGGAGAGAGAGAGCAGAGCCAAAGACCATTGCTCTGGCGATCAGTGCACAGTTCACTACAAAGAATATACTATATTTACTGATAATGGGGGGCATGGCTGCTATCCGTATACAGATCAGTTCCACTGATCATAAACTTCTTATACCACGAGACCCATGGGATAAGAATATCTGCCTGATTAGATAAGTCTGCTTATGGCTGCAGGTAAATCCACTAAAGAATGCAAATAAGCAATATTGCTTTTAATTTCATTCGCCTGTTTAATATTTTTTTATGTATTGGTCATAAATCTTTAATCATGTATAACCTCAAAAATAACTAGTTTCAAAAAAGTTTCACATAATATGAAACAATGTTACTAATTGTCACATAAAGTCAACGTTGGCATTGAACAGGATATATGCAGTGTTCTACACGAAATAAGTAAAGATATTAAAGGATCACTATAGGGTCAGGAACACAAACATGTATTCCTGACCCTATAGTGTTAACACCACCATCTAGCCCCCCTGGGCCTCTCATGCCTCCATAAATATAGTAAAAATCTTACTGTATTCAAGCCTGAAGCTGTAAATCTGCATGCTGTTAGACTCAGAAAAACAAGCAGTCTGCTGACATGTGGTAGCCTGATCCAATCACAGTGCTTCCCCATAGGATTGGCTGAGACTGACAAAGAGGTAGATCAGGGGCAGAGCCAGCATGATTCAAACACAGCCCTGGCCAATCAGCATCTCCTCATATAAATGAATTGAATCAATGAATCTCTGAGGAAAGTTCAGTGTCTGCATGCAGAGGGAGGAGACACTGACTCACAGGATGCTGTGCACAGTGCTGCCCTGTGCATATTATGCCTCCATCAACTCCGAAGTCCCTCTGGTTCACTCTGAGTGACTGCAACTGGAGGTGTTCCTAGCTTTCAATGTAAACACTGTATTTTCTCAGAAAATAGTGTTTACAAGAGAGGCTGCAGGGAGCTATAGTTCTCACCCGAACAACCTCATTAAGCTGAAGTTGTTCAGGTGACTATAGTGTCCCTTTAAGTAGTTGCTCCATAAAAATCGTTGGTGGAGCATGGAGTGTCCCAATAAGGACACAGGTTATGCTAAATAGGTCATTAAAATGGTCTATCTTTTGGTCCCAGTTAGTTACAGATAAGGCTAGTTATCACTGTAAGGGTCTGACATATGTGTTAAAGTGCAGAGTGACTGAAATGCTAAATGTATATGATTAGATTTGGGATCATTACTTGATTCATACATTTTCTAAATTATTTTATTTTTATTTTTTATATATATATATAACAAATTTTTTTTTTCTCCAGAAATCTCTGATGGCAAAAGTCATCCATATCCAACACATGTTAAACAGCCTCTGTCACCTCCATCAAATGAGCAAAGTCACATTGAGATCTTGGGAATTGAAAGTTCTGAGCAAAAAGAGCCTGGTTTACCAGTGCAATCACAAGGCTCTGCAGAAAAGGATCCTGATTCCCTAGTTCATATACAAAGCTTTCCAATCACGCATCCTGATTCTGCTGTACAGTCACAGAGTTCTGGACACAAGGAGCGTGGTTCCTCACTACACTCACAGGGCTCTGCGGAAAAAGGATCTGGCTCTGTAGGTTATCCACAGAACAATGCAGAAAGAAAATATAGCTCTGCAATAGAAATGCCAAGCCCTGGACATAAAGATTCCATAGAACATGATCAGAACGCTGCAGGCAAGAATCCACCTTCTGCAATGCATGAGTCCAGCTCTAAAAGGGAACCACAAAAGTCTTCAAGCAAGGATGCAGCTGAGGTTCAAAGACATATCACTTCTCAAATGCTTCATTTGACAGAGAACATTGAGAAGCATCTGGACCAGTTGGTAGAGACACCAGTGCAGAACTCAGACAATTCCATGCAGATCATTATACTCTCCTCACACAAACCTGATCCCACACCAGGACCTATTGCAACAAACAAACGTGATGGTGTCCAAACACCAGATAAGGAAATAAATCCTGACCAAGCTGCTAAAACACAATCCACAACAATCAGAGTTCCTTTTCCCCAGCATGCTTCTAGAGCACCACAGCCTATCATACCTTCACACAAGCTTAATGCCAGCATGCCTAGCCATCATCCTGTGCCTGTTACAAAAATCAATGTTATTGATAATAAACCTGTTCCAAGCTCTGTTTCTAAAGACATCAAAAAGGTTATAGGCCATAGTAGTTCCACTTCTCGTCATTCGGTAATTAGCCCTACCCCGAAATATGACCTGAGAGGCCAACCAATGACCAAAACAAGAGTTCAAGGTCTTGGTAGTGGACATCAAGCCTTAACATCCCTACCAATCACACCACATACTCAATTTGTGATGTTGACTGACAGTTCACCAAAAGCAACCCAGAAATCCATAGTCCATGCCATCTCTTCCAGCCCTAAACAACCTGTGACTGTCATACTCAAAGCACCTGTGCAAACCCTTTCCAAATCCAATAATTTGACACAAAGGGACCAGCTTGGAGACCAAGTTCCGATTTTTAGAAAACTGGATACATCTGTGCCTGGAGAGGGCAAGCATTCATTTTCTGATGATGTAAGTGGTTTGGTGGCTGCTTTGGTCTTTGGAGTATTGTTTCTGCTGGTGGTAATAGGTCTAATCAGCCGTAAGATTTCTGAAGCACGACGCAGGCACCGTTACACCAAGCTAGACTATCTCATCAATGGAATGTATGTGGACACATGATGAAAGTGCTATTTACTTCGATCTCTGGAGCCCCCTCTCCATGGAAAAATGTTTGAAACAACTACTGCAGTGTTACACTGATTTCTAAATACCAGTATGAACAAACAAAAGAGAACAGATATATCCATAGTTTATTTTAACATTTCTATTCCAACTAGTAGTTGGATGTTAAAGGAGTAATTGGTGGGAATATTTCATTCAGTTAAATGCAGACAGGCTATTAACATTTCCATGATGTGATGACTCAACACTATGCAAAATGATTATCCTTTAAATTCCCCTTTAAATTCCTTGTTATGAAGGTACAGGTATAGTACAGTAAAGGCACCATAACAACTGCAGTGCTTTGTAGTGCATATGATACCTAGGCTAACCCTTAAATTGAGTTTAAATGAAAGATCACATTTGGAAAACACTGTAAATGTGTAAGCTGTGGAACTTGCTCATTTTCTGCTGGAAGTCTGTATCTTATCACACATTTTGCATCTTACCTTTTTTCCATTTTTGGTGACTGACCATGTTTTGGTTTTCAGCTCTATTCTGAATGGCTGCTTGATACTTTAAGCCAATGAGAACACACACATATATATATATTTGTTTGGATAAATCACAGCGATTTTCAATAGCACATTAATGAAATATTCAGTCTTCATTTTAAGATAACTTGGACAGTTTCAGAAAGTGTAGCTATGTATGTGTGTATGAGAGAGATTTTGTGGGGAAGAGTACTGGATTTGCAATAAAATCAAAATGCTTAGTTATGTAAATTCTATTTTTCATAACTTATTTTATGCTGGCGTGCATTGCACTAGAAACATGACAAAAAGGTATAAAATAGTTGTAAGGTTTTCATTTGATGGAGCATATACTGCAAGTGTCTGTAGACTCATTATTTTTTGATTAAGTAAAATGAGGTTCATCTGTGAGATTTAAAATAAAGGGACATATTGAACGACATAACCTCCACAGCTCATTGTAGTGGTTATGTTGCTAATAGTCTCTAGGCGCCATCTTTGTTAGATCAGGAGTGGCTTGGCAGAAACCAGGTCTCCCAAGGCACCCAGAGACTGCATCCTCCTAAGCCGCATTGACAATGCAGTATTAACGCCTTCTTATTATCAGTGTCCATTTGTCCCATCTGAGCAGCTCTAATTGGCTGTAAATGCAATGGAGTGAGTTAAGTAAGTGGAGAACCCATAGTCTATAAGCTGCATAATCACTACACTGAGCTGTCTAGAGACACCAACATGAAATAAATATATCCGCATGTTCATGTTAAGGTCTCTATCATATAAAACAGATACAAACCTGTTTTATCTTACAAGTGGCAATAAGATCAGCGCTTAGAGACCAGTAAACGGCTAAATTAAAAAAAAAAAGTATGGGCCACAACCTAAGGGTATGATGTTCCCTCACAATACATCAACAAACAGTACAGTAGTAAAAACCAGAAAATAGGTTGTAATACAATAATAGTAAAAACAATATTAATAAAAACAATGCTTACTTACATAAAAATGGAATAAAGTCCTGATTTAAAAAGTGTTAAATTAACAGTAGTCCAAGTTTGATTGAAGAGATAAATAAGTGGAATCGATAGGACTATTGTAGAGCTTCAGCCAGCTCAGGAGTGTATAGCATTCAGTGGCGTTGATCGCCCACTGGTAGAAATAGGTGTTGGTAGGTACAGGTCCTCGGTATGAAGAAGATAAAAACAAATGAAGAGAGAGGGGATTTCTTAAACATTACTTAATCCTGCTATATTGGCCAGGAGACTTATAATATTATCTACTCTAAAACCGTGTGCAGTCTATGAGTAGATGGTTTGACTGGGATTGACCAATTCAACTAATCAGAAAGTCTCATTTTGCAAGTGGGGAAAAAAAAAAATATTGTAACACGTGATCCATACATTTGCTGTACACTTGACCAATATAATAAAGATAATAAAATTATAAAATTGCACTTTTTTAAAAATTGAAAGTACTTTTAAATTCTTTCATTTAAAGAGTTGATACCGGAGAAACTGACGGAAGCAAAGCACAGAGAGATGGACACAGGTTTCTTCAGGAAGGAAGAGATTCTTTATTGGATCACCGATCGGGACTCAGAGGGACTAATGTCACCAAAAATACAGCAAGTTCTGAGCCCTGAACAATAGTGCAGGCTCCCTATATAGGCACATAACTCCTCCCATATTAAGCTCCACCCGCACATTCTCTTGACCAATCATTACAAATAAGAATTAACTTCCTGCTTGACCGCATGGCTTGTCCAGCACAATGGAGGAGGGGAATACTACATCCTGTATTCTTGCACATGCTCCGTACACTACTGATCGTATCTTGCCTCGTGCAACCAACTGATCGATACGTCAGCATATGCACGTACACATGCCACGTGGTAATCTCGGCCTACTAAATTTATTTTTACCGAGATTCCACCACATTCCCCCCTTTGATGCCTCTTGATATTTTACAATTACTTGAGGCATCACTTAACCTTGGTTTGCATACACCACAAGTTACCTTTGAACCAGACCAGACTTATCCTATGATGTGAATCTTCAACACTCGTCTTCCTGCATTGGTTCTCCCTGATCTAGAGCCTTATATTTATAAATTGCCATTATCTGTGCAGCAGCCTTCCTCTCTGCTATATTTTCTATCAGGCTTTGCACAGACCTAACTACTAAGGGTATAAGACACGGCAGGAGTAGACACAACATTAAAATCAGTAGGACTCCACCTACCACTGCCTTAAGCCCTCCAAACCACTCATACCAGCTACCAAACCAACTACTTGGATTGTACCCTTTCCATACCTGAGTAGGCACATGCGCTAGTTTAACCATATGGCTAGTAAGCTCAGCTATTGCTTGCCCTTCGTCATCTATTTGAAGACAGCAATTGCTCAGGTTAAACTTCCCACATACACCTCCCTCTACTGCCAAAAGATAATCCAAGGCTAATCTATTTTGGTAAACTGCTGTCCTCATCCTGGTATTATGCTTCGCTAGAAGATTGAGCGCTTGTGATGTCTCGTTAGTAATGATCTCAACCACCGCCTGTAACCTTATAATGCGGTTGAGCATATAAATAGGGGTTCTATAACCAAAGGTACCATCCTCTGCCCACGTGGCTGGCCCATAATAATCTATAATACGCTGGGGAGGCCATTCATTATCTTCCCAGGCACCTATCTCTATGGGTCCCCTTTTCTTCCTATGATTCACATCATACACTTTAACACCTAAAGTCTCACCTGTTTCAATAGGCAACAAGAAGAAGGATGGTTTTAACATACCCAACACACATGCCCCTTCCCAGTCCTGTGGTAACTCCGAATAGGCCTTCTTACCACAGATCCAGTACAAATTCGCTGGGGCTCTCCAGTTAGATGTGATGGATAGATCAAACCATACGTCCTTTAAATTGGCATATCTTGCAAACGGGTTAGATGGTTCTGAGACATTTGAAGCCGACCACCAAGTTGTATTCTTTGTATCATCATCATAAGCTTTTTGCCCTAGACAAGTTAATTCTCCTACAGAAGTATTATACATCATTCCTTTCCTCGCTATGCAAACATAACCTATGATGGAGGTCTTCAATCTCCACTCAGATTTACCTCTAACACTCATATGATAGTCGGCTTGTGTAGATATTAATTGGTCAACTGCCTCAGAACCGGACATTACCTCCTTTGCTTCCCAAGGCCATTGGTCTCCCATGTTAGTACCTCCACACACATAGCAGTTGGTAACATTAAGACTACCGGCAATACTCTCGGCTAAATCAATGAACAAGTTTTTAGCATTATGGGGGATCTTATTATCTATGCTCATCTCTTCATAAAAGGAATGGTATACTTGATGAGTTTGGGAGGTTACCGTATCAGTCTCTATCCCTATAAACAATATTGTCCCAGGGTCTAAACCCGTCCCATATATTTGAAACCCAAATAAATTACCATATTTATCTAAGAACTTGTCAGGGTTATTTATAAGTATATGGATTGGATTGCATTCCATAGACTTACAATATGGATTAGTAGGCAACTTAGTCACAATCATGTCCTTGTCTGCTGTCTGTCCCCAAGTCGCCCACCCCACACAAGACCAATATGGGCAGAAGTTATAATCTCTATTTGGGCATCTTGGACTTACATATTTATTTTTACTACTGGGACAAATATATTTATCGTTAGACCCATACGTCCTCTCCCATCTAAGATCCCCACATACATTCCACGGCTTTCTACCACTTGATATTGCTTTACACGCATCAAATAGCAGAGCACCTGAAGAATATACGGATTTTAATACCGTCTTATTAATTAGGGTCCCCTGAGGATCTCCATTTCTGAGAGTCAACCAAATTGTACGGGGTTGATACTCAGGACTGAAGCACTTAGGTTCTCCTACTCCTAAATGACACACACTATATTCTATATTTAAGTATCTACATCTTGATACATCTCCTTACACTCATATTGCGAATGCCAAATTAGGGTCTGGGATATATGGTTACCTGTTCTTGTAGTCTTAATGCATACCTCACAGCTAGGAGTGTTGGTACCTCTACCTTCCTGAATATAAAAATACACATAAATAAACATTATTAAAAATACATCTTTCGTCGTCATCCTCAGTCTTCGTCCGTGTGAAGGCACCTCAGCTTCCAGGATGTAAGGACTGCAGGGAATGGAGTTCTGCTCGTCTTCACAGGGGTCCCCTCAAGACTTTCCCTGACTTATACACTCGTTGGTGAGTGGACAGGCTTTATTATGGCCTTCTCACTCACTTACCAAGTCTCTGAAACAATAAAATTTGTAATCTACAAGGTTCCTCGTCACTCCGACTGAGTCGTGCGTTTTAACCGGATCTTGCAGGGATTCTCTGGATTTGCTGTAACTTGCCAGGAATCGGCTGCTGCTGGTTTAACCCTGGAGTGATGTATCCACGGAGTCACTTCGGCTACTTTTATCGCTGTAGGGGTAGACAAAAGAACAACATAAGGACCTCTCCACTTGGGCCCTAACGGCACATTATTCCACTCTTTAATCCACACTTGGTCGCCTGGGTGGTAACTATGAATTGGGGAATAAATATTCACAGGTAATCTATCTTGTACCCATTTCTGTACCTCCTCCATAGTCTTACCCAACTCTACAACCTGCTGCCGGGTAATTCCTTCTCCCACCTGACTCAAATCCCCCCTTAAGTTACCAAGCACGGGAGGTGGTCGCCCGTACATGATTTCAAAAGGAGAGAGGCCCATCCTTCTGGTAGGTGTACTACGGATTCGCAATAGAGCTATGGGCAAGAGAACGTTCCACTTAAGTTGGGTTTCCTGACACATATTAGCCAACTGATTCTTAATAGTTCTATTCATTCTCTCTACCTTACCAGAACTCTGGGGTCTATATGCCGTATGAAGCCTCCACTTTATACCAAGCATAGGAGTCAATTGTTGTAGGCACTGATGAACAAAAGCTGGACCATTGTCCGATCCTATAGAGCAGGGTAGTCCATATCGGGGTATTATTTCTCGTAGCAGGAATCTAACGACTTCTCCTGCTTTCTCTGTACGAGTAGGACATGCTTCTACCCAGCCTGAATAGGTGCAGACCACTACCAGCAGGTAGCGATGTCCACCCGATTTAGGCATCACTGTATAGTCAATTTGTAAATCGGACATGGGAAGTCCCCCCATAAACTGGACTCCTGTGGCTTTACTGGTCCTTGTCTTGCATTATTTTTAGCACACGTTACACATCTACGTACAATGGCCTGAGTCAAGTTGGACAATCTTGGTATGTAGAAATGTTTTCTGAGAGATTCTTCTGTACTGTCTCTCCCAGAATGTGTCCCGTTATGATAGTTTTGGACAATTTCTACCGCTAGTGATGTTGGAATAACTATTCTTCCATCTTCTAACTGATACCATTTGTTCTCCAAATACTTTCCAGGTTCAGTCCTTAACCACTCCTCTTCTTGAGCTGTATAAATTGGAGTCCATTGAGACAGTGGAGTTGGTATAAGAGCAGCTATATGCCCCACATATTCCTGTCTTCCTGATTCAGCAGTACGCTTAGCTGCACTATCTGCCATCCGATTCCCTTTGGTTACATCACCATCTCCTCTCAGATGCGCCCGACAATGTATAATACCGACTTCTTTCGGCTCCCACACTGCTTCCAATAGTTGTAGGATCTCAGCTGCGTATTTGATTTCTTTGCCTTCTGAATTCAATAGTCCTCTTTCTTTATACAAAGCTCCGTGGGCATGAGTGGTTAAAAACGCATACTTGGAGTCCGCGTAGATGTTCACTCTTAAACCTTCAGCCAATTGTAACGCTCGTGTCAGTGCTATCAATTCTGCCTTTTGTGCTGATGTTCCTTTTGCCAGTGGCCGAGCTTCTATCACCTTGTCTATCGTTGTTACTGCATATCCTGCATAGCGGATCCCTTCTTTACATAACTACTGCCGTCGGTGTAATATTGAACATCAGGGTTCTGGATGGGAAAATCACGAAGATCTGGTCTACTTGAAAATACTTCATCCATTACTTCCAAACAATCATGTTGACTTTCAGTAGGTTGTGGCAAAAGGGTAGCTGGATTTAAGGTATTTACAATCTCTAAATGCACTCTTGGGCTTTCACACAACATTGCTTGATACTTGGTCATACGGCTGTTACTAAACCAATGATTTCCTTTGTAATCCAACAACGTCTGTACTGCATGTGGAACTCGTACATAAAGTTTTTGACCCAGAGTGAGTTTATCGGCTTCAGCTACTAGCAGGGCGGCTGCAGCTACAGCTCTTAGACAAGGTGGAAGTCCGCTGGCCACTGCATCCAGTTGCTTAGACATGTAGGCAACAGGTCTTTGCCATGATCCCAAGTACTGTGTCAATACTCCCACAGCCATTCTTCTTTGCTCATGTACATACAGGTAGAATGGCTGTGTGTGGTCAGGTAGACCTAATGCTGGGGCACTCATCAAAG